GAAATTGCCGGGGCAGAAGGTGGCGCAATTGGCACAGGTCACTGGGAAAGGTGGTGTACCGACGCAATTGATTGTTCAGAAACAGTCGATGCCTACGACAATGACTGTGCAACATCTTCAACAAGTTATGAAGCAGGTTCAACCGTCGGGTGTTCAACAATTCAGTCATGTGAGTATTTTTTTTTTCAACTGTATAACTTCGTTGACAATTTACTTTCTCTGACTTTTCCCTGAATTCCCTGACCTGTCAATAAAATTCAATTATTTTCATAAATTACAATATTCATCCCAAGAATTCAATTATTTTCAAAAGTAATAAAATTCTTCGAAGAAATTCCATTTTTTTTAAAATTTTCCCGAGTATCTCGTCAAGAATTCAAAAATCTTTACAAAAGTTCAATTACTTTCAAAAGATTTTTGCAATTCAATAATTTTCATTATTTACTATTTTCATAAAATTTATCAACAGATTTAATTATAGAAAAAACTTTTTGATACAATTCTACGAAAAGATTCAATTATTATTTTTATAAATAATAAAATTTCATTTACAAATTCAATTATTTTCATCGCAGAATTTCAAATATTTTAATACAATTTCAAATAAATTCCTTGAAAAATGCAATTATTATTAAAAATTTTATTAAAATTTAAGGAAAGAATTCAATTTTTAGAAACATTCAATTATTTAATAAAACAATAAAATTCGTTGCAATAATTCAAATATTTTCATAAATAACATTTAATTCGTCGCAGAAAATCAATTATTTTCAAAAATTTGTAAATAATTTTGCAAAAGAATTCAATTAGCTTGATAAACAACAAAATCGCATAAATTCTTCCCATAAAATCAATTATTCTAAAGAATTTTAATAAAATTCTTTTCCAAAATTCAATTATTTTGATAAATATCAAAATTCATCACAAGAATTCAATTCCTTTGAAAATAATTCAATTATTTTAATAAATTTGAAAATAATTCAATTATTTTAATAAATTTTAATAAAGTTCTTGTCCAGCAATTAATTAGTTTCACAAATATTAAAATTCTTTGGAGGATTTCAATTATTTTCAATATAATTTTAATAAAATCCTAAGGAAAAATTCAATTATTTTCAAAAATTTGAATATAATTCTTGGCACGAATTCATTTATATTTCTAAATAATAAAATTCTTTGCAGAAATTTAATTATTTTTAATTCAATTTTAATAAAATGTCGAGAAATACTTAATTCAATTATTAAAAATTTCTAAAAAATTTTTCTAAAGAATTAAATTATTTACAATTCAATTTAAATTAAATTTCTACGAAACATTCAATTATTTTTAATAAATTTTAATATAATTCTTCGCAGAAACTTATTTATTTTAAAAAATTTCAATAAAATACTGGAATGGAATTGAATTATTTTGAAAAATTCTTATAAAAGTTCTTGGCAAGCAATCAATAATTATTATCATATAAATATTAAAATTCTTTGGAGTATTTCAATTATTTTCGTAACAGTTTTAATGAAAGTTTTTGAAAAAATTTAATTATTTTTAAAAATTTTAATAAAATTCTTCGCAAAAATTCAATTACTTTTAAAAAAATAAAAGTTATTAAAACAGATTAATATTTTTTTTAATTCACTAATTAACCAATTAATTATTAGCATTACTATTACTTACTATTTTTTAAAATTTTAATAAAATTCTTAAAAAGATTTAAATTAATAATCTTCTTAAAAAATTCATTTTCGCAAATACTTCAGTTCAATTTTTTGCAAGAATTTTCATAATTGAATTTTTGTAAGCAAGAAATTTAAATTTTTTAAATTGAGAAAATTTTCTAATTTCCAAAAATTCTATTAAAAATAATTGAAATTTTTGAAAATAATCCAGGGAAGTTAATTACAAGGAATTAATTTTATTTTTAAATAGACACCTTTAAAGTTTTAAATCAAATTGTTGCCTCTAAATATTTTATTATCTAGACGAAAACAAAATTTTCTTTACGAATTTTCATTTCAAATTATAATGAAAATACTATTAAAATAATTTTTTTGTAGAAAAATGGATAAAGTCCTATAAGTTTTTGAATTTAATAATTTTCTTCAGACTGAATACAAACTTAAAATTCAAAAAAAAATTATAAGAAAATCGACTGGGACCCAAAACAAATGTATTTCGTGTGAGGTCCTTTTAATAAAAAATTGTTTTCTAAATCTTTGATTATAAATTTTCTATAAAATTTTATTTCTATTTTTGTTAATCATCAACACAATTTTTCGCCAATTTTATGAAAATTTAAATAATGACTAAAGAACATTTATCATTTCTTTTAGGTGTCAACTGGACAGGCCGTTGTCTCTCAACCGGGTCAAGTTGTTCTCGCCAAATCGCCATTACAAACACGAGTGATACCAGTTGCTTCGAGATCATTGAAGCAAACAATTCAAGTTGTCGCAGCAAGCGGAGCGCAACTACGACAACCGAGTCCAATTCAAGGAAAACCAATTGTGACAACAAGAGGCAGTCCCGGACCGAGTCAAGTTAGACTTCAAACTGTCGCCCATACAACACACACTCAACAAGCTCAACAACCGCAGAATCCACCAGATTCACAGTAATAGAAAATTCAAATAAAAATAGAAGAATTTTTTTTTCTTTCCTCGACAAAGAAAAACCGTTTTTTTCCTTTTCAATAAAACAAAACTTTTCTTCACGAAAATATCTAACGAAAAACAACATTCCACAAAGTAAAAAAGTAACAAACAATTTTCACAATCATTGTAAATTAAATAAAGCATTCCTTCGAATGCTCAATTGTTTGTTTCTTCTTTTTCTTCATCAGTTAAAATCAAATTATCACGATTTTCATTATCATTTAAAAATTACAAAGACTTTAAAAAAAAGGTGAAACAGATTGCTTGCAAACAATAAACGTGTTTTAAAAAAAAGGAGCAAAGACTGCAAGAAAAAAATTTAGGGATTAAAATAATTTTTTCCCCCACCCCCTCAAAATAGTCGAGATTCATGAAAAAGAAAGTCATCAATTTCAATGCACATTCCTACCGTGAAACGTTTTTTGCCACCATTTTTCGTGTTTAAACGAGAAAAACTGAAAGAGAATAAAAAAGAATAAATGGTGGTTAAACTTGTAAATAAAAAAAAAAAAAATGCTGTGCAAATTTCTTGTTAATTATATATAAAAAAAAATGTTTCTTTTTTCTTTTTGTAAATGTATCGTTGATAATAGAATTTTCAAATACCGATATTTTCGGTTATTTTATTTTTTTTTTTATTTAAGAGAAGAACTTTGATTCTTTGTCAATTTTTATTACTTAATTGTTCAAAGAATAATTTTTTTTTCTTCTCGAAAATTACATCGGTAATTTAGTATTATAAGGATTGTAGAATATAAGTGATTGTATTATTTAAATGTCAAATATCTAATTTTTAAGTATTTAATATGCAAATAACAGTTTTAGATAAAATTTTTGTCAAATTGTCAAATTTCGATAATCGAAAATTGCAAAAAGAAAAAAATTGAAAATAAGATATATAAAATGTAATATCTGATGTTTAATCTGTAAAAATTATATTAGATGAGTAAGATTTAATTTAACTCTCTCACTATTGAACGCACAATTCTTTTTTTTTTAAATGAGAAATAAATTTTAAAAACAATGTTTTAAATATTCCAATTAAAGAATATATTTTAATAAACTATTTATAGATTTTTTTTGCTTTTTTCTTTTTTTTTGAAATGAAATATTATATTGTACATTTAATGATTTATTGAAATTGAAACTGTGCACAGAGTTTCTACTGAAAGATTATTGATTTGAGAGTTAAATTAATTCTTAAAAGGGAAAAAAAAAATTTGAAAATTGCCTTTAACAAAAAACTGTCCTTTGTTTGGAGAAACCTATGTTGTTCGTAATGTGCAGAGTCGCTTGTAATATTAAAAAACACACACACACACAAAATAAAAAAATGCTTCATTTCAATTTTTAAGTGTTTTCTTTTCGAATTACTCCCTAAATTTAAATAATTGTTTAGAATTTTTAAAATACATTTTTAAAATAATTAATTATGTAACTATAATATATAAATGAAATTTTAATTACCAATTAAATTACTAAATGAATTTTATATATATATTTAAAATATTTGTTCGACTAATGAGTTCAATTAAGTTACATAATTATTTAACAATGAAGTTCTTAATTAATAATAAACTGCAATTAACCTCAATTACTCTTAATTCTTTCCTCTAAATAATTTCTTATGAATCAATTATCAAATTTTAATTATTATTTATTACATATTTTTAATTACTAATTATCAAGTTAATTTTATAATAATCAAATCTTTCTTAAAAAAGACATGAGTCTTTTTTAAGAAAGTTTAATTCACTTAAAAATTAGGGAAACTTTAAAATAATTTGAAGTAATAATTTTTTAAAAGTTAAATAATAAATTAATTAATTTAAAAAAATTTTTTAAAACTCAAAAATTCAATTTGAATTAAAAAAAACTTGACTTTGAAAAACTGAGCTTAAAAAAATTAAATATTAATAATTATAATCTACAGTTTACTTTAAAAAATTTAATTTAATACAAAATCAAAAAAATCTATTTCACACCAAATTTGATAAATAATTCTTTGTTAAATAGTAAACGAAAAAGAAAAAAGAGCACGTATTTTATTCTTTTACGTAAGTATTGAAAAATTTATTTTGTAAATTATCTTCAAATATAATGAAAGAATCGTGAAAATATTTCAATTTCTTAAAAAAAAAAAAAAAAAATGTCCAATTGCATTAAAGTTGTAAATTTCATTTGGAACAGAGCAAAGAAATCATTTCATTTAAATCAATATAAAAAAATTTGATTTCTTTCCTTGAGTCATTATTAATAATATTTTTTAATTTCTCACGTATTTCGTGATTATTATTGATTTTCTTCTTTTATTTTTCATTTCTTTTGTATTCCGCAATTTACAAATATATTCGTATATAAGGAGAAAATTTTATGATTCATACTTTATTTTTCATTTTAATTCTGAATGTGAAAAATAAATTTAATTTCAATTTGTTTACCTAGATTACAAAAACGAATAAACATAATAAACATAAAAGTGAGTAAAGTAAATATTTGTCTATCTAATTTCAAGTTTAACGAATATTTCTATTTTTAAAATTAATTAGAGAACAAATTTTTATTTTTGAAAAAAACAATTATGATGTAAATTACAGAATTATTACATCTTGAAACAGTTTTCTCATTTTTTTTAATGACCAAAAGAAGTTTTAAAAATAAATTCTTGTCAAGAATTTAATTATTAATTTAATTATTAATAATTCAATTACATTCATAAATAGTTCAATACTAAAATTCTTCGCAACAAATTAATTATTTTTAAAAAATGTAATAAAATTCTTCGCTAGAATTCGATTATTTAAAAAAAATTTTAATAAAATCCTTTAATGGAATTCAGTTATTTTCAAAATTTTTAATAAAGTTTCTGTCAAGCAATAAGTTATTTTTATAGATATTTAAATTCTTCGAAGGATTTCAGTTATTTTCATAACAATTTTAATATAATTTTTATTAATAATTGAATTATTTTTAAAAATTGTACTAAAATCCTTTAAAAAGAATTCAATTATTTACAAAAATTTTAATAAAATTCTTGGTACTAATTCAATTATATTCAAAATAATAAAATTCTTCCTTTGAATTTACTTATTTTCAATATAATTTTAATAAAAAATTTCTCGAAGGAATTAATTTTTTTATAAAAATTTTAATCAAATCCGCTCCAAGAATTCAATTTTCAAAACTTTTTGACAAAATTTATCTATAAAAAATTCAACTATTCTAAAAAATTTTAAATATTTCTATCAAAGAATAAAATAAAATTATTTTAGATTCAAAGTTATAAAAGTTACAAAAATTACAATTGTTTTATTAATAAAGTTAATTTAAAATTAAAATAAAATTCACTGATTATTAAAGCAAAATTAATCAAAATAAAATAGTTTCTAAATTTTTCTTATACAAAATATTTCGCAAAACTTATCTCTATTTTGATTTAGTAAAAATTTACATAGAACAAAATTTAACTATTTTTATTATAATAAACTAATAAAGTCTTTAACGTTTTAGAATGTTAATTTAAATTTACAAATTTTAATTATAATTTTTTATTTAAAACAATTTTGATTTTAATTTATTAATTAAATTAATTAATTAATAATTAACTAATTATTGGACTTTTTGTACTTTGGAATTTCTAATTATTGGAACGTTTAAATTTGGACCTTTTTGTACTGCTACCAAACTATCATTCAATCATCAAAACGCTTAAATATGTTAATTATAATTATTTTATTAATTATGTTTCAGATGCTTCTTTTAATTTAGAATAATCGCTTTTCCTTTGAACCCAAACTGAAGAAACATTATACTAGTCATTAATTTATTTATGATGTTGTTTGCAAAACAGTTTTACTGGAAAAACTGTTAAACAAAAATTATCAGTGAAAAGAAAAAGAAAAGAAATTTAAAAACAATCGATAAAAAATTAAAGTACCGATAATATGACAATTATCATCACAACATTACTACTAGTTTGCGCTATTGTTCTTCTCTTTCGATTTTACGCGAAATACAAATTAAATTACTGGAAACGACGTGGAGTCGAATCACTGCCAACAGATTCAATTTTCGGTAATTTCAAGGATGCTGTACTTTTTAGAACAGCACCAGGATGGCATCTTGGTATATTGCACAAAGCAGCCGCCACAAATCTTCGCTTGTTGGGATTCTACATTTTTCACAAACCATGCATTCTTATAAAAGATCCAAAATTAATCCGTCAAATTATGGTCGCCGATTTTGAGAATTTCTCCGATCGTCATTTTGGTGGATCCAAACAGACCGACAGCATTGGAATGGTTAATTTATTTGGACTGAAGAATCCGGCATGGAAATACGTGAGAACAAAAATCACTCCAACTTTAACGAAAGGAAAACTAAAATTAATGTTGCCATTGATGAAGGAAGTTGGAGAAAATATGGTCGATTATATTGATAGTGAAACGGCAGATGTTAAGGGTATCAAAAAAATCGACGCTCAAGAGTTGAATTACAAATATACAACCGATTTGATTTCAATTATTGGACTCGGAACAAAATTGGATTCATTCAAGAATCCTAATAATGATCTCACCAAAGTTGGTAAGTTTGCTTATCGAAGCAACAAAACATTATTAGACAATAAAAATCTGTTGTTGCCTACAGCATCCCAAACAGCACTGAAACTTCACTAATAAAATCTTTAATAAATTTTTCGGAAAGTATTTAAAAATACGGACTTTACGGACCAACTGACAAAAAATAAAATCAGTCCGAATCAAATAAGAGAACATGTAACTTAAAACTAGAAATTAAATTTTTCTTAACTATAAAACATGAAGAAATCGATAACTCCGAGTCTTCGACTCGAAGTCATCCATTTCTTCATGTTTTATAATAATTAATAATAATTATTTATAATAATTAAAATCATTATCAATTCAATTATTATTTTTAAGAATTATTATCTAAAATTCTTCTTCATCGATTTTTCTTTATCGATTATTTTTAATAATTTTCGAAAAAGTTCTTTGACAATTTTCAAATTCATTTCTTTACAATATTCAATTTTACGAAATTTCAATTATTCCTAAATTCTTTAATTAAATAAATATTAGAAAATAGAAACTAAAAATAATATTGAAAAAATATTGAAAAAATATTGAAAAAACTCAATTAAACTTTTTCAAAAAAATTAATTACAAAATTCAATTATTATTTCAAATTTTAACTGAAATTCATTTTTATGAAATGAAAATCAATTTTTATTAGACTATTCTACTAGAATTCAATTATTTAAATACAAATTTAAATGTAAAAATGCAAATAAATAATTTATTGAATAATTGAAAGTTTCTTAAAATTCAATTCCCATAAAAAATCGTTATCAACAAATTTTCAAATAATTGAATTCTATCAACGAATTTTAATAAAATTTTTAAGAATTTTAAGAATAATTACATTTTTCGAGAAATTTAATTAAAATTGTATTAAAAATAATTGAAATTCTGCATTGAATTTGATTGTTTATGAAAATAATTGAATTCTTGCGAAGAATTTTATTAAAATTTTCAAAAATAATTAAATTCTTGTAAAAAATTAACAGGAATTCAATTATTTTTAAAAATTTTAATAAAATTCTTGGCATAAATTAAAAATAACAAAATTCTTAGCAGATTTTCAATTACTTTCAGAAATTTTAATAAAATTTTTCCCAAGAATTTAAATATTTTCGTAAAAATAATAAAAATCTTTGCAGAGATTCAATTATTTTCAAAAGTCTTAACAAAATTCTTCGCAAGAATTCAATTATTTTCAAAAATATCAGAATTTTAGCAGAAACTCAAACATTTTAAAAAGTTTTGATAAAACTTTTTTTGGTAGAAATTTAATTATTTTCAAGACAATTTTAAAAAAATGTTTCGATAAAATACAATTATTTTTCAAATTCTAATGAAATTCTTCGAAAGAATTCAATTATTTAAATACAAATAAAATGCAAATAAATAATTTATTGAATAATTGAATGTTTCTTGGAATTCAATTCCTATTAAAAATTTTATCAACAAATTTTTAAATAATTAAATTCTTTGTTCGAATTTTAATAAAATTTTTAAGAAATTTTTTGAGGAATTCGATTAAAATTCTATTGAAAATAATTGAATTCTCCTAAAAAGAATTTTATTACTTTTGAAAATAATTGAAATTTTGCAATGGATATTATTAAAATTTTTGAAAATAATGGAATACCTATTATTACTTTAGAAAATAATTGAATTCGTGTGATAAATATTGTTAATTATGAAAATAATTGAAATTTTTTAATGAATTTTATTAAAATTTTTGTAAATAATTGAGAAAAATTAAATTCTTACAAATTTCCTCGATAAATTAAATAAAAAAATTTTAAAAATATAATTGAATTTCAGCGAAGAATTGCATTGAAATTTTTTTAATATAATTGAATTCTTTTAAATAATTGATTTTTTCGAAAAAATTTAATGAAAATTGGTTGAAAATAACTAAGTTCTTGTAAACATTTTATTATTTATGAAAATAATTGAATTTGGAGAAATTTTTTAATATAATTGAATCGTTTTATTAGTATTAGAAACAATTGAATTAATTCTTGCATCGAATTTTATTAAAATTTTAAAAAATAATTGAATTCCTGAGAAGAATTCAATTTAAATTTTTTTAAATAACTGAATTTTTGCGAAGAATTTTATAAAACTCTTTTTAAATAATTGATTTAAAAAAAAAAAATTAATGAAAATTGGTTTAAAATAACTAAATTCCTGTAAAAATTGTATTATTTATGAAAATAATTGAATTTCGAGAAATTTTTGGGAATAATTAAATAATTTGAATTCTTGCATCGAATTTTATTAAAATTTAAAAAAATAATTGAATTCCTGAGAAGAATTCTATTTAAATTTTTTTAAATAATTGAATTCTTGCGAAGAATTTTATTTAAATTGTTTAAAATAATTGAATTCTTGCGAGGAACTTTATTAAACTTTTTTTTAAGTAATTGAATTCTTGTATAGAATTTTATATAAAAATCTTTTAAAATAATTGATTTGTTTCGAAAATTGATTTTAAATAACTAAATTCCTCTTAAAAATTTTTTATTATTTGTGATAATAATTGAATTTCGAGAAATTTTTGAAAATAATTGAATCATTTTATTAATATTAGAAATAATTGAAACTAACCGATGAGTTTTATTATTTTTAAAAATAATTCAATTCTTGCAATGAATTTTATTAAAAAATTTTTAATTATTAAATTTCTGAGAAAATTTTTTTTAAATAATTGAATTTTTGCGAATAATTTTATTACATTTAAAAATAATTGACTTTCTGCAATCATTTGTAATTTCTCTAAAATTCTCAAAATTATATCGTACAATTTACGAACTTTTCATCCTTTTTGAATGAAATTACGGACTTTACGGACCATTTTTCAAAAAACGGACTTTTACGGACTTGAAGCAAAGTTACGGACTTTTTCATGATTTACGGACCTACTTCGAGCCCTGTGATAGAAATTATTGCATTGGCACTTTTCTAATTGAGAGTCATGATTAAAGAACCTTTTATAACTTTTTGGGACTCAAAATTCTCGACATCACTGATTAAAAAAAGGATTTAGAATTTCAATTTCTTGTTGTATTTTAATCATTCCATATTTATATAAAGATTACGAGATAATGTACCGCCAAAAATGGTGATTTAAATCACTTTAATTTTTGATTCATAGAAGAATAATTTTGAGCTTAAAGAATTATGATTCTTTAAGCTCAAAATTATTCTTCTATTCATAGCCCATACAGCACCAAAAATTTCCTGAAAGATTGAATTAACTTGACTGCAACCTTTCGAATCTTTAATTGCGAAGCTCATGAAACTTGAAGTTGTTCTTTAAATGCCCGATGTTATTCAATGTTTTAACGTAAAAGTTGGCCGAACATTGAAAAACGGTCGAAATTTAAAGAATTACTTCAACTTTAATGAGCTTCGTAACTAAAGATTCCTAAGATTGCAGTCAAGCTAATTTCAACCTTCAGAAAAGTTTCGATACTACGTGGGAATCAGTTCTTTGATGAGGATTACCAATAATACCTATAGTTACTGATCTGTACTTCTTGGTATTTTACAGTGCACCAATTTTTCCACAGTTTGAAAAGAATGATAGCATTGGTCACCGTTTTCTTCATGCCGGAATTGATTGAATTATTTGGTTCAATTATGCTCTTCGACTCGAGTTTCATAAAAAAGGTTTTCTTTAAAGCACTACAAGATAGAGAAAAGTCAGGAATTGAGAAAGGAGACTTTCTTGATTCGCTAATTAAATTGAAGAATGAACCACAAAATCCCGATTACAGTGAGTATCCAACAGTATACACGATTACTAATGAAATAGCAGTAATTTATCAAAATTCTGATGAATTCAAAAATCAAAATTCTAATTCATCATAGAGTCTAATAATAAATTTACCAATTTCTCTAAATTTCTACAAACCTTTCTCCAGAATTCGAGGGTAACAATCTCTTCTATCAATCCGGAACATTTTTCTCTGGATTTGAGTCCAGCTCAACTGCGACGTCATTTACAATAATGGAATTGGCGAAACATTCCGAATTTCAGCAGAAAGCGAGGGAGGATGTTAATGCAGCAATAGAGAAGCATGGACTGACTTATGAGGCATTCAACGACATGAAGTATCTCGAACAATGCATTGCTGAAGGAATTCGACTTCATCCTCCAGTAGCCACAATTGATCGATACACCAGACAAGACTATCAGGTAACAATTACCTTATTCTGCATTTTCACTTTGCACACTACTTTCACTTAGAAAGAAACTAGGAAGAAAAGCAACTAAATATCCCTAATGAAAAATTTAAATAGCAGTAAAGAAAAGATCAACAATTTAAAACTTTCCTTTCTGTCTGAAAATAACTAAGACCTATGCCTTATTTCTGCTAAGAATTCTTTTTGTTCTCCAGTATTCAGAAGTACTTTTACGATTTGAAAATGATTAATTTTCTGTTTAGATTCCCGGTACTGATGTTGTTCTGGAAAAAGGAACTGCAGTCTACATTTCACTTTATGGACTGCATCAAGATCCTCAATACTTTAAAGATCCATCAGCCTATAATCCTGAGCGATATAATGAGGGAGTAAATATTTCCGAAGCTTATATTCCATTTGGTGTAGGACCCCGAATGTGTGTTGGTAAGTTCACACTATCATTTTTGCTACATCGACTCTAATTACAACCATCATTTCTATAAAGTAAAACAACACTTGAACCTCGATTATCCGAACTGTGAATCATTGTATCCAAACTTTTTCGTCATCAAAAACCCAATGCATCATTTTTCACCTCTATCGGTACACGAATCTCATAATACCGAAAAAAAAAGACACTAATCTTTTAATTTTAATTTGTTTTCCAGGTATGAAAATTGGTCAGTTACACGCCAAGGTTGTTATAGCAATGATTTTAAGAAAGTACGAAATGGGACAATTGCCCATCGATAAGATAAGTCTGGACAACCGATCAACATTTACTGCTGCCGCCAATGGCATTAATCTTCAATTCAAAGAAGTCCAGTCATATATAAGCGCATAATTATAGTATTAGGATAATATTTTTGATTTTACTTTAATTGCACGGTAAAAAGCAATAATTGTATTTCTTGTTTCTTGTTTCGAATATAGTTAACTATACCCATATAGTAATGTTTTTAAAAGTTATTTATTTGCAAATTATCAATGCTAATGTTTAAAAGTTAACGTTAAAAATTATTTCAGTTTTCTAATTCTAATGTCTTAGAATAAAAAATGTATAAAAATTTCCAAGTTTGGAGCAATGTACAGATAGAAGTTTTATTTTATATATATAAGGATAATGAATGCTTTGAAGATGTTATTTAACCAATTAGATCTTAATAATTCTTAGGAATATCATAAATGAATAATATCATAAATAAATTCATTCAACTATTCTGTGTCATATGTATTTGATATTCTGTATCTTTGTTTCATTGGGTTTTTGTCTTCTATAAACTAGGTACATTTTTTGATATAATAAATATTAAACTTCGAAATAATTGTTTCTTTAAAAGAATGCTTAAAGAATGATGTTGATGATAATTATTTTCTTGGAAAAAAATTGTTTTTCTATTAATCACCTTATTGGAAACTTGGCTATATAAACGGTCATTCTTAATTAAACCTTATCATAGTTTTTTCAACATTTGACTTGTGAAGTAATTATTTGCAAAATTACAAAATGAGGATAGTACAATAAAGCTAACTAAACTTTCATTTATTGCGTTTTTATAATTTTCTAATTACCTTCATTTCTTTACTACCCTTTATTTTATAAATTAAAAAAATTTTTATTTCTTGAAAAAAAATATTCAATTATGTAGAAATAAATTTCATCGCACCCCAAATTACATTTTTTTTAAATGTAATTTCCAAATCGTTCCAAACATAACAATTTTTTCAATAATTATTTATCAAAATTTTCCAAAAATCCGAGAAGAGAGCGCGGATCAGGGTGCATTCCTCTATATTTTCCAAAAGATCCAGACCTTATTTCTCATTTAAAAATAAGAAAAGAATATTTTGAGTCGGGATTTTTTGGAAAATATAGAGAATGCCTCCCTGACCTGCGCTCTTCTCGGAATTTTGCAAAATTTTGATAAATAATTATTGGAAAATTGATCTAAAGTGGAGTAATAATTCTATATTAAATAATTGATTTTATTCGAAAATATTTAATGAAACTTGAATTTTAAATAATTAAAAATTTTATTATTTATAAAAATAATTGAATGTTTATGCGAAAAATTTTATTAAAATTCTTCTAAATAATTAAATTTTTTTGTGGAAATTCTATTTTCAATCAATTCTTATTAGAAAGATCTTCAACAATACAATTATTTTTAATAAAAACAAAATTTAATATTTCTTAAAAATGATTTCTTATAAAAGCTTTATCAAAATTTTTGAAAATAACTGATTTGTTACGAAGAATTTCATTAAGATTTTTGAAAAAAATTATATTTTTTCAAGAAATTTAATTAAAAATGCATTAAAAATTATTACTAAATTTTAATAAACAAATCATATCAAAATTTTTTTACATAATTGAATTCTTTCGAAGATTTTTAATAAAAATTTTTAAGAACAATTGCATTTTTCGACGAATTCATTTAAAATTATATTAGCAATAATTGAAATTCTGCGATGAGTTTTATTATTTTTGAAGATAATTGAATTTTTGCAATGAATTTTATTAAAATTATTAAAAATAATTGAACTTTTTAGAAGAATTTTATTTAAATTTTTTTAAATAATCGAATTCTTGGGAAATACCTATTTAATTACATTTTTTTTTAATAATTATTGAATTCTTGCGAAGAATTTTATAAAAATCTTTTAAAATAATTGATTTTTTTCGAAAAAGTTTGTGAAAATTGTTTTAAAATAATTAAATTCCTGTGAAAATTTTATTCTTCATGAAAATAATTGAATCCTTGCAAAGAATTGAAAAAATCTTTTTTTGAATAATTGAATTTTTTTAATTGAAATAATAGATATTGAAAATAATAATTGAATTTCGAAAATGATAGAAAATAATTAAAAGTGTATATTAAAAATAATTGAAATTCTGCAATGATTTTTATTATTTATGAAACCAATCGAATTATTGCGAAGAATTTTATAAAAATCTTTTTAAATAATTGATATTTATCGAAAAATTTTGTGAAAATTATTTTAAAATAATTAAATTCCTATGAAAATTTTATTTTTTATGAAAATAATTAAATGCTTGCAAAGAATTGAAAAAAACCTTTTTTTTTTGAATAATTGAATTTTTTTAATTGAAATAATAGATAATGAAAATAATTGAATTTCGAAAATGTTAAAAAATAATTAAAAGTGTATTAAAAATAATTTAAATTCTGCAACGATTTTTATTATTTATATGAAAAAAATTTTTATATGAAAACAATTTTAAAATAATTAAATTCTTTCAGGAAATGTAACTAAAAATGTATTTAAAATATTAAAATTTAATAAACAAATTATATCAAAATTGAATATTCTTAAAAATTCCCTCGACAAATTTAATGAAAATTTTTGAAAATAATTGATTTTCTGCAAAGAATTGCATTAAAATTTTTTTGAAATTGAATTCTTTTAAATATTTAATTAAAATTGTATTTTAAATAATTCAATTCCTGTAAAAAATTTATTATTTATGAGAATAATTGAATGTTTGCGCGAAATATTCAATTAAAATTCTTCTAAATAATTGAATTCTTTTTATTTAAATAGTATACCTATAAATATTGAAAATAATTGAATTTCGAGAAATTTTTGAAAATAATTAAATCGTTTTATTTATTTATTTATTTATTTATTTATTCAAAATACACGGGCTTTAAAGCCCAATCGTACCAAGTACTGTTGAAAATTTACAACGTAATTATTAAACTAAATGGCTGCGTTTTATTATAGTATTAGAAATAATTGAAATTCTGCGATGAGTTTTATTATTTAAAATTTTAAATAAATTAAATTCAATTGCAATTGAATTCTTGCAATGAATTTTATTAAAATTTTTAAAAATGCGACTGAATTCTTGAGGAGAATTTTTAAAGAAAATTTTTAAATAATTGAATATTTGTATTGACAAATAAATTATGTGATAAGTATATTTTAAGAAAAGCTATATAGAAGTACAATCATGTCTCTGTATAATATTTTCCAATAGTAAATACTCTATTTAAAGATCAATTGTAAAACTTTAAGTAAACAAATTAAAAGCAAATCACAAAATCTTTAAATGACCTTTTGATACATTTTATAGTATATAAATGGCAGTCATATTCTCAAACATTCAGTTTATGTTCAGCTATGTCTATGATAGTTACAACATTAGCACTAGCGGGAGCTGTTGCTCTTCTCTTTCGATTTTACGCGAAATACAAATTAAATTATTGGAAACGACGTGGAGTCGAATCACTGCCAACAGATTCAATATTCGGTAATTTCAAGGATGCTGTACTTTTTAGAACAGCACCAGGATGGCATCTTGGCAAATTGTATAAAGATGCCACAGAAGATGCGAAATTATTGGGATTCTACATTTTTCACAAACCATGCGTTCTTCTGAGAGATCCAAAATTAATCCGACAAATTATGGTTGCCGATTTTGAAAATTTCTCCGATCGTCATTTTGGAGGGTCCAAACAAACCGACAGTATTGGAATGAAAAATTTGTTCGCCCTGAAGAATCCTGGTTGGAAATATGTGAGATCGAGAATCACTCCAACTTTATCGAGAGGAAAACTAAAATTAATGCTGCCAAGGATGAAGGAAGTTGGCGAAAATATGATAGACTATATTGATAGTGTAGCATCTGATTGTGAAGGAGGTAAAAGAATCGACGCTCAAGATTTGAGTTTTAAATATACAACCGATTTGATTTCTGTTGTTGCACTTGGAACAACATTAAATTCGTTCCAGAATCCTAATCATCCTCTCACCAAAGTTTGTAAGTTTTATACAACGTTTTATATCTAACAAGAAATAATTTTATAGCAAATTAGAAATTTTGTAGCATTTTATAAAGCTGAAACTGGCACCCATTCAATTTTAGAAAATTAAATTTTTTGTTTAAAACAGACATATAAAATTTTGAAAAATTCAGTGGGTGCCGACAACAAGGAGCGAGTTTTAGCTTTATAAAATATATTTAAATTCAAAATTTAAATGGCTGTTCATAACTATGGGTGCTAGCGCTACCTTAGTTTAGGATTTGATACTATTTGGATAATTTTTATTTTTAGATTTGTGACACTAATAGCAATTTTCTCTGAAAATTTGCACAAATTTACATTCGATAATAATTGTTAATAATAATAATATAATTATCGAATTGTTAATAATAATAATTATTCTAAAAAATGTTAATAAAATTCTTAAAAACAATTCAACAAATTTTAATGAAATAATTTTTTTATTTGAATCAATTTAAATAAATAAAACAATAAAATTAATAAAATTTTAAACGATATACAATTTTTATTTTCACATTTTCGAAATTCAATTATTTTCAATAATCTACTATTTTAATTAAAAATTCCCCGAAAGAATTCAATTATTCAAAGTTTTTAAAATTCTTTGCAAGCATTCAATTATTTTTAAAAATAATAAAAATTTTACTGGAATTTAATTATTTTAAAACAATTTTCACACAATTTTTTAAAAAACATCAATTATTCAAAAAGATTTTTATAAACTTCTTCGCCAGAATGCAATTATTTAAAAAAATATAATATAATGTTCTTCTCAAGAATTCAATTATTTATGAAATGTTTAATAAAATTCTTCTCAGAAATTTAATTATTTAAAAAAATTTTAACAAAATTCGTTGGAAGAATTCAATTATTTTCAAAATTAATAAAACTCATCGCAGAATTTCAATTATTTCTAATAGATTCAATTATTTTCAAAAATTTCTGGAAATTCAATTATTCAATTAATTTAATAAATAATAAAATTCTTAACAGGAATTTAGTTATTTTAAAAGAATTTTCACCCACTTTTTCGAAAAAAAGCAATTATTCAATTATTTTCATAAATAATAAAATTTTCACAGGAATTTAATTATTTTAAAACAATTTTCACAAAATTTTTTAAAAAGATTTTTATGAAATTCTTATCAAGAATTCAATTATTTAAAAAAAAAATTAAATTAAATAATTCGCAAGAATTTAATTATTTAAAAAAATTTTTCTCAGAAATTTAATTATTTTAAAATTTTTTAATAAAATTAATTGCAAGAATTCAATTATTTTTAAAAATAATAAAACTCATCGCTTAGTTTCAATTATTTCTAATATTATAATAAAATGATTCAATTATTTTCAAAAATTTCTCGAAATTCAATTATTATCACAAATAATAAAAATTTTTACATGTATTTAGTTATTTTAAATCAATTTTCGAAACAAATCAATTATTTTAAAAGATTTTTATATAAAATTCTTTACAAGAATTCAATTACTTAAAAAAAAGTTTAATAAAGTTCCTCGCAAGAATTCAATTATTTTAAACAATTTAAATAAAATTCTTCGTAAAAATTCAATTATTTAAAAAAATTTTAATAAAATTCGATGCAAGAATTCAATTATTTACAAAAAAAAATAGAACTTATCACAGATGTTCAATTATTTCAATACTAATAAAACGATTCAATTATTTTCAAAAATTTCTCGAAATTCAATTATTTTCATAAATAATACAATTTTTACAGGAATTTAGTTATTTTAAATTAATTTTCATTAAATTTTTTCGAAAAAATCAATTATTTAAAAGAATTCAATTATATTAAAAAAATTTCAATGCAATTCTTCGCTGAAATTCAATTATATTTTCAAAATTTTTTATTTAATTTGTCGAGGAAATTTGTAAGAATTTAATTATTCTCATTAACAATGAAATTCTTCTATGGTATTTAATTTTTTTTCACAAATAATAAAAATTATCACACGATTTCAACTATTTTTAATACAGTTTTAAACAAATTCCTTAAAAAGATGCAATTATTCTTAAAAAAAATTTATTAAAATTCTTCGAAATAATTCAATTGTTTTTAAAAATGTTGAAAAACTTCTTTGTAAAAATTCAATTATAAGAAATATTCAATTATTCAATAAATTATTTATTTTTGTATTTAAATAATAAAGTAAAGTCTCATTTTTTATGTTTATTTTATATTAAAGCAAAGAAAAAGTTAAGGTCATTGGTTAAAAAAATTAGTTCTTTTTCGATTGTTAATAACTTAAGAGCTGTTAGTTTTTTAAAAAATTTGTAACAAGATTAATTATTCATTTTTCCATTAAAAAAACATAAAAAAAATTTTCTTTTTTTTAAAAGTTAAGTTAAGTTTTTTTTAGTTATTGTTTTTTGAAAATTTTTACAATTAACGATAACAATATTAAATATTAATAATAAAACTATTAAATATTAATAATAAAACTATTTAATATTAATAAAAAAATGATTAAATATTAATAATAAAACTATTAAATATTGAAAGATTTTTAAGCGATTTCAAAGTTCAAATTATATAAATACGATAATAAATAACTTATTTGCAATTTTGGGAAAATGACCCATATAGTATTAATAGCGTTTTTACAAATAAGAAAAATAAACCCCCCGCTTTCTCCAATTGTTTTTGAAAACTATTTTTTACTATCAGCCCCTTAATTGTCAACTTATCGTTTGTTAATTTATTCCTTTTGTCATTTTTAGTGGACGACTTTTTCCACAGTTTGAAAAGAATGGTAGCATTAGTCACCGTTTTCTTCATGCCAGAATTAATTGAATTATTTGGTAAAGTTATGCTATTCGACTCGAGTTTTATGAAGAAGGTTTTCTTCAAGGCAATGGAGGACAGGGAAAATTCGGGAATTAAGAAGGACGACTTTCTTGATGCTGTAATTAAATTAAGGAATGATCCTCAAAATCCTGTTTATAGTAAGTATTTATAGCTACACCATCTAAAAGTACACAGAAAAAACGATAATCTAATTTTAAGAAGCGCCTACTTAAAATTAGATTACCGTTTTTTTTTTTTTTTGTGTAGGACCCTCTAAAAATATTAATGCAAAAATTATCAAAACTTCTAAATGATTCTTAATTTCTAAATGAATTTCTAAATTTCTCTCTAGAATTCGAAGGAGATAATCTCTTTAACCAAACTGGGACATTTCTCGCTGGATTTGAGACCAGCTCAACTGCCACAGCATTTACCATACTGGAATTAGCGAAACAACCCGAATTTCAGCAGAAAGCGAGGGAAGACGTTAATGCAGCAATAGATAAGCATGGACTGACTTTTGAGGCTTTTAATAACATGAAATATCTCGACAAGTGTATTGCAGAAGGCATTCGTCTTTATCCTCCAGTTTCGACCCTTGACCGATACACCAAAGAAGACTACAAGGTACCATATATAGTTATGCTTTTTTGCCTTACTTTCGCCTATACTCCCCAACAGCATCTAAACTTACAGAAAACATTGACAATATTGCTGCAAGTTTCACAATATTCAGGCAATGTTTTCAATGTTGCTGCAAGTTTAGATGCTGTGCGGGCTAGAACACTATTTAGTAAATCAGAAATGGTACAAATTATCCTTAAGAGAAAACTATTTCTTAATGGAAAATTTACTATTTAGAAGCACTTTATACTGTTACCCAACACATCATCAAAAGTTTCCTGAAAGTTAAAATTAACTTGACCGCAGACTACAAAACTCGCATCGACCTTGAAGTAATGCTTTAAAAGTCCACTGCTTTTTAATGTTTGCAAATAAAGTCTCTCGACTGCAATCATCAAAAACTTATTCATATAGTTACAACACTCAGAACTCGAACTAATGCTTTAAATGTTTGCAAATAAAGTCTCGACTGCAACCAACAAAATCTTCATAGTTGCAACACTCAGAACTCGAAGTAATGCTTTAAATGTTTGCAAATAAAGTCTCGACTGCAACCAACAAAATCTTTACAGTCGCAAGACTAATGAACCTTGAAGTAATTCAATTAACCTTGAATTCAAAAGTCCAAAGATGGCAAAGTTTACAAACTTACAGGAAACTTTCACTATTATCTCTGGGCCAATTTAAAAATTAAAAACGAACCTTGTTTCTAGATTCCCGGCACCGATATTGTCATTGAGAGAGGAACTGCAGTTTACGTTTCGCTTTTTGGTTTACAACAAGATCCAAAATACTTTAAGGATCCTGAAGTCTACAATCCTGAACGATTTAATGATTCAGTGAATATTTCTGACGCCTACATTCCATTTGGTATTGGACCTCGAATGTGTGTTGGTAAGTTGTCATTTCTGATTGATCTATACTTTAATTTTAAGCTTTTCTTTAATAGTAAAAGTAGGTACTCTTACTAAATAAAACTTTTACTATAGCTTAAAATACTCTTCAAATCTATATGGTAAAATCCTCTCTGGACATAAAACCATGTTCGTTCCAAAAAGGTTTTTAAAACCTTTTTAGAAAGTTTCATGTCCACTAAATAATGTTCCAGAACATTATTTGAACAATCTCTTAAAATGTTTTGGAACTTTATATGGCGAACATGAAACGTATTTAGAACATGGTTCTGGGCCCAGAGGAAGAATGTTACATTCAAGTTAATTCCGACTTTTAGGAAACTTTCGATGCTGTACAGCATCCGAAAGTTTCCTAAAAGTCGGAATTAACTTGATTACAAAAAAAGTATTCGCGATTTTTTTTTTTGATAACATTTAATTAATATCTTTCCGTATAAACGTTTCTTCCAGTTTTTTCGAAAGTATGAAAAATTGATACTAAAGTGAATGAAATGAATGTCAAAAATTTGGATCGATTTTTGTTTTGATTCACATTTTTGGTATTCGTTGCAATTTGATTCTATTAAGTTAAACAATGCCAGTAAGTTAAACTAAACAATTTCAATTTGTTTTAGGTATGAAAACTGGTCAGCTACATGCAAAGGTTGTGATAGCAATGATTTTAAGAAAATACGAAATCAAAGAATTGAATAAGGATAATATATGTCTGGACAGCCGATCAACATTCACTGCTGCTGCTGATGGCATCAATCTTCAATTTAAAGAAGTCCCGTCATGCTAGTTATTTTTAATTTGTATTGTTTTTAGTATATTCTTATTTCCCTTCTAATATAATTGTTGTTTCACTTTCGAGTAACTGAATGAATTTAATATTTATTTTCTCACTATATTGATTTAATTAATTTTACAATGTTAACGAACTCTCTGATTATTTATTGATAAGAATGACAATGTTAAGACTTATCTATACTCTCTAAATCTGAAATAGTACTTTTCAACTAATTTTTAGGGCCAGTTTCACCAACTCCGATTAAAAGTTAATCAATGAATAAATCCTTCATCGACCAATCATGGCTATACTAAAAATCTATCAAAAAACTACTAATTCTGGTAATAATAAATCACCTGACTAATGTGAAATAGTAAAAAATACGACTTCCAATGAATTAGTTATTTTCTTTTCTTTTTCTCTTTTTTTTATAAAAAAATAATTAGTAGATTACAACTAAAAACTAAACAGTTACAAATACAATTATAGTAAACGAATCCTCACTCTTTATTAGTAGAAAAACTACTATTTCAGATTTAAACTATAGAATTAATAACTATTTATATTAGAAAAGTAAGAATTGTATATATTAAGGGAGTAATCAAAATTAGAAGGGAATTATAAATATTTTTAAAATTAGAAATTATAATATATCATTTTTTAATTTTTATAAAATATAAATTTTATGTATGTATATAAATTGTTATCGTCAAAAAACTTTACTCTGTTAGAAATAAATTATTAGAAATTATAAATAGAAATAAATAGAAATAAAATTTTAGAATAAAATAAAAAAAAAAGATTTACTGGCTGTATTTATTAAAAATTTCCTTTAAAAATTTAACAATATAATCGTGAATTTTCATCTTTTGATTCAATTATTAGAATTTCGGTTCTTGCCAGTCACTTTCAATGACATCGAAATATTAAATATTTAAATAAATTGAATAATTATAAAGTTATAAATAATAATGAAAAATAACAATTTTTTTTCAACAATTCTTTTTTTCACCCAACAATGACAATATTATTTCTAACCTTAGTATTTAAAATTAGTTTTTAATTTTCTTCATTTTTAAAAAGGCTTTTTTCCAAAACGAGGCGGTATATCAGATTAAATTATTTTGTACCTAAAAAAACGATTCTGGTCTTGACATTATTTTTTTGGATTTTGGGAGTCGATTTTAAAATTAGGGCTTTTTTTAAAAATGTCCTTTATCCGAAACAGATCGGTACTTAAAAATGTTTTTTGAATTTTTGGGTTTCTATTTTAAAATTAGTGCTTTTTTAAAAAGAGAAGAGCTTTTTCTGAAGGTACTTAGAAATTATTCAGAATTAATTTTTGATTCAGAAAAAATTTATATTTTGAAAAAAGATTCTGGCCTTGATATTGTTTTTTTGAGTTTTTGGGAATAGATTTAAAAAATAGGGCAAAAAAATTTATCAGTACGAAAATTCAAAATTTGCTACAATTATGAATTTAATCTTAAATTTCAAATCAAATTCATAACTTATATTTATTGAACTAATATCTTTACATTCACAACTTGTGAAATTTTTCAAATTTTTTATTAATATTTCGAAATACAGAAATAGATTTCCAAATTAAAGACTATTAAAATGTTAAATTTGGGATTTTTATCATAATATTATTTTTAACCTTTCTTATCATATTAGTCACGCAAATTCAGGAATTAACAGATTTTATCATTTTCTTTACGATCATTTTAATATTTGTATTAACAAATTTATCAGCTTACTTTAAATCTATTTTATCTATAAAATAAAAATATCTGAAAATTAAACTCTAGACACAAATATTTACAAAATATTGTTTATAAAGAATTAACAATAAGTAAATGTTCTTACTGCTATTTTAAGAACAACATTTTTTCCTGTCTAAGCTAAAATAAGGAAAATTTACTTAGTGTAGTATATTTTGACAAACTGTTGATACAATAATTTAAACTGCGCATCAGTATTGGAAAATGTTTTCGCTTTTTAAATTTTTCTTCTTTTTTTGTTTATGGAAAAATCAAAAAAATAAACTTATTTCGAACAATATATTGCATTTTTTTTTTATTCTATTCGTTTTTCAATTTTCACTAAAGGAGCTGACAATAAAAAGTTTTTAGGTTTTTGTTGCCAAGGGCCGAAACTAGAATGTCTGGTTGTAATTCCTAACGGCCCTCTTGGGGCCGTTACATTACGTCATAGCAACCGTTGTTATAAAAATGGTTACCATAGTTTTTATGGAAACTTTTCTCGAGAGTTAATGATTTATTTTATTTTTTTGATGCCATGAAACTCAAAGATGTAGGTGCTTTATAACAGCTTCTCTTAATGATTTTTTTGTAAAAGAATTTCTGTATAAATTATTTCCCAAATTTTGGCTAATTTTACAAATTATTCTTTATATCATTTAATAGCATTGTAATCAAAAGATTTTATATGCAGCAGAAAAGAGAAAATTATGTTTTAGCATTAAAAAAAGAAACAAAAATTTTAATATTTCTTATCGGTAATGTATACAGCTTACAATCTGTGGTATAAAAACCCCTTTCCTGTTCGTTAAAAAATCTACTGTTATTTTTGCGTTTTAACAAATAAGAAATAATGGCATTCCTCTCGGGAATTGTTCCCTTCTTAATATCAATTGTCATTCTATTTCGATTATATGCAAAATTTAAATTATCCTATTGGAAAAGACGTGGAGTCACATCACTACCAACTGACGTTATTTTTGGTAATTTCAAAGAAGCCCTACTATTTCGTAAAGCACCGGGATGGTTTCTTGGACAATTGCATAAAGCAGCAAAACTAGATGCATCAATTTTAGGATTTTACATTTTTCACAAGCCATGTGTATTAATACGCGATCCTGAAATTATTAAACAAATGTTTGTCACTGATTTTGAAAATTTTTCCGATCGTCATTTTGCTGGTATTAAACAAAAGGACAGTACTGGTATGAAAAATCTTTTTGGCTTAAAAAATCCCACATGGAAATATGTGAGATCAAAAATAACACCAACATTGACGCGAGGTAAAATAAAACAAATGCTACCATTAATGATGGAAACTGGTGAGCCATTAATGCACTATTTGGAAAATCAAAGAGCCGATGAGAATGGAATTCGAAATGCCGATGCACAAAATATGAGTCTAAAGCATTGCACTGATTTAACAGCATCCATTGCATTTGGTACAAAGACTGATTCATTTCGTGGGTTAAATGCAGAATTTTCCCACGCATGTAAGTTGTAAAATTTATTTCCTTTAATAAAACACAAAAAAAAAAAAAAAAAAATCTAGTAGATTTAACTATACTTTTTAACTGCTCTCATCAATACTTCAATAAGTTCTCAACTGAATTTAAAAAGTTATGTATTCACTACCAAAAAGTAATTAATATTAAAAAAAAATTTCAGTCATGGATTTCTTCCAAGGAGTAAAAAGAATGACAGCATTAATAGCAGTTTTCTTTATACCAGAAATAATCGAATTTTATGGTGGTGGAGTATTTGTGAAACCTGATTTTGTAAAACACGTCTTTTGGGATGCATTAAAATCAAGGGAAGAGACAAAAGAAAAAAGAGGAGATTTCATTGATTCTTTAATAAAACTTAAAAATGAGGAACAAAATTCCGATTTCAGTAAGTAAATATTCATAATTTCTAAAAAGAATTTTATTATTTATGAAAATAATTCAATTTCTGCAATCATTTTTAATTTATTAAAAACTTATTTTTTTTTTAATTACAAATTTCTTCTTCTTTTAGTTACAAATTTTTAACTAAAAGACGAAGAAGTTTGTAAATAATTGAATTCCTGTGAAATTTTTATTATTACTTTTGAAAATATTTAAATATGTCTGCGCGCAGAATTTTGTAATTTTTTTTGAAAAGTAATTGAATTCTTTTGGAAAATTTTTAAAAATAATTGAAATTTTGACAAGAATTTTATTTAAATTTTTGAAAATAATTGAATTTTGGAGAAGAATTTTAGTATTTATAAAAATAATTGAATTTTTAAAAAAATGTTAACATAATTGAATTTCTGCGAAGAATTTTATTTCTTTTAAAAATAATTTAATTTCTGCAATTAAACTTCTTCAAAATTCATTTTTTGATAGTGTTTTTAATTAAATAAAAAGAAATTTATAAAAAATTTGTAAATAATTGAATTCCTGTAAACTTTTATTATTTAAGAAAAATAATCAAAAGTTTGAGTAGAATTTTGTAAAATTTTTTTTTAATAATTGAATTCTTTTGGAAAATTTTTGAAAATAATTGAATTTCGAATAAGACTTTTATTATTTACAAAAATAATTGAATTTCTGCAAAGAATTTTTTTAATTTTAAAAATAATTGAATTTCTGTTTTTAATTAAAAGAAGAAGAAATTGATAAAAAAAATTTGTAAATAATTGAATTCCCTGTAAAATTTTTGTTATTTAAGAAAAATAATCAAAAATTGGCGTAGAATTTTGTAAAATTTTTTTTAAATAATTTAATTCTTTTGGAAAATTTTTGAAAATAATTGAATTTTGGATAAGAATTTTAATATTTACAAAAATAATTGATTTTTTGACGAAATTTTGACGAAATTTTTGAACATAATTGAATTTCTACAAAGAATTTTATTATAATTATAAAAATAATTGAATTTCTGCAATCAAACTTCTGCAAAATTCATTTTTTTTGTGTTTTTAACTAAAAGAAGAAGAAATTTGTAAAAAATAATTTGTAAATAATTGAATTCCTGTGAAATTTTTATTATTTATGAAAATAATTAAATGTTTGCATAGAATTTTGTAAAGTTTTTTGAAAATAATTGAATTCTTTTGGAAAATTTTTGAAAATAATAATTGAAATGAAAATATGAAAATATTTGAAAATATGAAAATAATTGAATTTCGGTGAAGAATTTTATTATTTATAAAAATAATTGAATTTTTGGCGAGAATTTTTTTTAAATTCTTGAACATAATTGAATTTTTACAAAGAATTTTATTACTTTTAAAAATAATTTAATTTATTCAAAATTTATTTTTTTAGTCTTTTTAATTAAAAGAAGAAGAAATTTATAAAAAATTTGTATAAATAATTGAATTCCTGTGAAATATAATATATGTAAAAAAAATATTATTTAATAATAATAATTATAATAATAATAATCAGTGATAATAATTAAATTAAAAATAAAATATTTTTTACCATATTTAAAAAATTTTTTTCAGAGATGGATGGGGAAAATTTACTCTTTCAATCTGGAATGTTTTTGTCTGGATTTGAATCGAGTGCAACGACAACGGCCTTTACTTTAATGGAATTGGCAAATAATCACGAATTTCAAAAAGAAGCACGAGAAGATATTAATAAAGCAATTGAAAAACATGGATTAACTTACGAGGCTTTTAATGAAATGAAATATTTAGATCAATGCATCTCAGAAAGTATAAGACTTCATCCTCCAATTTCGACTCTTGATCGCTATACCAGACAAGATTACAAGGTAATAATAATCTGAATTCAACAATTTCTAAATTTATTCATTTATAATTATAAAAAATAATTTCATCAATTAAAAATTTATCTATTCCTAATTAATATCTATTCTTATTTAATTAAATTAACATCTTTAAGTGTTTTTTCTATTAAATTATTCTTTATAGGTATATTATTTTTAATTTTTTTAAAAAATTTTCTCTTTTCTATTTTCTAAATTTTAAAATTAATTAAATTAATTCAAAAATTAAACAACAAAAAATTGTCGTACTTATAAAAAAAATATTTTAATTTCGTTTGAAACAAAAAATTAAATTAAAAATTAATTTCAAAAATATAATTTCTATTAAAAAAATTTTTTTTTTTTTAGATTCCTGGCACCGACGTTGTTATTGAAAAAGGAACGCCCGTATATGTCTCTCTTTATGGAATGCATGAAGATGAACGATTTTTCGAAGACCCATTAACTTTTAATCCAAATCGATTTGATAATGATGCAAAAATTTCCGATGCATATCTTCCATTTGGAATAGGACCAAGATCATGTGTTGGTAAGTTCATATTTTTTTAAATAAATAAACAAATTAATAATTAATTAATATTAATCAAATTTAATCACTTATTTCAAATTTTAAATTTAATTAATTTAATTTTTTAATTATTTTTTTTTTAAATCAATTATTTAATTTTTAATAAAATCTATACTTTGTAATTAAATTTATTTTTTACCACAATGAAAGTAAATAATAAATAGTTATTAATAATTACACATTTTCTAATATTTTTTATTATTATTAATAATATAATAACAAATTTTAATATTAATAATAATACAAAATTTGTATATAATTTACTTTTCAGCGACAAAATTGGGACAATTACACGTGAAAGTTGTTTTAGCGACAATTTTACGTGAATATAGTGTCAATCAATTAATTAAGGACAAAACAATCTTAAATCCAAAGTCAACATTTACTGCTGCAGCCAATGGAATTAATCTTCAATTTAAAAAAATTGTTGCATAATTTTCTTTTATCAATTTTATAAACTGTTTGTAATAAAATTAATTAATCTAAATTAATTTAGTTAACTAAAATTAATTTAATTAATTAAATTAATTATTTTAATATTAATATTATTGTACAACTGCCTTTACATATTATTATCCTAGTATCTTTTGCATTATTGTAAAATTGCAAAAATATATAATGTGCTATACAATTATAACAATATGTAATAAACAATTATATCCAAAAATAATATTATTAAATATTTCTTTTGTTTATATTTATTTTAATTATGTAAAAATAATTATTTTATTATTATTATATTATTATAATTTAATAAATTATTAATTAATTAATTAATAATTATTATATTATTTTATTACACTTAATTATTTAAATTTGTATTTAGCGCCAAAAAAAAATGAACACGAATGATAAAAATGTACACTACATTACCAACAAATCTTTCGGCGGGAAGTGCCATGCAGAATGCACAGCACATGGTGAATTGCATTGTAGTTATGTACAGTACAACGGTTTCTCATTTGTTATCATTTAATATTTATTAAATTTGTTTGATTTTGTGTGTTATATTAACAAAATTAGTTTGCATAAAGAAGAGAATAATCAAAAATGGAAAATCTTCCAGACGAAAGCAGTGGAGATGATGGATTTTCTCAACCATCGACATCATCAGATTCCAAATTAACAGGTTTATACTTGCTTTCTTTATTTATATAGAGATAGAGAAAAAATGTTTGACAGTAAAAACAATATAATTAAAAAATAATCGATAAATAGAAAGAAACAAAATTCCTTGAAAATTACAAAAGTTTACAATATTCGAAACATGTGTTCAGTAAAATTCATTTTTCACTTTTTTAGGTTATATTTTGAGGCTTCTTTTAAAACGTTTAAATTCCTGCAACAAATTTTATTATTCATGAAAGAATTTAAATATTTATAAAAATAATTTAATTCTTGCCTTCTTGACAAAGAATTTTATTAAAATTTTTTAAATAATTCAATTATTTCCTCTAATTTTATGCAAATTCTAATTTAGATAATTGAATTCCTGAGAAATTTTTATTATTCATAAAAAGAATTGAATTCTTACGAAGATTTTTACAAAATTTTTTTTAATAACTGAATTCTGTTTGAAAATTTTATGAAAATAGTAAATATTGAAAATCATTGAATTGCGAAAAGTTTTTAAAAATAATTAAATATTACAAAAAATTCTATTAAAATTTTTGACAATAATTGAATGTCTGTGTGGTATTTTATTAAATTTTTTTGAAAATAATTAAATTCCTAAAAAGCATTTTGTTATTTATGAAAATAATTGAATTAAAATTGTATTTAAAATAATTGATTTTTTTCGAACAATTTTATTAAAATATTTAAATAATTCATTTCTTTTAAAAATATTTTCTTGATAATTGTATTTCACACAATTGAATTACTTTAAAAATTCTATTATATTTATGATATTATTTGAATTTTCGCTTTGAATTATATTAAATTGTTTAAAATAAATAAATTACTTTGAAAAAATTTTTGGAAATTTTCGAAAATAATTAAAAGATTTCAAAGGATTGAATTAAAATTGTATTGAACATAATTGAATTCCTCTGAAGAATTTTATTATTTATGAAATTAATTGAATTGTTGTGGAAATTTTATTATTCATGAAAATAGTTGAATTTTGAATGAATTTTATCAATTTTTTTTTAAATTACATGAATTGTTTTACGAAATTTTATGAAAATACTAGATATTGAAAATAATTGAATTTCGAATATTTTTTGGAAATAATTGAATCGTTTTAAAGAATTTGATTATAATTTTTAGAATAGTTTTTTGATTTCTAGAATTAGTGAATTTAAAGTAGTGGAAATTCTCAAAAAAATCAGAAATAGTATCTTTTAGTGGCTGAAATTTAAAAAAAGTACACAAATAGTAGCTAATCATAAAAAAGTAGTAAATAGTGGATTTTAGTAGATGAGTGCGAAGCCTGCTATTATATTGGTATAATTTTTAACTATTAATATAATATTCACCCTTCAAATTATTAACAAATGTTAAAAAAATATTTCTTTCTAAAAAAATTCTATATTGATTATTATAGGTTTAGCAAATAAAGAGGCTAGGCAAGCTGAAATGTTGATGAAGCTTCAGCTTAAAGCCGAGAGAAAAGAAGAAAGACTTCAACGTAAAGCTGAAAAGGAACAAATGAAGCTCCAACAGCAAGCTGAAAGGGAAGAAAAAAGGCTTCAACTACAAGCTGAAAGGGAAGAGAAAATGCTTCAACATCAAGCCGAAATGGAAGAGAAAAAGCTTCAAAAAAAAGCTGAAATGGAAGAGAAAAGGCTTAAGCATCAAGCTGAAGTAGATGAGAGAAAGCAACAACGTCAATTAGATTCAGAAGAAAAGCATCGTAGCATTGACACTTATGATAAACAATTACAAGAAAAACGCTACAAAAGTTTAATGCATCTTGTAAATCAAAGTAAATTTTTTTCCAATATTATCATGGACAAATATAATGAATCGCCGGAAAAAAAATCAACAACTTCCACAAATACAAGAAAAAGAAGAAGTCGTCGTGGTAAGCTCAATGATTCTCAGGAAAACGATGAAAGTTTATCACCCTCAAAAAAGAGGAAAATGACCGAAAACAAAAAAGTCCTCAGGGAAATTGTTAACAACAAAGTAAGAATATTTTATTTATTTATCAATCTAAATATTTCTTAAATATAATATTTGAATATAATTTATATATGTACATATAATGATCAATTTCTTCTCAAGAGTTTAATTATTTTCAATACAATTCTTCAGAAAATAAAAAATCTCCAAAGAATTCAATTAATTTAAAAAAATTTAATATTATTCACGGAGACACGTTGAATATAATGATTTATTTTTTAAAAAATTTCAACTTGCATCTTCTAATAAAATAAAAAAAAAAATTTCAGATAAAGAAGAAAAAGAAGAATAATGCCAATTTGAGTTCAGAAGAAATCGCTGAGGCTCTATTGGAATCTGATGATGAAGATGAAGATAAAATGGAAGTTGTGGAAGATAAAAAGAAATTCGTTCATCCAGAATATTTTATTGGCAACTTGCACGATTATCAAAAAGATGGTCTTAAATGGTTAATACATCTCAATAAAAAAGGTCTAAACGGAATTTTAGCCGACGAAATGGGATTGGGAAAAACAATTCAAATTATCGCTTTAATTTGCCATCTTGTTGAAGTTAATCAACCGGGTCCATATCTTATTGTTGTTCCCTTATCAACGGTACCAAATTGGATAATGGAATTTGAAAGATTTGCTCCCGAAATACCAGTCGTTCTATTTTACGGTGATCAAGAAAAAAGAAGTCAATTGTATAAAGACATAAGAAAAGAGCATAAAATTGGTTCCTGTAAAACAAAACCCGTTGTTATAACATCATTCGAAATGCCCCACATGGAAAGAAAATTTTTATCCACCTACAGTTGGAGGTACATTATCGTTGATGAAGGACAAAGAATAAAAAATCACGAATGTCTACTCGTCGAGTAAGTACTTTCTTTTAACTTCAGCATTTTTTTTTTTTTGTTTTCTAAAATTAATTTTTACAAGGTTGCCACAAAAAATTAATTTTGTTTTTCTCTGATTTCTAGACAAAATTATTTTTTTTTATTTTTTCCCTGAGATACTCAAAAAAATGTTCTATAAAATTTATTTACGAATTTCTTCAATTATAAAATTATTCAAAAAGAATTAAATTATTTACAAAAAATTTTAATAAAATCCTTTGCAAGATTTCAATTATTTTTATAAGTAATACCATTTTTCACATCAATTCAATTATTTTAAAAAATGTAATAAAATTCGTTGTAAGAATTCAATTATTATCATCAATAATAAAATTTTTCATAGGATTTTAATTATTTTTAATACAATTTTAAATGAATTCCTCGAAAAATGTAATTATTTTCAAATGTTTTTTTTTGTAAAAATTCAATTACATTTCACAAATAATAAAATTCAATTATTTTCATAAATAATAAAATTCTTGCAAGAATTCAATTTTTTTAATAAATAATAATATTCTTCACAGGATTTCAATTATTTTCCTAATAAATAATAAAATTATTCACAGGATTTCAATTTTTTTTAATACAATTTAAAGTAAATTCTTCGAAAAACATAATTACATAATTTAAAAAATTTTATTAAAATTCTTCGAAAGAAATAAATGAACAATTATCAATTATTTTTAATCATTTTTGCAAAAGTTCATAAAGAATTTTCAAATCCATTTCTTTACCAATCAATTTTATGAAATTTCGATTATTCAGAAATTCTTCAATTAAATATTTAGAAAATAAAAACTTGAAATAATTTTTAAAAAATTCAATTAAACTTTTTCAAAATACAATTATTTCTAAAAATTCACGCTATAATGCTTTTAATATTCAATTATTATCTAAAATTTTAACTGAAATTCATTTTTAAAACAATTTTTATTAGAAAATTCTACGAGAATTCAATTATTTAAATACAAAAAAATGAAAAAATTATTGAATAAATGAATGTCTCTCAAAATTGAATTCTCATAAAGAATTTTATCAACAAATTTTTAAATAATTGCAAGCTTCACACTCATCCACTAAAACAATTAGAAAAATTTGTATAAAATTCATTGACATAATTCAATTATTTCAAAATATTTTCGAAAATATTTTGCGAGAATTCAATTATTTTGACAAATAATTAAATTAAAATATTTTTAATATCTATTATTTTATTTATATTTCTATAGATATACAATAGTATATTAAGCAACAATGGTATAAAGGCAGCATAAAATCTTTAAATTATTTTCGAAATTTTCTACAAAATTTTTTTAAATAATTTATTTATTTTCAAAAATTTAATAAAATTCAAAGCGAAAATTCTACTAAATATCATGAATAAAATAAAATATTCAAAGTAATTCAATTGTGTAAAATACAATTTTCAAGAAATTTTTTCGAAAGAAATCAATTATTTAAATATTTGAATAAAATTCTTTGTAAAAAACTATTTATATTCTAAATTTTTGCCAAAATTTGTTTATAATAATTAAATTCATCGCAAAAATTCTATTTATTTTAATCCAATTTTAATTAAGTTAATCAAAATATTTGAATTATTCTTTTAAATTTTTATAAAATGAAAAAAGAATTCAATTATTTTTACAAATTATAAAATTTTTCCCAGGAATTCAATTATTTAAAAAAAATTTAATAAAATTCGTTACAAGAATTTAATTATTTTCATAATTAATAAAATTCGTTGCATTTTTTTTATTACTTTTTTCAGTCTTAATGCTACTTTTTGATATTATTTTAAATTTTTTCGACGAATTTTAATAAAAATTGCAAGAATAATTACATTTTTCGAGGAATTCGGTTAAAATTGTATTCAAAATAATTGAAATTCTATGATGAGTTTTATTACTCATGAGAATAATTGAATATCTGTAAAAAATTTTATTATTTACGAAAATAATTGAATTCAGTTTTTCTTAGTGTTTTTTTTTTACTAAAATTCTTCTATAAATCCACGATTTTTAATAATTAATTAAAGATATATTAAAAAATTAAATAAAACTAACCCTGTTATAAAATAAAAAAAAATTTCTTTTACAGAACACTAAAAAAAATCAAATCGTTAAATCGCACCATACTCACAGGCACACCATTACAAAATAATTTATCAGAATTATGGTCACTGTTAAATTTCCTTCAACCCGATTTATTTGACGATTTGGACGTCTTTGAATCATGGTTTGACGTTAAAGAATTAGAGACTAAGGATGGAACGGCAAAATTTTTAAAGCAAGAGGAGGAAAAAAATATTGTCGGTTCACTTCGTGAAATATTGAAACCATTCATGTTACGAAGAATTAAAACTGAAGTGAATTTAAATATTCCACAGAAAAAGGAAATTATAGTTTACGCTCCAATCAGTGAATTACAGCGTGATCTTTACAAAGCCGTCTTAACTCGTGATATTCAAAGAACAATTGAAGCAAATCAAGAGTATGCTCCTAAAGTATTCGATGGTGTACGACCAAAACGTCGATGCACTTTTTTAAACAGTTACAATGAAAGAGAATTAGCTGATACTTTAAAAACAAATGATTTAAAAGTAAGTGGCGTTTCTGAGAATAATGATGTCACTAATTTCGGAAATAATTATATATTGAATCAAAGTTTATTGAAAGAGTGGAAAGACTATACAGCGATAACCGAAAATAACGCAGAATATTTGGTTAGAATGAAATTTGGCAATAGAGGTAAATTTTCTATTTTATCTAAAAAAAGAATATTTCGATTTAAAATTTTGATAAAAGATTGCTCAATTTTAAAAAGAGTTCTAAAAACTAGTTTAGTAAAGTTTTTAAATAATTTTATTTTTCAGCCACAATTTACAAGCAGATTGTTAATCATCCTTACTTGGTCTACTATCCCATTGATTACACTGTAAGATCAAAACCAGATGATAGCATTATTAAAGTGTCAGGAAAACTTTCCCTCCTCGATAAATTATTGGAAAAACTCAAGGAGAGAGGACACAAGGTTCTCCTTTTTTCAACAATGACAACAATTTTGGACACTATCGAGGATTATTTAACCCTAAGAGAAAATTATCTTTACGTTCGACTGGACGGTGGCTGTAAAGTCGATGACAGAACAGTTTCGATTAAAAGATTTAATCAAGATCCAAATGTATTTTTGTTTTTGCTCAGTACGAGAGCAGGTGGTGTTGGTCTTAATCTAACGGCTGCTGATACTGTCATAATTTACGATTGCGATTGGGTAAGTATTCTTTAATTAAAATAAAACTATAAATATACAGTAAATAAATTTAAAGTAAATCTAAAAATTTACCTTTTTAAAGAAAATGCCTAATTATTCAATAAAAATCATTTCACTTATCAGTCTTACGAACTTTTTTGTTTTGAATTAATATTTAGTACAAAAAATTAATTTTGAATTATAATTTACTTTAAATTTTCAACACATCGAATTATTATTTGCATGAATATTTTATATAAATTCATACATAAATTCAATTAATTAAAAAAAATGTTATAAAATTCTTTGCAGACAGTCAATTATTTTCACAACTAATAAAATTCTTCATACAAATTCAATTATTTTTAATTTCTATTATTTAAATTAAATTTCTAAAAATAATTCAATTATTTAAAAAAAAATTCTATAAAATTCGTTGAAAGAATTCAATTATTTTCATAAATAATTAAATTCTTTGTAGGATTTCAATCTTTCTTAATGCAGTTTTAAATACTTTAAAAAATGCAATTATTCTTCAAAATTTTGTGAAAATTCTTCGAAAGAATTCAATTCTTTTTTTACAAAAAATGCAATTCTTAGCACAAATTTAATTATTTTTATTTTCTACTATTTAAATAAAATTTCCCAAAAGAATTCAATTATTTAAAAAGCATTTAATCAAAATTCTTTTCAAAAATTCAATTATTTATAAATAATAAAATTTTCACAAAAAATTCAATTATTTTCACAACTAATAAAATTCTTCATAGGAATTTAATTGTTTAAAAAATAATTTCAATATAATTTGTTTCAAGAATTCAATATTATTAAAAAGATTTTTAAATAATTGAAGTCGTTGAAAGCTTTAATTGTTCTAAAACTGTAATAGTATTTAAATATTTATTTAAAAAAATGATTAATTTATTATTTTCGTAAAAAGTGATTGAATTTTAGTTTTTTACATGTAAAAATTCTTTTTAGATATAATCGTATTTTTGAAGAATTCTAATTAAAAATTTGTAAAGTAATTGAATTTTAGAAAAATTAAAGTTATTACCAACCAAGATGAGAAAAAAATGAAATATGTTTTATGGAAATCTGAGAAAATACTGAATCAAATTTTTGTAAATCAACTAAAATGATTTTTTTTAGTCGTCAAATTTAATTTTTCGATAGCTACTTTTTTCATTCTTAAATAAGTTATTTTTTTGCATTTTTTCAAATTAATTATTATAAAGAATGTTATAAATTTAATTTCATAATGAAATTGCAAATTAAAAATTTCAGAATCCACAAGCGGATATACAAGCAATGTCACGTTGCCATCGAATTGGACAAACTAAACCTGTCGTTATTTATAAATTATGTACTAGGGGAACAATTGATGAAGCAATAATAAAACGCGGAGAGGCAAAACGCAAATTAGAGAGAATGGTTATTTCCGATAATATTGGACTACAATTAAACAATAAAGAATCATTAATGAAATTAAAGGAACTTTTGGAGTCGAGCGACAATCTCATGATATCAGAAAATAGTACGTATATCACTACCGTTATCCTGACATTTTTTAATATATTTAAAAAAAATATAGTAAATACAAATTTTATCTATTTATTCAAAATTACCAAAATTAATTTTTTTTTATTTCAATTTTCTATTATTTCATTTTTTTCATTAAAATTTTAATTTATATTTTTCCCACAGACTCTTAATAATATTGTGGTTTTTTTTCACTTTCAGTAATCGACGACGAAGAATTGAATAAAATATTAGATAGAAGTGACATGTGCTAAAGCTGAATAGTCACAAGTTTTGTACTTTAAAAATGCGTTTTTTTTATCTAAGTTTCTCAAGACTGAATACGTTTAAAAAAAATTGTCACACGTTGCAAAACAATTCCTTCTATTTAAATGTAGAACTGAAAGTTATTATTTATTCCTTCTTTAAAAATTCCTAGTTTATAAATTTAAATATATTATTGTAAACATTATTTTTACTTTATAGATAAAACTGATTTCAGTTGAAATAAATTGTATAAGAAAAAAGAAACTTTGTATACCGTCTTCTTTTTAACAAAATCTATACAAAAGTTAAATTCACGACTTTAGTTAATTAAAAAAAGTATTTAACTAAAATTATCTAATAATTATTTAATTAAATTAAATACTTGCATAGAACTTTAGTTCTCAATGTTAAATTATTTAGAAATGTATTAATAATTGTACTATTTATTATTTTCCAGTTTATAAATTTAAATATATTACTGTAAACATTATTTTTACTTTATAGATAAAACTCATTTCAGTTGAAATAAATTGTATAAGAAAAAAGAAACTTTGTACTGTCTTTTTTTTAACAAAATCTACAAAAGTTAAATTCACGATTTTAATTAATAAAAAAAAATTATTTAACTAAAATTATCTAATAATAATTTAACTAAATTAAGTATTTGCAGAGAACTTCAGTTATCAATGTTAAATTATATAGGAATTTATTAATCGTACTATTTATTATTTTATAAATTTTAATAATTATAAAATTATATACAATTTAATATAATTGTAATAATAATTGTAATTACAATTTAAATTGTATTTTGCACAAATGGAGAAATGCCTCGCGATTGCGAACGAAATTTTGTGGTTTGTCAATAGAGGGCTACGGGATGACAAACTGTCACAAGTGGGAAGAAATCGAAGAAATAATATTTTTCTAGAAGTAAAAAAAGACTCACCGATTGCAGATCATACGAAGGAGCAATCAATATAAACATAACCTCTTACTGCTTGTTGATCCTTATAATCCTTATTATGGTTCAGCTGCTTTAGTGGCGAATTTCTTATCCTTTGCAAATCTGAAGCTCCTCTGGCACAAACACTTAATTTCCGTCATCAAGAGCAGAAAGAAAATATTAATCACACTGACGGAAGTCTTTTTTGTTCTTCTGTTCTTCATCACTTTACAACACAGAATTCACACACAAAAATTTATCGTCCAGATTATTTTTGTAACACTCACTAACCCGACACTATACACAACAAATTAATTATACAAATAACGTAGAATAATAAAAAACCGAATAAAATTTTTATTCACTGCCACTTGTAGATACACTTTTTTCGGAAACGAAATTTTTGCGAATTTAACACCTCTCGTATCAACAAAGCAGAACAAATACCGGAAGAATCCCTTGTTTTAATAAATTTTAGTTTTCAAATATTAAAAAGAAAACGTTCAGAAATAAATATTTCAAAGAAATAAACTCGCGCATATTACTCCAAAAAGCCGTTAATGTTGCCTACATACAGGGGCACATACCCCTGTATATAGGCAACATTCAAACACCCCTCTGAACAATTGTCACAAAATGCGACATATTTTCTCAAAATGGCGCTAATGTTACCGATATTACCCCGAAATATTGCGTATTTTATTATAAAAAACAAATTTTCCCAACAATTGAGTTGAAATTTAATAATAATTTATCTGATGCTGCAATATTGCAACAAGATGGCGCCAACCTAACCTCAAATATTTCATGAGTATAGAAAACTAAAGTTTGTTCCTTGGTTTGTTCTAATTTTAAGAAATATATTGTATAATTCTTTACTCAGATTACGAATTGGTATTGAAAACGCTAAAAATTTATTAAAACAAAGGAAAAAAACATACGAACCGAAAATATTTCAGATTCAGTTCTTCAGAACCTATCACTACGAGGTCGCGACGCAAAATGGCCGCCGTAACGCTCTCGCCCCTCCATCTCCACTAAATTCCAACTGCACTCTCATTGGCTGAACGAAATTTGTCCAATCTAGTGGACTGTATTTCAATTTCAAAAAACTAAATATTATTTTCTAATTTTAATTATAAATAATAAAAATAAATAATATGCATATTATTATTATCTTAAATATTAAATTTATAAATATTATTGCTATTAGAGAAAACAAAGTTAACGTAATATGAAATTAAATAGAATAATTTGTTGACAAACAGCGAATTAGATAATAAAAAAAAAGTTTTTTTTAAAATTACAGCAAAAAATTAAATTAATTATTAATAAAATTTAAAAATTTACTTCCTTAATAAAGTAAAACTTTTATAATAATAATAATAATAATAATAATAATAATAATAATAATAATAATAATAATAATAATAATAATCCCGTTTATGAATAAATAAATAAAATGATAACAATAATAAAATAAAAAGTAAAGTAAAAATTAAAAACAATGGAAAAATAGAGTAAAAATAAAATAAAAAATATTTATTTTAAAATTGATATTTAAATTTATTATTTGTTATTAATTAAATTATTTATTTAATTAAATTTATTTATTAAAAAATAAATCAAATATAAAATAATTTAAATAATTTGATTTAATAATTTAATTAATTAATTTAAAAATATGATCTTATTTTTTTGATTATTAATAATATTAATTAATAATCAAAAATTATTATTTAATTAAATTTTTTTTTATGCATACACAATAAAAAATATTTATTTTTTTTTATTTCCATTTAAATAAGAAGAAAAAAATTTTTTAAGTAAAAAATAAAAAATAATACAAAATTTAAAAAACATAAATATAAACACAATTATCGTGAATAAAAATAAAGACAATTACATATTCAGTTATCGGACTTTTTATTATGGAATAAATCTTCACTAATTCATTCCCAAGAAGGAAATAAAATTTTGACATGCGTTGCGTTTTATAAAATGGATGTGTGCCAACAAAAATGTTCAAAATAGAAAAAAAAATCGATTTTTATTATTTTTTTTTCATGAATATTAAATGTGCACCCATCCATTTTTTACAGAACATAAATATTTATTACAACTATTGTTGGTTTTACGGAAAAAAAATAATTATCCAAATTCGATCCTGAAATTATTCACCAGAATTTATAATTTAAGATTACACGTTTTTTCCTACTAAAATTTATTGAGCGTTACAAAAACCAAAATTTTTATCACTCAATTTTGATAATTTAAAAATTTACGCAACATTCATTATTATTATTGTTTTGTTTCAAATTTTTTTTTTTTTTGGTTCAAAAGAAAAAAGAAAAATTAATAAAGCATTGCGAAATTTAAGATTTATCGAATTGATTTTATTTATCGATTACGTTAATTAATTGTTTGTTTTTGTGTAAAATTCACTGTAATTTTACTTTTGAAATTGTTTTTAAAAAAATTTCGCAATGCTCTAAGTGCCGATATTTCAGATTTTTTTTTTTTTTGATTTTCAAAGTTTTTTTTTTGTCAAAAAACCAAATGTTTATTGACACTTGACAAATAATTGTCTCAAATGAAGAAAATTTCAAAATTGAAGAAATTGAAAATTCTTCATTTAAGGAACAATTTGTTTAATTTTTTGTCAAATGGCAATTTTTATCGAATTTCAGTTTTCAAAACTAAAACGAAATTACTCAATTTAGTGGTTCACAGAACGAACTAAATTTTTTTTTTTGCATTTAATTTTCGACTCTTCTTTTTTTTTACTAGGGGGATTTTTTTAAAATTATTTTTCCAATATTATACAATTATAAATTTGTGTATCAATTTCAAAGCATCACTTTTTGAAAATTGTAAATTTTTCCTGGATATTTTAAGGCAAAAAGAAGATGCATTGATATTGAAGATACATTTAATTATAATGTATTAATATTGTCAAAAAAAAAATAGAGAGAGAGAGGAGACAAAATTTTTTTTCTATAAGAAATGGAAACGTAATGAGAACTTTAATTTCTCAAAAAAAAAGAAAAAAAAAGAGTCGGTAAAGATCTCACTTCTTTCCTGAAACGTACAAAAAGAAAAATAATCGTACGATCGTTAATAAAAAAAAAATTTTTTCTTTTCAATAAAATGAAGAAAAATAATTCCATAATTTTAGAATTATTTTTCTTTTACAAATCGCTCTTCGCCTTCTTTTTCCTCTCGCCAATTCCGATGTTAACAATCGCTTTTTTTCAAGAACAATTCTTACACATTCCGTGAAAAATATCACTTAAAATTTTTCTTTTTTTTGTTTTTCATCTTTTTCTCTAACACTAATTTTGAAAACACTGTTTTTTCATTACGATTTTTAATTATTTTTTCAAAGTAAAAACAAAAAGGGAGAAAATTCATTGTTTTCAAAATTAGTTCGAATAAACGTCGCTAATCGACGATTTATACAATTAGCCACTTTTTTTCCTTTTTTTCTTCTTCTTTTTTTTCTATAAAAAAAAAAAAAAAAAAGAAACATTTATTTACTTTCGTTTTTTTTTCGGCGCACAACTGCAACAATTCTCGAATTATTGTATATATTTTATATATAATTTGGACAGAGAAAAGTGGAAGTCGCTTTTTTTCATCAAGAAAAATCGGCGTGTGAAGTACCTAAAAATTTGTCAAAACCGAAAAAATTTTTAAATATCAAAAAGTTTCTGTACAAAATATCAATTGATATTATAATCACTATCAGGAACAATGGACTTCACACCTTGAATAATTCGATGTATTTTGCGACTGATTTTTTTTCACATTCATTCATTCACACGCAGAAACACACAAAATGCGTGAATTATTTTTTAATTTTACAATTTCACAACGAAAATTTTTTTCGATTACAATTTGCTTTTCATCATTCGACCCTTTTTTTCATTTCATATTTACGATTTCCAAAAAATTCAATGTGAATTTGCAAAAAGAAAAAAAAGATAATTCACGCATTCTTTTTTTATTGCGTGAATTTTTACAAAAAGAAATTCATACAATGTGTGAATTTTTTCAATCAATCAAAAAAAAAAAAAATTTCCATTACCCAATCACGATGAATTTTGGGAAGAAAAAAAAATCGAATTATAATTACAATTATTTGAAGAATAAAATAAAAATTCATTTCTTTTGAAAATAAATCGTGATTGGCAAATTGGCGCCCAAATAATAAAAAAAATTTAAACAAATTTTAATTTACAGTTTGCAACAAGTAAATAAATTTATCATCACAAATTTTATACGCTTTTAATCAGACTCGTGATTTTTTATCAATTATTTTTGTTTTCAATATCACATCTAAAAAATTATTTATATTCTCGAGAGAAAAAAAAATGTTGGGAAAAAAATTTTTTGAATTATTAAAAACAAAATTTCGGAAGAGATCACACTTCATTTGAAGTAATTGACAGAAACCGGTAATTGATTATTATAATAATAGTAATAGTAATTAATAATATAAGCAAAAAAAAAAAAAAAATTGCAGATAAAAGATCACAAGCTAGTTATTTTGTTTTCGAGTTTCTTTTTAAGCCGTTCGCATGAAACTTTTGTTTTCCAAATTGTAAATAGGATTTTGAATTTTCTTTTTTTGGATAAACTGAAAATTTTGAATTTAAAAAAAGTTTTCTTTTACTGAACAATAAAAAAAACGCTTTTTTTTATCATCGAAATCGTTTATCGGAAGAGAAAAGAAAAACCGAAAACGCATAATTAAAAAAAAATCAATCTCAAAGATTGACTACTTTACGAGGTTTAGATTCGGGGGATTTTTTTTTATATATATTCACTACATCTTATAGAATGCATATAACGGTGAATTAACCTCGCAAGAAAGATGTTTTTTCGTAGGGGGGGGGGGGTAGCGCGGGGGGAGCAAAAACAAAAAAAAAAACGGTTTATAATGCGCTAAGTATTTACAAATTTCATTCGGAAATTTTTTTTCTTTACTATCAATGGACCCGCCAAACATTCACACAACCAAACGCACCGATTTTGACTCATACATTTTTTTTCCTCTTTCGAAAACATACCAAGAGTTCAGGTTTTTCATCGATGAATTGAATTTTTAGTCTCATAAAAATGCTTTCGTTTAATTTTCTTCATTTTTTGTTTGAGAAAAACAAAAAAAATTCTCTTGGTAAGTTTCAACAAACGCACAAATTCATTTAAACTTGTTTTGCTTTTTTTTAAATAATTAATACAATCGCATTGTAAACCGTTTGTCGTTGAAACGAAGATTTCGTAAAGAAAAAATCTTTCTTCGATTACGAAATTCTTGATTTTTTTTTTTTTTGTTTACTGTGTATTACGAAATTTTTTTTTCATAAATCTAGGTCACATTGGCTGATGGTTTTTTTTTTCAAACGAATATTGAAAAAATTTGTTTTTCATTTCTATACATTTCATACATAATTGTAATATCAAATTGCAAATACAGTTTTTGCGAAATTTCCGTTCTTTTGAATGTGAGAATAGAAAAAATGTTTCTCAAAGGAATAGAGAAATATTTCCTAATTTAATATTCACTTTTTTCGAAAACTTTTTCGTTTTCGCTTTTTTTGGTTTCTTTTCTCTCAATTTCGTTTTAATCACACGATATTTTTTTTTAATACATGTTTATGATTATTAAAAAAAAAAAATTTGTCGAAATTGAAATAATTGCGATTGAGATTTCTTTTCTATAAGAAAAGAACCATTTTTTTTTGGTGTAAAAAAAAAAGATTTCTCGATTACTTTTTCACGAAAAACATTTTTTTCCCCTATTTTATTATTTTACATCCACCAGCCAGATTATTTATAAAAATAATTGTATAAAACTAGTCAATTTTACAACATCTGAGATTCAATCACATTATCATAAAAAATCCAATCACATTATGAAAACTTAAAATAAAAAAAGAAAAAGAAAATTACTATTAAAAAACGGGGAAAAAAAATTCATTTTCGAAAAATTGGTGATTTGAATTCCAGAGTTGTATGACAGTAAAGAATTGATACAAAATCAAGCCAAAATCGATTTAAAAAAAAAAAATAATAAAGAACGTTTATACATTACAAATCTCGATTTGGAGTTAATTACGTTTGTTTTTTCTATACACCGATTAATAGCGAGTTTTTATCTTCTTTTTTCTTAAACTCCGAATTTCGAGTTGTAAAAATGGAACTAAAAAAACGAAAACTGTTGAGAATGATAGAATATTGGTATAAAAATTTGTTTTTGTTTGAAAATGACATGAAATGTATTTACATTTTCGGTAAAATGAGATGAAAGTATTCGACTTTTGAGGGATTTTTGTGAATTTTTCTTTTTTGCTAGTTGATGTGATTATGGCTTGATTCTGTAAATTAGCGTTATGTACACTTAAAGATATAATTTTTTTTTATATACAAAGAATGACTCGCACTGGCACTCAAATCACTTCATTCACTGAGTTTACCGAGCGCTTAGCGAATGATTATTTCATGCTCAGTATACCTTATTTACAAGTAAACCATTTGTTTTTTGTCCATATATAGTCTCGAGGATAATTATTATGTATTTTCATAGTTTCTTCGCGTGCAAACCTGTTTTATCTAAAATTGTTTGTGTAGCACTGTTCCTTATTTCACTTTCTATTACTATTATTTTATTCTCCATTATACACTTTCAATGCACATTATTTATTTATTTATTTTTTTTTTGTAAATAAAATCTTCATCAGACTTTAGTAAATTGAAACTTCACTTGTTCACAGTTTTTATTTTTTCAATTTTGTTTAAGTTTCAATATCACTTTCTCGTTTCTTTTTCGAAAAAAAATCACACTTTTGAAAATTTCATCCTTTTTTTCTTCTTTTTCTTCTACACTCACCATTTCTTCCTTTTCATTCCTTCCTCTTTTTTTTTTTTTTTGAGCGATAATAAAAAGCGATTTATGGAAACTACTTTGACACGTTGCCCTCTTCCAAACTATTATTGTCCTCTGGTCGCGAGACGTACAAACTTGGATCGATAACTTTTGGAATTGGTTTTATTTCAGTGCCAAGTTCTTGCTCGATACGATGAAGATTGAAACGATCCTCATATGTGATTAGATTAATTGCAATACCTAAATGACCGAACCTTCCAGAGCGGCCGATACGATGCAGATACGTCTCTGCCATTTTCGGGAAATCAAAATTGATCACAACATTCACTGCTTGCACGTCAATTCCTCGCGTGAATAAATCACTGCAAACCTACGAAAAGAAATGGCAAAATCAAAATAAACAAAAGAAAAGAAAAGAGAAAATTAAATTTTAATTTAAAATATTGTTTTTTAAAAATTCAATTCTTTGAAATTCAGGCCTTGGAACGATTTTAAGGCGCAAAAAAATTCTTTAGTCGATTGAAAATACAAAACAGTCGAAAAAGTAGTTTATTTTATAATTCTTATTTTTTATATTGTATTTAACAAAAAATGCACAAAAAAAATGCTTTAGTCGATTAAAAATACAAAAAAATCGAAAAACTAGTTTATTTTATGAATTCTTATTTTTTGTACTGTATTTAAAAAAAAAATGCTTTAGTCGATTGAAAATACAAAAAAGTCGAAAAAGTAGCTTATTTTAAAAGTTTCTCATTTTTTTATAAGTTTTTTTCATATCTATTTAAATTTCATTATCCTTATTTTCCTGACCTTTCACTGATTTTGAAATTCAATTTTTAAAAATTTCAATTTCACAATTCACACCTTATGAAATTTAATTATTTTGAAAACAAATTTTTAAGTAAACTTCTCTAAATCAATTAAATTTTAGTAAAATTTAACTTAACAATTTTTTTCTTATTAACTTTTTTCAATTATTTTTCAGAAAGTTCTTCAAAAATACAATATTTCATAATAATTGCAATAATCACTATTTTTGATGATTTTATCAAAAAGTTATTAAGCTGCATTATATTGAAAATATGTAAATAAAATATTAAAAATAATTGATTTTTAAAAAATTATAGTAAAAAAATTCTTTTAAAATTAGTTTTTTTTATACAAATTTTTAAATAATTTTCAAAACTTATTAGATTTGATTGAAAAATTTTCAAATAATTGAAATTCAGTAAAAACTCTTGAAAATAATTGAATTTAATAAAAGAATTTTTTGCAAAATATTGAAAATAAATTAATTACTCCAGAATTTTAATTATAAATCTAGAAAAAGTAATTTTTAAAAAAATTAATGTTCCTTTTCTATTAGAGGTAGGTCTATTAGAGGTCTAGGAACTTTAAAAAAATTGTAATTATTTAGGTAAATAATTGAATTTCTTAGAAGAATTTTTTTGATAATTTAAAAGACTAACACATTTTTAAAAATGATTGACTTCTGCAAACATTTTATTAATAATAATAATTCTAAACAATTAGATTTTTTTTTAAATTTTGGTGTAATTATTTTTTGTAGATATTTCAATTTTCAGAAATATGCATATAATTGAAAATAATTGTTTTTAAAAAATTGTAATAAAATAAATTCTTAAAATTAGTTTCTTATACAAATTTTTAAATAATTTTCGAAAGTTGATAGATTTTTTCAACCAAATAATTAAAAACATTTCCAATAATAGAAATTTAATAAAAGTGTTTGAAAATAATTGAATTCTATAACAGATTTTCTAGAAAAGTATTAAAAAATAATCAAGTTTTTGAAGAATTTTAATCTTAGACATAAAAATTTTCTATTTATTTTTATGTTTTACGTTTTTATAATTAGTCTAAAAAAGTAGAATGTTTTAAAATTACTTTTTTTTAAAAGTAATTGAATTTTATAAAATTATGTTAAAAAATTTATAAAAATTAGTTTTTTAAAAATATTATCAACATTTTTCGACAAAATAAAAATTTATTCAATGTTTGAGAAAATTTTAATTAAAAGTTATAAAAATAATTGCTTTTTGCAAAAATTTGATAGAATTTTAATTTTTAATTAAAAATTTTTGAATAGATGGCTTTCTGCAAAAATTTAATAGAATTCTAATAAAAAAATTAATAAAAAATTTATTTTTGCAAAAATTGAATAATTATTATAAAAAATTAGATTTTTTAAAAAAATGTTAATCTAATTTTTTGAATCAGCTAATTGTCATTAGTTTTCATTTTTCAAATTTTTATTTGCTGAATTTTCATTCAAATTTCTAAAAATTTCAATTAAAAATTTCTTTTATTGTACATTTTGAAAACTGAATCATTTAAAAAAATTATTCAAAAATTGTTTTTGAAAAAATTGACTATAAAAATCAAAATAAGTTGAATTTATACCAAAAAAACTAAATATTTTGTTGCAAATTATTTGGAAATTTGAAAATTTTTTTGAATCCTGGATCATTTTTCTAAAAAAAGGGAGAAAAAGAAATGATTGCTTACCAAATTTCGGCACAGTCCTGCGCGGAAATCGTGGAAAACGCGGTTACGATGAGCCTGAGCCATTTTTGCGTGGATATAATAACAACAATATCCTAAATCTGTAATTTTCTTTGCCAGTAATTCCACGCGCTGTGTCGTATTGCAGAATATTATACTCTGATTTATTTGCAGCTGGAAAAAAAGAATTCATTTTCAATTTTTTTGGAAAAGAAAAAAGATCTTTCTTTTTTTGAAAATTTCTATTTTTAATAAAAAAAAAATAAATAGAATTTGAAAGTACCTTGGAAAATAACGTGTTAAGGCAGTGGACTTTCTGTCGCTCCTGTACAAAAGCATAATATTGTGTCACACCCTTTAGAGTCAGCTCTTCCATCAAATTAATCTCATATGGATCTTTCAAATGTTTTTCCATGAATTGCTTCACCGTCAGAGGAAATGTGGCCGAATAAAGCAATATTTGACGTCTCTGCGGTAATCTAAAACAAAAACCACCAACAATTAGAAATAAAAAAAATATTTTTCTTCCATTTCGTAATATTTATCATCATATTTGAAAAAAAGCAAAAAAAAATGAAATAAATTTTACTTTAAAATATTAAAAATTTTACAAGTATTCAAGTAAATAAAAAATATTCTCAAAAGTAAAATATTTTTAAATTGTAAATATTTCCATGTTTCAAAATTTGTTAAAAAAAATGACCAAAACAAACCTCGAGATCACGTGATCCAGCATTCCTTTAAAGTCTTGAGACAGAAGTTTGTCAGCTTCGTCTAACACGAGAATCTTGCAGTGATCCATGTTTGCAACATTTTGATCGATGAGATCAAGAATTCTACCTGGTGTGGCTATGATAACTTGCACTATTTAAAAAAAAAAGAAAATAATTAAATTCGAAAGAAATTAAAAATTTTCAAGAGAAAAAAAAATTCTCTATTTTATATATTTAAAAATGATTTTTCAAACCTTTCTGATAAATCCTCATAATATCATCACGCAAGTTTGTTCCACCAGTGGTAACCATCACCTTAATATCCAAATGCTTTGCAAGCTCGATCAATATTTGTGAAGTCTGTAATGCCAACTCTCTGGTGGGCACAATTACTAACGCCTGTATCACATCTCTCTTTGCGTCAACCTTCACAAAAGGAATAAAATAATCAAAAAACGGAAAAAATAATCAATAAAAGATACCTAACAAAGAAAAAGAATTATTCCTTTAATACATCTATCAGAGTTGCCACAAAAGAATTGATTTTATTCTCCTCTCACTTGTCCCTGTGTTCCAGTCAAAATTTTTACTTCATCCCTTTTTTCGATCAATTCCGTCAATGAAGTTCACAACGTTAATGATCAACAATTGAAAGAAAAGGAACACGGTTGCCACAAAAATTTAATTTTGCTTCTCATTTTTTTATATTATAAAAATATTGTTAACTTCTTCGAAATTATTTTCATCATTTCAATTTCAATTATTATTTTCTACAATTTTAAACTAAAATTCTTCTTTAAATCAATTAATTTTAATAAGTTTTGAAAAAGTTCTTCTTTGAGAATTTTCAAATTCATTTTTTTCAAATTCAATTTTACGTGAAATTTCGATTATTCGGAAATTCTTCAATTAAATATATATTAGAAAATTAAAACTTGAAATAATTTCAAAAAGAATTCAATTAAACATTTTCAAAAAAAAAAAAAATATTCTACAAAATTGTTAGATAAAAGTATGAATAATTCAGATTTTCGAAGAATTTGAAAACATTTAAAAATTCAGGCTATGATGCTTTTAATATTCAATTATTATCAACAATTTTGACTGAAATTTATGTTTACATCATTTTTTACTAGAAAATTCAACAAGAATTCAATTATTTAAATACGAAAATAAATAATTTATTGAATAATTGAATGTTTCTTAAAATTGAATTCTCATGAACAATATTTTCAACAAATTTAAAAAAATTTAAATTATGTCGACTTATTTTTAATACAATTTTTTTTAAATAATCACATTTTTCGAGGAATTCGATATAAAATTGTACTAAAAATAATTGAAATTCTACAATTAGCTTTATTATTTAACAAAATAATTGAATTCCTTATAAGAATTTTATTATTTACTAAAAAAAAATGTAATCCTTGTAAAAATTTTATTATTTATGAAAATAATTGAACTCCTGTAGAATTCTTATTATTTATGCAAATAATTAAATGTTTGCGTAGAATTTTATTAAAATGATATTAAATATCATTGAATTGAGAGAAATTTTTGAAAATAATGGAAATTTTAACGAGGTTTTTTTTTAATTTTTGAACATTTAATTGAATTTCTACGAAAAATTATATTTTTTATAAAAAGTAATTGAATCCCTATAAAAAAAATTGTATTATTTACGAAAATAATTAAATTATTGCGTAGAATTTTATTAACATTTTTTTTTAGAATAATTGAATTCTTTTAGAAAATTTTACTAAAATAGATATTAAAAATCATTGAATAGAGGAAAAATTTTCTGAAAATAATTGAAATTTTGTCAAGAAATTTATTAAAATTTTTGAAAATAATTGAATTTCGGAGAAGAATTTAAAAAAAATTTTAAACATAATTGAAGTTTTGGAAAGAATTTTATTACTTTTGAAAATAATTGAATTTCTGCAAATCATTTGTAACTTATGTCCAAAATTAAATATTTTTAAGTGTTTTTAACTAAAATTATTCTATAAATCCATTGTTTTTAATAATTAATTAAATATCTATTGCAAAATTTAACTAATTTTAGAAGAATTTGAATTATTCAAATTTTGCAAAAATCTAAAGTTCTTTAAAATTTAATTAATTTTGAAATATTGAAGTAAAATTTTTATTAAATAATTTATAAGTAAAACAAGTTTAAAAATTTCTCAATTAATTCAACGAAATTTCAATTATTTAAAAAGATTTAAATTTTTAATATCTTTAAAATTTTTTAAAAATTTAATTAAATTTTGAAAGTTTTTAATTAAAATTCTTTAAAAACTCAATTATTTTCAAAGACTTAAATAATCTGATCAAAAAGTAGCAATTAAATTAAACATATAACTCAATAAAATTTTCAAAATACCTAATTATTTTTCAAATATTTTAAATATCTTAAAAAAATAAAAACTTTTTTCAAAATGTTTTTGAATTCAAATAAAAGTTTTAATGCTGAATGTCCTTTAAGTTTTGAACATTCAAACGAACGACGCTATTTTTATTATTTTAATAGTAACTAAAATATTATTTTTCATATTAAAATAATTCTAAAGTAAATAAATACTGAATTTACACTCGTTTTCAATTTAATATAGTAATATTTAAAAATATTTAAACAGAAAAAAATGTTTATTTGAACATTTAAAATTTTTTGTTAAAAAATATTTCTAACTACTGAAATTGAAATATTTTGGAGCAAATTTAGGATTTTTGACTATTGTTTTTTTTACACCAAAAATTACATATAAATTCATCAAAACTGTGGTATTTCGAAAAAAATGAATAATTTAAAATAAATGCAATCATTAAAATTCAATTTGTAACAGAAATATGAAAAAAAACAATATTTCGTTTTAAAAGTCATAGCAATTTAAAAGATATTAGGACGAAACAAAGGATTAAAAAATAATTAATGGTAATTGGTATTTTTTCAGTACTTTTTGATAGAATTCCCTTTTCCCTGACTTATGGAAACTCTGTAGATGTATAAAAAAATCTCAATAAGAATATTCTACAAAAAAAAAAACAATCAAAATAGTTGAAAATAAAATTTTAACAATTTTTTTTTTAAATTAAAAAATAATCTTGTTTAAACAAAAAATTTCTCACCTGTTCGAGAACAGGAATAGAATATGCTCCAGTTTTGCCTGTTCCGTTTTTGGCACGCGCCAATATGTCTTTGCCGGAGAGTGCAATGGGAATGCTGGCTTCTTGAATTGGAGAAGGCTTTTCCCAGCCTTTTTCAAAAATTCCCATCAATAATTCTCGTTTCAGGCAAAACTCCTCGAACTCGTTGCCACGTGTGTCTGTTACATCCTACAAAAAGAAAAAAACCAATCATTTAATTTTAAATTCAGAAAAAAAAAAAAAAATTTCCTCTTGTTCTGGAAAAAAAAGAGTTACAAACAAAAGTTTTGTTTGTAAAAAAATGAAAATACATAAAATAAAAAATTACAAACTAAACGACTAAAAAATAAATAATGTAAATGTAACTAGAGAAGGAAAAATATCAATTTTTTCCAAAATGCTTACACTTGTTTTTATTCGTGCATCCTTCGGTGGGATTTTAAGCTTCGCTTTCCAACCCGCATCATCCATTTTTGTTAGATCTGTTTTTGGACCCAAACCAGAATTTAGCATATGATTGGAATTCATATGTGTTTCGGTCATCATCTTGAAAATATTTTAAGTGCTTCTTTAACGTCCTGCGAAAACATAAACAAAAACAATTCTTTAATCTCTCAACTTTTTTATTGTTCTAAATATAGAAATTAAATTATCATTTCCGATAAAAATGGAACTTTACGTTTTCATTTGAAAACAAAAAGAAACGCCTCTCATTGTACAACTTTTGTCGCAACTAAAATGATTAAAAAAAACGAACATAAAAAGTTCCCAGCGAACAATTTTTACAATTTTATTCCCGATTTATTATTCATTTCAATTAAATTTTTTTGCATTTATAGAAATTTTGTTTCAAAACGAAAAAGAACTTTTTTAATTAACTAAATTACGAGTTAAGCATTAATTTATTTTAAAATATCGACAAGTTTTGAACGTTCAAATGAGAAATATTTTGATAAATTCCTGTTCGCAAAAAAAAAAAAAATTTAAAACTTAAATTTTACACTTAGAAACTTAATAATTATTTTTTTTATCTAGCGACACAAAATTATTGTAATGAAAATTTTAATTGAAGAAGAAATAAATAAATTTCGTTCATTTAATCGTTCAGAACTTAAGGTTAATTTTAAAATACAAAGAAGTTAAAATTTATTTATTAAAATATTTTGACGAAAAACAATTTAACTTTTCATAAGAAAGTTCTAAAAAATGAAAATAATTATTCGAAACTCTGACATTTGAGGGAAAATTAAAATCTGCCAAAGACAAAATTCAATGAGTCATTTAGCTTTGAAAAATTTTCGCTGACAATTTTATATAGCACGTGAAGGGAAAATATTTCACAATCATAAATTAAACTCGAAAATAGCTATAATAACAGAGAGAAATAAAGAAAGAGAGAGAGAGAGAGAGTTTACCACGAGGCAGTTTTTATATGTTTGGGTTTTCAATGTAAACATCAAAGTACACAATTAAACAGAAAAACCTCAGAATCTCCCTTTATTTTTAATTCCACGAACAAAAAATTTTCCTTCATTTAATACTTGCATGGAGAAAATATGTTCTATTTACTCTTAACAAAAAAATAGATATTAAAAAACGACAAGAAAATAAATTCAAATACAAGGTCTAAATTAAAAAAATAAAAAATAACAAGAAAATAAGATAAAAAAAATACATTTTCTTTAAAATTCGAGTTCAAGATAAACTTCTAAACAGACTTGGAAAGACGAGAGAAAAAATATTAAACACACAGAGAATTATCGGAGCAAACAAAATGCAAATTGACAAAAAACAAAATGAAATTTTTTCTTGTAAGATAAGTTTTCATTAATTTTCAATTAGAAAACAAAAGATCATATGTTAGAAATGAAATGAATAAAATGAAACCCTCATCCTTATGGTCAACGAAAAACTAAACTAAAAGAGTCCTAATTCCAAAATTTTACCCTCTATAACCTTAAAATTGCAACTAAAGGAAACATTTAACAAACAAAAAAATCAATAATTTAATCCCATTCAGAAAAGTAAAAGAATCATCGAAATTATAGTCTTTAAAAGTAAATGTAACGGTCGTCGAACGAAAGCTATACACAATAGTCACAAACTGGTTTTCTTTAACGGGGAGAGGAAAGAAGAGAGCATTTTTCAAAGATGTAAAAAAAGATGCCAATGATAAATTATCGAAAGAAACGAAAACAAAAATAACTCCATTTGCAATGTTAATTAATGAAAAAAGACATCAGAACATTTATAATTCTTACCTTAAAACGGATGGGTGTCGATGCTGTTTTTGAAGCACTCGATTAAAGGAAACAACAAGCCAAAATGGCCGTTCCAATGTCAAGTCTCTAAAAATCTCGCAACACGGGTTTATAAAGTTGCGGATTTTAACCACCGTCGAAAAAGCACTTACGGTTATTATTTTTGTGTTTTTTCCTATTATTTTGTTATTATTTTCGTCGTTCGTGAAATTCTTCTCTCTATTTATCAATTTATCGTCTTTTTTCAAAAGAATATAAGGTTTTTTTTATTGCAAAATTAACGCACTGCGTCAAATGCGAGAATATTTTGTTAACTCGACAAGGCGGCGAACAAGAATATACACGGCTTCATGGGCAAAGAAATCATAAAAACTGGACACTAGAAACGGTGGAATTGTCATCAGCATTTTGATGACCCAAAATGATGACATCCGTTTCATTTTCCATAGTGTTCCTGTTGTCAATAACCCCCACCACATTCTTTCATACGCATTTAAAATGCTGCGCACTAGAAACGGTAAATTATTTCTACACTTAAATGGTAAGTTTACATTTTAGAATTTAATCGATTTGTTTATTTTATTAATATGTAAATGTTAAGAATAATCAGTTGATAGTGTTTGACAAAAAATTATTGTATTTTTCCTTTTGTAGTTGTTAATTTCCTTTGTGATTTTAAGGTTATGTTGGTGAGAATTTGTTTGCGGAGGAGGATGAAGTGGGAACAGGAAATAGAATTACGGCGGGATATTTGAAATATCAATTGTTGATATTTTTATATATTGTTTAAAAATAACAACAGTTGAAAATTTTTTTCATTTATCAATAACATTGAAGTTCTCCATATTTATTAAATATCAATTGCGAAAATTTTCAATATTTTATACTGTAAGTTTTTAAAATTTTTTACTTTTTGTCTCTTTCTTTTATTAATATTATTTTTTTAATTCATAATTTATTTTTCCACTTTATAAATTTTTTTTTCAATTAGTTATTAACTTTTTTTTATTGTAATAATTCATTAATATAGTAAAAATGCCTTTTTTTATTATTTTTCCATTTAATAATTTTTTAAAATTAATTATTAGCTTTTTTATTATAATACTAATTTATTAACTAATAGAATAAAAAAGCCTTTTTTGTATTTTATTTCCATTTTATTAAATTTTTTATTTAATTATTAGTTTTTTTATTATTATAATTTAATAATAGAGTAAAAATGCCTTTCTTGTATTTTATTTCCATTTTATTAAATTTTTTAATTAATTATAATTAACTAAACAGTTAAATAAAATGGAAATAAAATACAAAACGGCTTTTTTGTATTTTATTTTCATTTTATTTAATTTTTTAATTAATTATTAATTTTTTTTTATTATAATTATTAACTAAAAGAGTAAAAATGCCTTTTTCGTATTTTTTTTTACCAATTTATTACATTTTTTAGTTAATTTAAAATTTTTTTATTATAATTATTAACTAAAAGAGTAAAAATGCCTTTTTCGTATTTTTTTTACCAATTTATTACATTTTTTAGTTAATTTAAAATTTTTTCATTATAGTTATTAACAAAATGAGTAAAAATACCTTTTTTGTATTTTATTTAATTTTGTAATTAATTATTAATTTTTTTATTAATAATTTATTAATAGAGTAAAATTGCCTTTTTTGTACATATTTTGTTTCCAATTTATTTAATTTTTTAATTAATTATTAATTTTTTTAAATAATCATTTTTAGACTTATCGAGTAAAAATGTTTTTTTTCTATTAACTTTATTTAATTTTTTAATTAAGCATTAATTTATTTTTAAATAATAATTTATTAGCTAATAGATTAAAAATTCCTGTTTGTATTTTTTTTCCCATTTTATTAAATTTCTTAATTACTTATTAGTTTTTAATATTAATAGAGTAAAAATGTTTTTTTTCTACTTTGTTTCCGTTTCATTTACTTTTGTAATTAATTATTAATTTTTTTAATTAGAATAATTTATAAATAGAGTAAAAATGCCTTTTTTGTATTTTGTTTTCAAGGTAAAATATTTATTTTTAACTATATTTATTTATCATTAAACAATTTTTTTTTTACATTACTTCTATAAATTTTTAAATATTTACAGAAATTATTGATTTTTTTTCGTTTAATAACAAATATTCGTTTGCTTATAAAATATAGTTATTAAAATAAAAATAATTTTCTAAAATGAGTATTTAGAGTTTTTTTTTTTAAAGAACAATTGTAGTAAAATAGAAAAGAAAAAAAATGTTTAAAATAATATTTTACATTTTGTAGAAAACTGTCGAGTTCATTTGTTAAAAAATTGTTGTTTTAGATTGAAATGTAACTATATTACTGGATATTTCGCTTTTGGGATAATTTATATTTACGACAAGCTTCTGGACAATGACGTTCTAAATATCGACGTTGGGAAAATGCTTTTAAACAAATTCCACACTTCCATTCCCACTGATGATGATTTCTCGTTCTTTGATGAGCCCTCAGGTTTGATCTGTTAATTATTTTTATTTTAAAAACAAAAGAAATTATTCAAATTTTATATTTTTCAATTTTTTTAATTTAATTTTTTTCAAATTTATTTAGTTTCTTTTAATTTCTTTCAGTTTATTTTAATTTCTGTTAGTTTTTTTAATTTTTGTTAATTTCTTTTACTTTTTTTTAATTTCTGTTAGTTTCTTTTAATTTTTGTTAATTTCTTTTAATTTCTGTTAATTTCCTTTAGTTGATTTTAATTTCTTTTAATTTCAGTTTAATTAGATTTGATTTAAATTTGGAAAAAAATGTTTTCAGAACTCACCGATCGGCGAAGGATTTATTGCAAACGGGACATTCGAAGGGACGTTCTCCAGTGTGAAGTCGTAAATGTCCTTTTAACACCCAAGGACGATCAAAACTTTTATTACAAAATGGACAACAATGCATGACTTTATTACGCTTCCAATTTGGCTGATCATTCTCGTTATTTATTTTTTCCATCGATTTCTCTTTCGGCAAACAATGATCGTCGAATGTCTCTTCATTAAGAACTTCATTACAATTATCAGCAATTTGAATTAATCCATCATAATTTTGAATCTGTAAGATATTCGTCTTAATTTCGGATTCGTGTTTTTTTTTAAATTCCAAAATTTCAGAATTAATTTCTCCATTACATTTAATTTTATCTCTTGATAATGATGAATTTTTCTTTTCACTATTAATAAAAAATTGTTGAAATTCATCAATTTTTATCTCTGAATGATAATTGTCATTATCGAAATTTGTAATTTTTGTCTGATATTCAGAATTTGATGAATTCGAATCATTTTGTGATTCATCGGATAAATCGTCTGGATTTGGTGATGATTCGTCTGTTATTTCATTATTATTATCATTATTTTGTGATTCGTCGGAAATTTCCTGATCACTTGATGGAGAATCATCAGATGGTGATAATGATTCGAAATTATTTTCATTTTCATTAATTAAACATAATTCAAGTTCCTTGGGAATTTTCGTTGTGCAAAGCATTTCGTCATTATCTTTGAAACCATATCTCGTGACAATTGACAATTTCGAACAATTCCATAAATTTGGAGATTTTTTATTATTATTTTTATTCATGTTCTTCTTTTTTTTTGCATTCATCACTGGCGCAATACAAGCGATATTCGAATTTGAATCTAAAAGGAAATTTTTCGTTTCTATTTTATTGCCGAGAAAAATTTGTCGTCTTTCTATTTTAATTTTTTCAGTTCTTTAAAATTTTTTTTTGAAATTTTACTCTATTTCTTGGAAAATGAGATTAATTTTTACTTGATAAATTTATAATTTTTGGAAAAAAGTGGCAAAAATATAATTAAAGTTGGGAAAAAAATAGAAATTTTAACAGGAAGAAAAGTATTGTCAAAAAAAGTACATAAAAATTCGGGAGAAAAATTTTTCGACCGAGGAAATTTTTAAACGTCAAAAATTAATTAATATTTATTTTACTGATTTATAATTGAATAAAAAATCAAATTTCATTGATAGAAGGAAGAAAATAAAAATTTTTGCTAATGAAGGTTTTTTTTCCAGAAATTCGAGGAAGTTGAGAATGATTTGAAGAAACGTAAATTTTATGGATTTTCGAGAAAAAGAGGAAAGAAATAAATTTTGAGAAAAATTAAAATAAAAAATGGAGAGATGATAAAATTAGAGGAGTGGACATTTTTCTTTTTTTCAACTTTGTTTCAACACTGAGGATAACAACTTGTCAGGTATGGAGAATTTGTTAACAAAAAAAATTCTATAAATATTATAATTACCTTCATCATTTTTGTTGATTCGATTGTAGCGTAATAGACATTTTATTAAACAGCGTGGCATCTCGATTGTAAAGTGTGAAAAAATTTACATTTAATGGAATAATATTGAAAATATTATGGAAAATATAGGAAAAGAAAGCTTATCACTATCGCACTACTGTGGCTTATTTTACGACAGTCAATTGTTTTTCCCATGACGCTCTTCAAGCGCAAAACAAATGAGAGTTACTTTTTTTTAACACCAAAAAAAGCGCCCAGTAGATAAAGTAACCTGTTTTTTTTCTGGGTATTATTCTTTTTTTTTATTCGATGAGAGAAAAATAATTATGAAATTAATTTTTTTCCCTTTTTCGCAAAATTTAAATTTCAATTCTGTTGAAATTAGTTTCAATTTAAAAAATTTTAACTCAATTCTTTGAAAGAATTCAACTATCTTAATAAATATTAAAATTCTTTTCAGAAATTCATTTATTTTCAAAAATTAAAAAAAATTCTCGTCAATATTTCAATTATCTTTATAAATAGCAAAATTCATCACCGAAATTCAATTATATTCAAGAATCTTTATAAAATTCATTGTAAAATTCAATTATTTTCATAAATAACAATATTCATCACAATGATACAATTGTTTTCAAAATTAACAAAATTCTTCGCAGAAATTCAATTATTTTCGAAAAATTTAAAAAAAAATTGTCGTCAACATTTCAATTATTTTTATAAATGAATAGCAAAATTTTTCAACAAAATTCAATTATTTTCATAAATAATAGTATTCATCACAAGAATTCAATTATTTTCAAAAGCAATAAAATTCAATTATTTTCAAAAATTGTAATGAAATTCATGGCAAAATTTCAATTATATTTTCAAAAATTTTTCTTAATTCAATGATTTTCAATATTCTACTATTTTAATAAAATTTCCCAAAAGAATTCAATTATTAAACAAAAATTATGATAGAATTCTACACAAACATTCAATTATTTTTCAAAAAAATAAAAATTTCACAGAAATTCAATTATTTAAAATAGAATTTGCATAAATTTTTTCGAAAAAATCAAATGTTTTAAAATTTGGCATTAAATTCTTCGCAGTAATTCAATTATTTTTATAAATTTTTGAATTCTTTTTAGAGATTTAATTATTTTTATAAATAATAAAATCATTCAGAGGAAGTCAATTATTTTCATAAATAACAATATTCATCACAAGAATTCAATTATTTTCAAAAATTTTAATAAAATTCATTGAAAAATTTCAATTATTTTCAAAAATTTTTCCTAATTCAATAATTTGTACATATATATTATTTTAATAAAATTTTCCAAAAGAAATTCAATTATTTAAAAACAATTTTGATAAAAATGTACACATATGTTAAATTATTTTTTAAAGTTATGAAAATTTCACAGGAATTCAATTATGAAAAATAGAATTTGCACACATTTTTTCAAAATAAATCAATTGTTTGAAACTTTTTTTAGAAAATTTTTCGCAATAATTCAATTATTTTCATTTCATTAAAAAATTAAATTAAATTAAATTTTAATAATAAAACTCATTGCAGAATTTCAATTATTTTTAATACAATTTTAATCAAATTCCTCGAAAAATGTAATTATTCTGAAAAATTTTATTCAAATTCGTCAAAAAAATTCAATTATTTAAAGATTTGTTGATAAAATTTTTTCTGAGAATTCAATTTTAAGAAACATTCAATTATTCAATAATTTTTTCATTTTTGTATTTAAATCATTGCGAATTCTCGTAGAATTATCTAATAAAAATTTATTTAAAAATTAATTTCAGTTAAAATTTGAGATAATAATTGAATATTAAAAACATTATAGCGTGAATTTTTAGAAATAATTGAATTTTGAAAAGGTTTCAAATAAAAATCTTCGTAAATCTGAATTTTTCAACTAGCAATTCTGTAGAATTAATTTTTTTTTGAAAAAATTTAATTGTTTTTTTTATATTTTTCAAATTTTTATTTTCTATTATAATATTTAAATAAAAAATTTCCAAATGATCAAAATTTCGTAAAGTTGAATTGTAAACAAATGGATTTGAAAATTCTCTAAGAATTTCTTTAAAAATTATTAAAAACAATTAATTTAAAGAAGAATTTTATTTAAAAATTGTAGAAAATAATAATTGAATTGAAATGATGAAAATAATTTTGAAGAAGTTACAGTAACAATTAAATAACTTATAATAATTTTAAGAAATAATAAAATTCTCATCACGCATATTAAATTATTTTTAATGCAATTTTAATAAAAATTCTTGAAAGAATACAAATATTTATCAAAATTTCATTAAAATTCTTGTCGCAGAAATTCATTTATTTAATTTATAAAAGAATTCAATTACTTTCAAGACAATTTTAGAAACATTTTAAAAAAAACAAATTTTAATAATAAATGACAAAATAACAAAATTCTTCAATAGAAAAAACAAAATTAAATTTTTGTGGCAACCCTGATTATTTTATTATGTATTTTTGTATTTGTATTTGTATTTTGCATTTTTATTTTATATATTAATTTACAATGTGAAATTAATTATTTTCTAGTTTTTACCCATTTTTTTGGAATTTCTTTGTTAAATTATTTTTTTATTTTGTATTTTTATGTTTAATTTACAATGTAAATTTATCTATTTTTTAATTTTTATATTTATATTTTCTTTAATTGCTTTATTCATTATTTCCCTATTTTTTTTGTCAATCACACTAGAGTGAAACTTAGTACATAATTCGAAATATTTTTTTAAATAGATGGTGAAAATTTTATAAAAGGAATTATGATTGAAATTTGTTGTTTAAAAGTTTATAGTGGTGTATATAATATATAAATTGTGAGCAAGGTTGTATTGCTCCCTAGCACTTAATAAATTGTATAAGTAGAATCAGTTGTTATCAGTGGGGTTCTTTCACATCGTCTGATTGATGGAATAGTCTTTCCATTCAGTAGACATCGTGAAGACTTGTGGTAAAATTATTTTTCATTATAATCACATTGCGAACAAAAATCACTACCTAATCTTTTTGTTTAATTAAAAAAATTGTGAATTAATTCTCAAAAATTAATTTCAGTTATAATCAGATTTTTTTTTTCTTTTAATTTAACTGGTTTCGTTTTTTTTTTTTTTACAAATTTATCTAATTAATTGAATTTACTTTCAGATTATGTGTCGAATGCTTCTTCTGTTATTGATTTTAAATTTATCAATATCAGAAAATTTCAATCTAAAAAATGAGGAAAGATTTCTATGTGTAATAAAACCGGAAAGATATTTTCTCTGCGACAATCGCAATTGTATTAGAAGATTATACAAATGTAATGGTGAAAATGACTGCGGTGATAATTCCGATGAAAAAGATTGCGAAGGATCAATGGTTTGATTATTTTTTATATTTTTAATAGAAATTTTGTATTTATATTTTATTTTTATTTATTTTAATATATATTTTCTAATATTTCTTAATATTTTGAAACTATTTTTAATATTTTTGAATATTTGAAAAAATTTGAATTAATTTATAATAATGACAAATTTGAATTATTTTCAATATTGATTTTAATCTTATGTTTTCAGTGGTCGCCAATATTTCGTAATTGTACAAAAGATCAATTTCAATGTCGACATTTTAGATCTTGCATACCAATAAATGATTTTTGTAATAAAGAAGAAGATTGCGATGACGGAAGCGATGAATATGAAGGCTGTGAATCAATGGTTCGATTAATTATTATTTGTAATCTGTTCGCAGTTTAAAGTTAGCTGTTATTTGCTTTTTTTGTTTCTTAGCTTCTTCAAAATTTTTCTTTTTAAATAATTTCCATTTTTTCAATTAATTTATTGAAAATCATCGAATTGTTGCAACAAATTTTATCCAAACATTTTGATAATAATATACCTAATTCCTTCGAAGAATTTTATTATTTATGAAAATAATCATATCTGTTAATAATTGAAATTAAACATTTAATTAGGGACCGTCCATAAACCACGTAGCCCCATTTTTGGGGAATTTTGACCCCCCCCTCCCCCATGTAGTACGCTATTACATATATTAGCGCCATTTTTTCCTCTTGTCGTAGTCAATTGCTTGACCCCCCCCCCTCCCCCTCAAGAGGCTACGTGGTTTATGGATGGCCCCTTAATGAATTTTATTAAAATTTTTGAAAATTCTTTTGAAAAATTTTATAACAAATTAGCTAATAAAAAAAAATTGAATTCTTTCGTTAAAATTTTTTGAAAATAATTGAATTTTTGCAAAGATTTTATTATTTATAAAAATAATTGAATTGTTTCGAAGGATTTATTAAAAGTTAAAAAAATAATTGAAATTTTGCAAAGAATTGTACTATTTTCAAATATAATTGAATTTTTTCGAAGAATTTATTAAAATTTTAGAAAAAAATTGATTTTTTTTTTTAAATATTAAAAATTAAAAAAAATTGAATTCTTTCATGAAATGTTTTTTGAATGGTATAAAAAATAATTGAATTTTTTGCAAAGAATTAAGAATTATAAATAGTAAACTATTTATAAAAATTTTAGAAAAAAAATTGAATTATTTCGTGAATTTTTTTCAAATAATTTTTTTGAAAATAATTGAATTTTTGAAAATATTTTATATCGAATAAAGAAAAAAGTTGAATTTTTTAGTGAAATTTTTTTGAAAATAATTGAATTTTGCAAAGATTTTATTATTTTAAAAAAATAATTGGATTGTTTCGAAGGATTTATTAAAATTTTAGAAAATAATTGTATTCATTCGTGAAATGTTATGAAATTTTTATTAAAAATAATTAAATATATTTTTTAAAAAATATTCTTCTATTTAACTAATTTGTTCGTTTACTAATTTTCAGTTACAACAAATGCCCTGCTCAGGTTTTAAATGCGAAAATGGATTTTGTATAAATAATAATTTGCGTTGTGATGGTAAACAAGATTGCTCAGATGGAAGCGATGAATCTAAATGTGGTGAGAATTATTTTTATAACTTTATATTCAAATATTTAAATAAATATAAATACTTTATTCTCTAATATAAAATTTATTTAACAAATACTATTTTTTAACAATTGAATGGCAAAGGATAATTCTGTTTTTTTTTCTCATCTTTTGCACTAAAATACATTTTAAATAAAAATTCACAATTTTGAATCATTTTTTCTCTTTTTTGAAATTTATATTAAAGTTTATATTGAAATAAAAATTCTATTTTATATTTAACAACAAATTTTATTCAAAATAATAAATTTTCTTCAAATATGAAAATTATTATCAATATTTTCAATGTGGCGAAAAAATAATTAAATTTCAAATAGTTTTTAAATTGAAATCTTTGAAATTCTAATTGCTATAAAAATATCATAATTTATTTAAATATAAAAAATTATTAATTTGTTAGCTTCCTTAAAAATTAAGTTTTGAATAACATTCAAAAATTCTAAAACAATAATTGAATTTAGAAAGAATTACAGTTGCAAATTTTTAGAAATAAATAATAATTAAATTTCAAATGGTTTTTCATTGAAATTATTTGAAATTTTAATTCCTGAGGAAAAATAAATACAAAGTTTTAAAATTTTTGTTCGAAAAGTATTGAAGTTTCGAATATATAATTTAATTTAGAAATTTCGAGAAAATTTGTTTCTTGAAAAAATGTAATTAAATTTTTTTTTAAATAATTGTATTTCCGAAAATAAATTTAAAAAATTTCTCCTGAAACTATATTTCATAATTTAAAAATGATTTTTTTTTGTTTTTATTTATTTTATTTATTTAAATTCTAAGTTGTGATTTTTTTGTTTTATAGTTTTAGCGCCAGTCTGTACTAAAAATGGAACTTTCAGTCATTATTGTGAAGGTAATTTTAATTATTCTGTATATGACTGTAATAATGATGAATATATTTTGAGGATTACTGGTCGTTGTAATTATGTTGGTAAGAAAATTTTTTAATTTTATTGAAATAAGTAAATCATTTTGTATTAATTATTTAATGAAAAATATATATTGAAAATTTGAGATGAAAAATTAATGCTAAGTGAGGAAAGAAATATTAACTGTGAAATTTAATATTTTTTACATATTAATAATTAGGGTTGCCCACAGAATTCATAATTAGTTTTATTTAATTTTTTAATATATATTTAATTATTTATTATTAAAAATCATGGATTTATAGAAGAATTTTAGTTAAAAAACAGTAAAAAAAATTGCAATTTAGAGAAGTTACAAATGTTTGCAGAAATTCAATAACGTTCAAAATAAATGTTTTTCTTTTTTTTTTTATTTAAATAATTGAATTCTCGTAGAATATGTTAATAAGAATTGTTTTAAATATTAATTTCAGTTAAAATTTGAGATAATAATTGAATATTAAAAGCATGATAGCGTAAATTTTTGGAAATAATTGTATTTTGAAAAAGTTACATAATTAGATTTTTTTTTAAAACTATTTCAAGTTTTTATTTCCTAAATATTTAATTAAAGAATTTCTGAATAATCAAAATTTCGTAAAATTGAATTATGAATTAATGGGTTTGAAAATTCTTTAAAAACATTCGCAAAAATTATTTAAAATAATTGAATTTTAGATGAATTACCTTTGCAATTTTCAGAAATAATGAAATTTCATGAGGTTTTTTATTGAAATTATTTTGAAATTTTAATTCCTGTAAAAAAATAAATAAGAATAAGTTTTTAAATTTTTGTTTCACAAAAACTGTTGAAGTTTTGAATACAAATTTAATTTAGAACTTCCGAAAAAATTTGTTTCTTGAAAAAATGTAATTTATTGAAATTTTTTAAAAATAATTGTATTTACGAAAATAATTTAAAAAATAATGGATTTATATAGAACAATTTTAAAAAACTAAAACAAATCGAATTTTGAAGCAATTACAAAAAAATTCAATTATTTTTAAAAATTTTAATAAAATTCTTGGCAAAATTTTAATTACTTTCAAAAACTTTCCTCAATTCAATGATTTTTAATATCTACAACTTTAATAAAATTTCTTAAAAGAATTCTATTAGCTAAATAAAATTCTACGCAAACCTTTCAATATTTTCATTATTAACGCAAATTTCACAGGAATTCAATTATTTACAAAGTATTTTTATATATTATTCAATTATTTTCATAAATAATAAAATATAAAGTCTGAATTTTAATTATTTTTAATACAATTTTAATGGAATTCTTCGAAAAAAGTTATTATTTTTAAAATTTTTATTAAAATTTATCAAAGAAATTTAATTATTTTAATAACCGCTTTGCTAGAATTTATTTATTAGAATTTAAGTATTAATTTCAATACATTTTTAATTAAATTTCTTTAAAGAATAAAATTATTTTCAAAAATTTTAATTACATTCTTTGCGTAACAATTTAATTTTTTTCAAAATAATTTTAGTAAAATTCTTCGCAGAAATCCAATCAGGTTTAAAAATTTACAAAAATTCTTGTCAAAATTTAAATTCTTTTTATAAATAATAAAATTCTTCAGTGAAATTCAATTATTTTTAAATATTTTAATAAATCTCTTGGCAAAATTTCAATTACTGTCAAAATTTTTCCTTAATTCAATGATTTTCAATATCTACAACTTTAATTAAAAATTCCTAAAAGGATACATTTTAAAAAAATTTTTTTTTTAAATTTCAACGTCGCAAACGTTTAATTATTTTCATAAATATTAAAAATTTCACCGGAATTCAATTATTTTCATAAATAATAATTTTTTTTTAGTAATTCAATTATTTTTTATAAATATTAAAATTTTTTTACAGAGATTAAATTATTTTTTATTAATAATAAAACTCATTGCAGAATTTCAATTATTTTTAATACAGTTTTAACTAAATTCCTCAAAAAATGTAATTATTCTTAAAAATTTAATTAATTAATTGAATTTTGAAAATGTTTTAAATAAAAATCTTCGTAAATCTGAATTTTTCATACATTTAACTAGCAATTGTGAAGAATTAATTTTTTTGGAAAAATTTAATTGTTTTTTTTATATGTATGTTTAAAAATTTTATTTTCTATTATAATATTTAATTAAAGAATTTCTGAATAATTGAAATTTCGTAAAGTTAAATTGTAAACAAATTTAAATTTTCGTTTTCGAAATCTGGAAAAATGATGTTTTTTAACCTGGAAAACCTGGAAAAGTCAGGGAATTTGAAAGAGCAAATGCGTGGCAACCCTGAATAATGATTAAATATAATTTTGTCTGGGAATGAGGGAAAAGTTGGGGAAAAAAAAATTAAATATTTGTGGCAACCCTGATAATGTACAAATTTTGTTGACAGCTGACCGTGCTGCATTATTATTTTCAACGTGGACAACTATTAATTCATTTCAATATAAATCCAATTCAACTATACGATATACACACTATTTAAGTTTACAATCACCAGGGATCACTAATTTAAATCATGTCATTGGTCTTTCTCATTATAAAAATTATATTTATTGGTGTAGTTTTGTATCAAATGTTTATATGATTTTTAGACGTGATCTAAATAAATCAGATTTTGAAATTATGGTGTCAGAAGGTAGAATTATAATTTTACAATTTTCTTTTCTTTTAAAGAGTAAGTAATTATAATAGAAACTTTCCTTTTCTTTCTTTTTTTTTTTACAGGTATCCAAACGGCTCAGGATATTTCTGTACATAATATCGATGGGTCTATTTACATCGTTGACAGTCACTACCATCATATTTTATTTTGTCGAGATGATGGATATTATTGTAAAGTAATAATTTCCGACGGTAAACGAATACCAAAGGGAATTGCTCTTGATGAATCCAGATTGTAAATGATAAATTTTTCTTTTAATTTTTTTTTTTTTTTATAAAGATTTTTTCTCTGTTACTGTATATTTTTTTTTAAATTTATGATAAATAGAAAAAAACTAATCAATTTTAATTTATAGTTTAATATACTGGAGTAGTTGGGGACAGGATCCTTGTATATCAGTAGCTGACATGAATGGAGAAAATAAAAATGTTTCAGTGAAAGAAAACTTATTTTGGCCAACTAAATTGATTATTGATAAAGAAAATAATCGATTATATTGGATTGATATTAAATTGCAAACAATTGAATCAATTAAATGTGATGGGACCAATAGAAAGGTAACTTACATTTTTATTTATTCTGTTTTAGATTTTTTTTAATAGTAAAAAATATTTTTGTTTCTTTTTTTTTTTAGATATTGTTGAAAGAAATTGTAAAAAATCCTATTGCTATTGCTGTGTTCGAAGGTACTTTGTATGTTGTCGATAACAAAAATAGTACAATTTATTCATGCAACAGATTTACAGGCAAGAATTTAAAAGTTGCTCATGAATTAAAAGTGTTTAAAGCAATAACTGATCTTCATGTTTTTGAAAAATCATTTCAAAGTTCTTTTAATAGGGAGCAAGTTTGTTCTCAACTTTTTATTCCACTTTCATCTAGAGAATCAAAAAACTATACCTGCGCTTGTGCCTTTGATTATGAATTAGCATCTGACAATAAAACATGTATAGGTATTTTTAAATATTTTTTATGTTTATACATTTTAATTATAATTAATAATAATTATTTATCATTTTTATTCTCTCCTTTTTTTTAATAACAATTGTTTATAAATTTTTTCAGCATCTCCAAAACATGAACACATTATAATTGCAAATAAGAATAAATTATTTTCTTATTATAAAAATATGATTGGAAAACCATTGGTCAAATCAAATCGAGTCTTCAGTTATATTACTCACATTGCCTACGATCCAATTGGAGGTAAGTTTTTTTTTTATTAATTAAATTACTCGAAAGAATTTAAATTTTCTTCAAGACAATTGAATTTATTTTTACAAATATTATTTTTCTTTATTATTTTCATAAATAATAAAAATGCTTTGCAAAGAATAATTCCAATTCCTCTTTAACAAGTATTCAAATATTTATTATACAAAAAATGAAAAATTCAATTCTGAAAAAATGAGGTTTAAAAAAAAGGAATTAAAATTTTTTGAAAATAGTTCAAATCCCGAAAATAATTTTAAAAAATTGAAAAAATGGGGAATTTTCTTAATCTTCATTAAAATAAATTTTATATTTCAAAGAATTTTATATATTTTTTTTTTTTTACTTTAAAACGTTATTTTTAATATTAGTGTATTTCTTGAAAAATTGTATCTAAAAATAAGGAAAATAATTGAATTTTAGAAAAATTTTTAAAACAGAAATTGATTGAAAAAAGAATTTTAATTAAAATTTAAAAAAATAATTAAATATTAGAAGCGTTATAATATTTTAATTGGTTTGCAAGAATTCAATTATTTTTTTTATACAATTGTAATAAAATTTCTCTAAAGAATTCAATCATTATCAAAACATTTGATATAATTTGTATAGATATTTTAATTTAATTATTTTCAAATCATTTTTAATTGAATTTATTGAAAGAATTGAATTATTTTCATAAGTTATAAAATTTCATTTGGAGGAATTCAATTATTTTCAAGACAATTTTCATTAAATTTTCTTGACATAAAATTTAATTACTTTTAAAAATTTTAATAAAATTCCTTGTAAAAACTAAATTATTTTCAAAAATTTTAATAAAATTCTTGTTAATAATTGAATTCTCGTACAACTTTTTGATAAGATTTAATTTGTAAAAGAATTTCAGTTTATATTTTAGAAAATATTTCAAGAATTGGAAAAATTGCAGTTTTTATTTTAATTAAATTTCAAAAAGTTTTATATTGAAATTATTTTGTAATTTTAATTCCTGCTTGACAAATAATTAACTGGAAGTTATCAAATATTTGTTTAACAAAAATTTTGGAAATAATTGCATTTTTTGACAAAATTTTATTAAAAATTTTTTAAATACTTGAAATAATAAAATAAAATATTTTAAATATTTTATAGACTTTTAAATACCTTATTGAATATTTTTATTAAAACGTTTAAAAATAATTGAATTTTTTTTTAGACAACTTACTTGTGGCCGACCAGCAAACAAATACATTGTACAGTTTTAATTGGAATTCAGAAAACTTAACAACAATTTTAGACATAACAAATGAATTTATAGGAGGCATGGATTTTGATTATGCTGGTAATAATTTATATTGGTCGAACACGGAATTTAATGTTATTGAAATTTACAGTATGAGGACAAAAAGTCGATCGGAAATACCGTTTATCAATCAACCCCATGAAATTGCTCTTGTACCAGAAAAAGGGTATTTTTCTTCCTTTTTTTTATTTATTAAAAAAAAGTAAAACTATAAATTATTTTTAAAAAAATATTACAATTAATTTTATATTTTTTGAAGTAGACGGAATTTTTTTTTTTTTTTTTTTTGGCTTTTTTAATGATTTCTTTTTCTCTTTTAATTTTCCAACACAGAATTATGTTCGTCGTATTTGAAATGAAATCAAAAGAATATGAAATGAAATCAAAAGTATATGAAATTAAAAAATTGGATATGTCTGGAAAAGCGGAAAATGAAGAATTTCTTCCAACTAGCAGATTAATGGGACCAAAAATATATTTGGCTTATGATTTTCAAAGTAATCGTTTATATTATGCCGATGAGGGTTCAGGTCTAATTTACAGTATTTTTTATTTAGGTGGGTACGTTAATTTATTTACGATTATATTATGTATTTTTATATTTATCAAGTTTTTTGTCATATTTTTTTTACTCGAGAAAAAATGTTTAAATGTTTCTAGGTTTTAACAAAAAATTTATTCTTCAAACTGAGAGAAAACCTACGAGCATTGCTTTAATAGGCAATTTAATATACTGGACAGAAAAAAATACTGAAGAAGTATTTTCTACTAATGCAACAAACCCATGGGTTGATTTTAAAAAAACATTATTAAATTTCGGTAAATACGGTTATTATTTTAATTAAATAAATAAATAATAAATTAGATAAAATTACAAAAAAAATTTTTTTTAACAAGACAATAAAATAATAATTAAGATATTAATAAATATAGAATTTAATTAAAATGAAATTTCACTTGAAAAGTAATAATTTTTTATTTAAGCTTTCTCTAAAATGGTTGATATTATGGGAAATTCGAATGCCATGAAATTGACACATTTGCATAAAAGATTATTAAATGAACACGATTGCAATCGAAAAACACCTTGTTCACATATTTGCATTACAACTGTTTCAAATTATTACGTAAGTCAATAATTTTAATTACTATTTTTCAAATTCATAGAATATATTATTAAAAAGAAAAATTTACGATAACACTTTTAAATTATCAAATTTCATTGAACTTGTTGACAAAAATTAGAATTTTTCTTTAAATACAAAAAGTTTCTTTCTTTTTTCTAAATTTTATTTATTTTACTCTAAATTTTTCTAAGCTAAAATTAAATTTTCTAAATTCTAATTTAATATTTCAAATATTAAATAATAACGAAAATCAATAACAATTTGAAAAAAAAATAATTTTTTCCAATAAACTAATTAGAAAACAATTTTAATTATTATTTTTATTTAGATTCGTTGGTTTTCTATTTTTCTGATAAATAAATTAATAATTAGAAAACAATTTAAATTACAGGCCTCGAATATTATGATTTTTTCGACTGTTTTTTTAAAAAATACGATATTTTTCGACTTATTTTCAAAAATTGTGACAAAAACCATATTTTTGGTATAAAATGCAATTTATTTCGATTTTATAGTGTAAAAAATCTAAGTACAGACAAAATGTTCAAAAATTATTTTTGATCGATTTTTCTGATTAAAATTTTTGATAATATACAATTAAAAAATGTTTCAATAATTGAAATTTTGTAAAATTTATAACTGAAAATAATTGATTTTTTCAAGTATTTTATTAAAATTTTTTAAAATCAACTTTTGAAGAGTTTTAATTGCAAATTTTGAAATTAATTGAATTGTCAAAAATTTCAATGAAAAATCTTCAAGTGTAAATTCATAAATATGAAAATTAATTAAATTTATCTTCTAAAAATTATATTTAAAATATTTTTGAAAAAAGTAATACTTATAGAATTTTTTCCTCGTAATTTTTTAAAATTCAATTATTTTTAAAAGATTTTACCAAATTTTCAATTATTTTTTGGAAATTTTTCAATTGTATAAACTAAAAATTTATTAACTTTCAAAAATTATTTAAAAAATTAATTTTAAGAATTCTTTTCTTATAATTTTTTAAAAATCAGTTATCTACTTTTTTCAAATTGAATTTTTCTAATTTTATTTCCCGTAGAAAAATAAATAATAATTATTTGAATATTTATTTAACAGAATTAAAAACGATTTTTTTTTTGGTATTTTTAATCGACTAAAGCGACTTTTTTTTGCTCCTTAAAGTCGATCCGAGGTCTAAAATTATTATTTTTGTATATTTTTTTTCCAATTTTTAAAAAATGTTTATTTTTCCAATAAGTTAATTAGAAATATTATAATAATTTATTAATTTTTTCTAGATATGTGAGTGTCCCTATGGAATGAGTTTGAGAGAAGATGGAAAAACTTGCGAAATAAGAACATGTCGAACAGATGAATGGAGATGTGTAAGAACTGGCCACTGCATTGAAACAAAGAAAAAGTGATCCTTAATTATATAAAAAAAATTATTTCAATTTCAATTTTCAAATTCCGATAATTTAAACACTTTTTTAAACATATTTTTATTTTTATTTATTCAGCTATAATTTTACTTTTACAGTTATTAAATTTTTTTTTTTGCACGAAATAATATATTTATTTCCGTTATTTATTCATAAATTATTAAATATTTCTTTAAAATTGATTGCAGATGCAATGGGAAAGTCGATTGTCTCGGTGGAGAAGATGAAATAAATTGCAATTCAAGTAGTGAATGTTCAAATTTACAATTTCGTTGCAATAGTGGACAGTGTATTGATATTAGAAGCAAATGTGATTTTCAATACGATTGCCTCGATGAATCAGACGAGAAAAATTGTACGAGAAAAATTTGTGATGACGGTAAAATAATACATAATTACTAATTTTTAGTTTAAGAAAAAAATTCCAATTCTTTATTGAGAGAAAAAAAAATCTTCCAGTTTTAATTTTTGAAAATTTTTTCCTCTTAAAATATTTGTTTAACAAAAATTATAGAATTTTTAAATAATTTAATGTAGAAATTCTAAATAAAATTAGGATTTAAAATTTTTGGAGATTAAAATTCTTTCGAAGATAATTGAATTCATGAAATTAATTTAAAAAATCGAAACAATTAAAAGTTTTTTCTAATTTCATTGAAATAAATTTCATATTTGAAAGAATTTAATTTTATTACTATTTTAACAATTGTTTTGAAATATAATCGTATTTTTCACGAATTATATTTCTAGTGATAAATAAAATTATAAAAAATATTTTTTAGGAGAATTTCAGTGTCATGATAAGAGTAAATGCATAATGAAATCATATGTTTGTAATGGACACGCCGATTGTGAGGACAATTCCGATGAATTAAATTGTAAAAATTTCACTTGCAATTCAGAAAGTTTCAAGTGTAATTCAACAGATGTGTGTATTCCAAAAAATTGGGAATGTGACGGAGAGGTAATATTAGAGACTCGAAAAAAAATAATTTTACTGAATAAATTTGTATTGAATTGAAAATTTATTTCTTTAGATGGATTGCTTGGATGGTTCGGACGAAAGTGAAAAATGCGGAACACTAATTTGCTCATCAAGAATGTTTCGATGCGAAAATGGAAATTGCATTGATAAACTTTTAATTTGCAATGGTTACAACGATTGTGGTGATAATTCAGATGAAAGACGTTGTATAAATTTCAAAAAAGTCGAATCCATTAATTGCAACGCCACCGAATATAAATGTAAAAAAAATGAAACATGCATTCCTCTGAATATGAGGTATTTTTCTTTTCTTAAAAATTTTAGATTCAATTTAAAAACTAAATTTTTAAAATAAAGTTAAAATTCTCAAAATTTTAGATGCAATGGAAAAGTAGATTGTCCTCATGGCGATGATGAGAAAAATTGCATTCACTGCGAAGAATCAGAATTTAAATGTGAAAATTTACAATGTATCGATTCATTCATGGTTTGCGATAAAAATGATGATTGCGGTGATAATTCGGATGAGAAAAATTGTGGAATTACTCGTCAAGTGAATAATTCGACTATATGTGAAGAATTTAAATGTGACGATGGTGCTTGCATTTCATTTAATAAAGTTTGCAATGGAATTTACGACTGTAGTGATAAAAGCGATGAGCAAGGACAATGTGGTAATAATTTGAAAAAAAAATCAGTTTTTTTTCATTTCTATTTTTATCAAATATTTAAATTTCTTTTTGAAAGGAAAAAAAAATTAATGAGGCTAATTTTCTGTTCCATAGAATCTTCATGTAATACAACGTCTTCATGTGAACAAATATGTATTAAATCACCGAAAGGATCGGTTTGTCAATGCGCTCAAGGATATAAATTGCAAGAAGATGAAAAATCATGTAAAGACATTGACGAGTGTTTATTAATGGAGGGAACGAAATTTTGCAGTCAAATTTGCATCAATTCAGTTGGTTCCTATAAATGTGATTGTTACAAGGGTTATTCACTTCGTAACGATGGAATAAATTGTAAAAGTACAGGTAAACAATTTTTTCTTTACAATTTATAAATTTTTTTCAATTTTAATCATTTTAAATAAAAGTTACAATTTTTTACTATTTAAAAAAAATTTTTTTTTGACTATTTTTCGGCCTCAGATCGACTTTATGGCGGAAAAACAAATCGAAAAAGTCGATTATTTTATTCAGTTCAGTCAAAAAAAAATTCTTGTTTCTAAATTTAATTATTCAATTTATTCAGTTCAATAAATATTTAAATACTCGAGATTTCTTTTTCCACGAGAATAAGAATTATTAAAAATAATTAAACATTCAAATCTTCCAAAATTCAATTATTTCCAAAAGTTTCATTTTTAATTTTAATTAAATCAAATGTTTAAATTCAACTGTAATTTTGGCAAAATTCAATTATTTTCTTGAATTTTGAACTAAACTTCTTCTCTAGATCAATTTTTTCGAAAAATCTTCGACAATTGAATTATTTAAATATAAAAATTCAATTTTTTTTAACTGCAACTCATTTTTTTTTTGTTATTGTGACGAATTATTGAGAATAAGAATAAGTAAAAAAGTTTTTAAATTAATTCTTTAGAAATTTTTCGAATTAGTTTTTGTAAGAATAAAATAGATATTTTAATTATAATTTAAAAATTTACAAATTAAAAATTTGTAAAAAAAAAAACTTTTTTAAATTAATTTTCAAATTAATTGAAATTTAGTAAAAAATTTTAAAAATAAAGAAGCGTTACAATATAAATTAAACAATTCTAAAAATTAGATTTCTAAAAATATCTATTAATATCTTTTTTCGAAAATAATAAAATAATTTTTCGTGCGGATATTTGAATTTTCGGAAATATATGATTGGAAAATTCAAAAATAATGAAATTTAAAAAAAATATTTAATGAAAAAAATTTTTTAAAATATAATAATAAATAAATACTTAAAAAGTATTTTAATAATGTACTGAAAATCATTGAGTTCTTGTAAAAAATCTTATCAAAAAATTTGAAGAGAATAGTTTAATTCCTTCGAAGAATTTTACTTATTTATAAAAATAATTGAATTATTTCGAAGGATTTATTAAAATTTTAGAAAATAATTGAATTCTTTTGAAAAATTTTATAACGAATTAAGAAAAAAATCAAATGCCTTTGTGAAATTTTATTGAAAATAATTGAATTTTTGCAAAGATTTTATTATTTATAAAAATAATTGAATTTTTGCTACCGAATGATAAATTCCTTTCCTTTAATGAATTTTTAATATTTTTTAATTAATTTCACAGATTTATCAATGAAATTTATCATAGCCAGTAATGAGGGTATAAAAAATGTTTCCCTCGGTGGAATTGCAACTGAAATTATAGTTCCTGTTATGAATGACGAAATTTCCGGTTTAGATGTGAATATTGCAAAAAATACAGTTTACTGGAGTAACGGTAACGATCGTTTTCTTTTTTTCAATACTTAAAATTAATATTTAATATTTAATTTAATTATTCTATAATTTTTCGAAACTTTTTCTTTTCAAGAATTTCATATTTGTAGAATAAATTTATTAAAAAAGCTATTTATTTTTCATAGTTACTTTTTTCTTCTTTAGAAAATATGAAAACTGTTTCGAGATTTAATTTAACCACCGGCGAGAGAAAGGAAATATTTTTTCAAAATCCGGATCGTTTGACAGTAGATTGGGCAACTGATAATGTTTATATTTATAGTAAAACATCGTCGGCATCGATTCAGGTAATTTTAATATAAATAAATAATAATTAAATTAAATTTTAAAGAATTTACGAAAGAAAATAAATTTCTAATTTTAGGTTTGCAATCTCGATAAAGGAATTTGTGCCAATATAATTTCTCTCGATAAAGTTGGAAATGTATTTGCTCTTATTGTCGATTCTGTGAATGGGTAAGATGAATTTTTTTTCTTATTAAATTCTAAACAAAAATACATATTTTATAAAATAGTAATATTTATAATAATTGAAGTTAACAATTTAAAACTGTAAAATAAAATAACGATTTTTCTCTTCAGAAATTATTGTGTAAAATGGAAAACTTTACAGATGGATATTTTGGAGTCACAGTAAGCAATCAAATTACAGTAAATCGGAAATATATCGAGCTGAATTAACTGGAATGAATCAAACTAGTATTATAAAATCAAGAGTGACTATTGTTTCTGGTCTTGCAATTGATCACGAGAGATCACGACTTTATTGGTGCGATATTCTTTTCAGAGTTATTGAAAATTGTGATTTTGATGGAAATGATCGAAAATTAGTCTATGAAGAGGATGTGAGTTAGTTGTTTTTTATTTTTATGATTTTATTATTATATTATAAAAATTATTACTATTTATTATTATTTCTTTTATTTTATATTTATTTGAATTTACAATAATCATTTGTCCCTTTTAGTAATTTACTTTTTTTCAAAAAATTATCAGAAATAATTGAATTGTTTGTAAGAAATCAATTCAAACTTTTGAAGAATTTTATTCAAATTTATGAAAATAATTGAATTTTTGCGAAGAATTTTAATACTTTAGAAAAATAATTGAATTTTTCCAAAGAATTTTATTATTTATAAAAATAATTTTACTCTTTCGAAGAATTTTATTAAAATTTTGAAAAATAATTGAATTTCTGTGAAGAACTTAATTATTTACAAATGTAATTAAATTTATTATTTTTACAAAATAATTGAATTTTTCTAAAGAATTTATTAATTAAGAAAATAGTTTAATTACATTTCTGCGAAGAATTTTATTATTTGTAAAAATAATTGAATTAGGTATTTCGAAAACTTTTCTTTAAAATTTAAAACAATTGTATTCTGTCAACAAATTTTAATATAATTCAATTAAAAATAATTGAATTCTCACGAGGAGTTTTATAACTTATGAAAATAATTCAATTCTTGCGAAGAAATTCTATTAAAATTTTTGAAAATAATAATGATTAATTAACTAATTAGTGAATTTTTTTTCAAATTTTGAAACTGTAATTATTCAAACGTTAAAGTTGATAATTGAAAGTAAAAAATTTTGTAATTTACAGGTTTATCATCCAATGCAATTAAATATATTCGAAGATCATTTATATTGGTTGTCAGGTATCAGTGAAAAAATACAAAAATGCCCATTAGTTAAGAGCGATTTTGAAGAATGCGAAACTATTGATACTGGAATGTCAGATATTCACAAGTTCTTCATTATTGTGCAAAAATCTCGACAACCTTTTGGTAATTCAAAATTTACTAATTTAATTTTTAATTTTCTAATTTATCGTTTATTCGTTTATTTATTGTTTCTTATATGAGATTTATTTACAAATATAAATTGTAATTGAAAATTTCAATTTATAAAAATTTATAAAATTTATAAAAATGAAAAGACCGGAGTAATTGAAATTAATCTGTTCTTTATAATCACTTTATAGATAATTTTATTTTAATATTCCATTGCTTTAATTTATAAACCAATTTTTTTATTTTAATTGATAATAAAATTTAAAAATTAGTAAACTAATTTAATTTTTTAATTTTAATTCGAATAATGTTAATTAAAATTTCTTTTTTAATTCTATTTCTGAATTTATATTTTTTTTTGTTCGAATTTATTTAGCGAATTAAAGTAATTTTTAGTTTATTAATAAAAAGTAACTGATAGTTAATAATAAGAGAAATAATAATAATAATAATAACAACATAAATAATAAAAATAAAAATAAGAATAATAATAATAGTAATTTTAAAATAATGGAAAATTTTTTTTTGCAGTAAAAAATAGATGCGAAGAAAGTGAGTGCGACTACATGTGCATTTTAACGAAAGATAACTCAACTTGTATCTGTGAAAATGGACATCCTGTTAATGGAATGCATAAATGTACAACTACACAAACGGAATTAACAATAATTAACAATCAGAAACCAACGAAATATTATTCACATAGAAAATACATTTACATTGGAATAATACCAGTTGTAATTGTTTTTCTTGGATTTTTCGTTTATAAATTTTATTTCAAGAGGAAATTTTCCAACATTTCCGTTGGATCATTATTGGAACGATTCAGTATTAATAATAGGTTCGATATAATTTTCATAGAATAATAATTTTGAAAAATATTTGAAATTTCTTATTAATTTTTTTGTTTATTTATAATTTTAAATTTAGTTTTTTTTATAATTTTTTTAGGACAAATAACGCAAATTCATCTCAAGATCGTGATAGAGAATTAAGTCTTGTAGGCAGTGAATTTGAAAATCCAATGTTTCAAGATGAATTATCACCATCTCTTCCGGTAAAGTACTTTTTAAAATACTCTTGACTCAAAATATTAATTCACAATAAATTAAAGAGTAAAAATATTAATTTTGTTAATTTAATAATAATAATAATAATAATTAGTATTATTAATTTAATTACTATTAATTTTTTTCAGAGAAGTAACGTAGATATTGATAACGAGGGGAGAAGTCTAATTAATAGATCGTAATTGGTATCAAAAAATTTTGATATTTTGATATTACTTTTTTATTAGACATTATTTTTTTTTTTTTTTTGAAATCCCACCTACACCAAATATGAATTAATTTTCTTTTTCAACGACTCAGCAATCACTTTGTGAATATATTTTATATTTTATAATTTCTAAGACTTTTATATTACTTTTTTTTTATTAATAATCGAAAATTATTATTTTTTATACGAACGTTTAAATCTTTATTAAGTTATTAAAAAATATTATCAAATTCGTTTTAATATCAAACAATGATTTAATAAATATTTTTTAAGTGACTGAAACTACAGAATTTTTTTACGCTTAGAAATTAGATAAAAAGTAAATTATGATTACTTTTTTATTTACGCCACGAAAAGTTAATTTTATTTTTCCCTGATTTACGGACAGAATATTTTTCTCACTTTTTTCCTGACTCTAAAAAAATATTCTGATTCTCTCCAAAAATAATTATATATAGAAGAAAATGTTTGTGAACATTTCTTTGTGAATATCTTTAAATTTGAAACAATTCTAATCATCAATAATTTTCATTTTAAATAAATTTAATTTAATTTAAATTAAATTATTTTAAATAAATATTTATTATTATTATTTCTTCAGAAGATATAAATTTTAGAATTAAATTCTTGTGTGTTTGGAAAAATTTCTATTTTCGATTTTCAAAGTAATTGGTTCAACGGGAGTGGAGAACGGATGTAATGTCAATTTAATGTCCCGATGTTTTGAATTTTTTCCTTTTTAAAAACATACCTGTAAAGAAGTGTTGCAAGAATAATTTTCATCTCCATAATGGCGTAGGCGAATCCTGAAAAAAGGAAATAATTAATTAATTAATAATCATAAATTACTTAATTTTCTTTTTAACTTTTTTTTCAAATTCTATTTTTTAAGTCAAACCTATACAATTTCTTGGTCCAGCACTAAATGGCAAATAAGCATGCGAATGTCTTTCTGCAACATTTCCCGGTAGAAATCTATCTGGATCAAATTTGAGTGGATAGGGCCAGTATTTTTCATCGCGATGAATTTTTGAGATCACAATAAATATCGTACTGTTTTTCGGATAAACGAATTCGTCTTTGTAACAAAAAAAAAAAAAAACAATTATTTATCACATAATAAATAAATAAATAAAATTAAGAAATTTAGAAGTAAATTAAGAAATTAGATTTCTTTCAGAATTCGATGGGAAAATATTTGAAATAAATTTCTTTATGATTTTTTATTTTTTTTCTTGTCACAAAAAAGTTAATAATTAAGAAATTCGATAGAAAAATATTAATTTTGTGTTCCTATTAATTATTTATTAATAAAAAATATTTTTTTTTTCTAAAGATTTTACTTTTATCTTTTCTTTTTGACACAAAAAATTAATAATTAAATTTCGGCCATTTTTTGTATTTTGACTTACCAATTTTAATGTCTTCAGTAGTTTGGCGTAAAATAATTGGTATTGGTGGAAATAATCGCATTGATTCTTTAATTACTCTTTCTGTGTATTCCATTCGTGACAAAATGTCTGTAGTGATGTAAATATCTTCTGGCTTTTCATTACCAAAGAATTATCAAGAATTACAATTGTTGATAAACTGTTTCCTGGAAAATTATTTTAGAAAATTATTTCTATTTTCCTTTTTTTGATAATTGATAAAAAAGGTAAGTTCATTATTGGAATTATTATTTAACAATTATTATTATTATTAGGCAAATTTTAAAAAAATTGTTATTTTCAAATATTAGTTTCAATTTTTAAATAATTTTAAACTTTCAAAATTTTAAATTCAAAATTAAAAAAAATTCAATTATTAACTAATTTACTAATTAATTATAATTATTTATTGTTTTCAAAAACTTTAATAAAATTCATCGCAGAAATTCAATTATTTTCAATATAATTTTAATTAAATTTCTCAAAAGAAATCAATTCTTTATATTTGATACAATTCTTCGCAAAAATTCAATTATTTTGGAAATTTTTTATTAAATTCTTTATGAGAATTGAAATATTTACAATAAAATTTTAATTAAATTCCTGGAAAAAATTCAATTATTTTCGAGAGTTTTTAATGAAATTTTTAGCAAGATTTCAAATAATTTATATAATTTTTTGCAGAAAATTTATTATTTTAAAGAATTTTAATAAAATTCTTTTCAGAAATTCATTTACATACTTTGAAAAATTTTGATAAAATCATTTATAAGAATTGATTGCTTTTCATAAATAATTCAAATTCTTTGCAGGAATTTAATTATTTCAGAAAATATTCTTAGCAAAACTAATTATTTTGAAAATTTTCACAAAATTCTTTATGGAAATTAAAATATTATCAATACAATTTAAATCCATTTTATCTGAAAATTTAAATGGAAAAGTTTTAAATAATAAATAATAAACAAACGGAAAATATAAAAAATAATAAATACAAAAATAAAAAAAAGAATAGAAAAAATTATAAATAATAAAAATTTTTATATATAAAAAATAATAAATACAATAATAATACAAAATAAATAAAAAATAGAATTATTTACTATAATAAATAAATAATTAATAATATCACCTTTCTCATTCATATCCATTTTCATTAATTCCATTCGTTTTTGATTTATTATCTGTAAATAAAAAATTTCCAACTGAATTAGATTGTCTACTCCTTTCAAAAATTTATAATTCAATAATTAAAAATTTGTACTATAAAAAAATTTCCATTGTAAGAATCAAAATTTCCTACTTACATTGTGAGTTGTATTGCGTAAAACATAAACCGACTCATTAAATATTTCAAAGTCTTTTGTAAATTTGTAAATTATATCCAGATGTAACCAAAAGGAAAGACCTCTTTTTAACATTAAATCTAAAACTCTTTAAAAAATCAATTTTTTACTGTAATTTTTACATTAAAAAAGAGAATTAAAATAATATTTTCCATTTAAATTTTGAATTAAAATTTAAAACAGAAAATTAAATATTAGTAATTTACCTGTTAACTTCATTGAAAAATTTCGTATAATCTATTTTTGAATATTTTGAAACGCCTGCTGTAGTTTCTGTAAATTTTAATAATTAATTTTTCAAAAATAGTAAATAAAAAAATGAAGTTTAGATAAAATTGTTTAAACGAAAGATATATTCAATTATTTAATGAAGTATTTCAAGATCAATATATTTAATTATTTACCAAGTGTGATATCCAGACAAGCATCTAATACATACGTCAATATTTGAAATTCTTTGCCTTCAAGGACTTCAGTTGACAAATTTTCAACTAAAATTTTCGAGTGTTTTTGAAAAATTTGAAGAAATGGTCGCAATACTTTAATACTAAATGCAGAACGAAGAAATTTTCGATGATAATGCCAAATTGATTCTGTAAAATAAAATTAGAGAAATTATTATTTTATTATTTTTTTTTCGAAACTAAAAAATTAATAAACGAAAATAAAAATTACCTGAACTAATTGTAAGTCCGTTGCCTAGCCAAGATTCAGAAAATTTATAAAAAGTTCCCTTCTCCATCACTTTTGTGAGAATATTCTAGAAAAATAAAAAGCAATTTTTAATATTTGGCATCAATAATTATTCATAAGTTGAAAATTAAAATTAATACTAATTTAATTTTGAAAAAAGTGTGTCTAATATTTACGTCAATATTTTAATCATTTGTCAGTATTTAATCAATTATAAATTCAAATTTATAATGTAACACGTGTAACTCTTTTACTTAAATAAACAAGGAGAAACTATTTTTTTAAAAGTCAAACAAAAATTATATTATAAAAGAAAATAAAACTACATTTATCTATCATTTTCTTTTTTTCTTTTTCAAAAGTGAAAAGTCTATAAATGAACTAGTTCTATAATTTAATTAGAAAACAAATGTAAGTTACAAAAATTATTCATATTCTTTAAAAATTAATTTTATTTAACTTCATTATTTTTTAATTAATTAATTTAAAAAAAAATTTTTTTTAATTAAATACAGAAATAAAGATATTAAATTAATTTACTTAAATTGAAAATTAATTAATTAATTAAATGAATTAATCAATTTGGAATTAAATTTTAAGTAGAATAAAATTATTATATTTTAAATTCCAATTTTTATTTCTTTCTACTTTTATCAAAATTTTCGAAAATTTGATAATTATTTTTTGACAATAAATTCCTTTTTTTTATTTTCTTCAAGCTTTTTTGAAGAATTTCTTTTTTTTTTCTTTCTTTTCTTTTCTTTTTTTTTTTTTTTTTGTGAATTTCTTTGTTTTTCTTTGTTTTTCAACTTTTCAAAATAGATAATCGTATCTGTTAATAATTATAATGAAATATTTGATTTTTGAAGTTTATAAAAATTCTTTTGAAAATAATAAATAATAATAATAATTTTATCTCAGGAGAATTTTATTAATTATAAAAAATTTTCGAGATATATTTCTTTGAATTCTTGACAAGAATTTGTTTCAAATTTGTAAAAGTAATTGAAATCTTCCAAAGAATTTTCTTTCTTTATAATGATAATTGAATTTTTAGGAAGAATTTTATTAAAATTTTTGAAAATAATTGAAATCCTTTGAAAAATTTTATTATTTATAAAAAATAATTTAATTTTTGTGATAAATTTTACTTCAAAAGGATTTCTTGCCAAGAATTTGTTTCAAATTTTTGAAAATAATTTTAATTTTTTTTTTAATTTTTATTTTTTAAAGAACTGAATTATTTATAAAAAAAAAATTGAATTCTTGTCAAGAATTTGTTTCAAATTTTTAAAAATAATTGAAATCCTCCGAAGAATGTTATTATTAATGAAAATAATTGAAATCTTTCAAAAAAAAAAAGAAAAATGAATACCTAGTTTTCGAAAATTTGATAATTATTTTAGACTAATTATTTTTTTCACAATAAATTACTTTCGTTTTATTTTCTTCAGGCAATTAAAGAATAAAAAATTGAAGAGAATTAAAAAAAATGAATTCTTGTTTCAGATTTTCAAAAAAAGAAAAATGAATAATTTTCTGAAATTATTTTTTCTTATTCTGACAGTAAATGATATTATGTCGGATAAATGTACAATTTTCAACAATTACTATGACCACTGTACGTGCGGTGAAATTGATAATATTAATTATTTAGATATTAATTGTACCAGACCTCTAATGAATACAATTAACGGAAATGAAAATTATTTTCAAATAAAATCTTTCAAAAATGTCCTACGTCTAAATTGTTATCAATCACCAAAATGGTCGAAATTTAATTACAATTTTCGAAATTTCACCCAACCACGTGAAATATTTCAACTAAATAATTGTAAATTTAAAAAACATACAAATTTCACTCGTATCGCTGAATTATTAAATGCATTAAATATCAATGAATTACATTTTATGAATACCATTCAATTGGAAAAAATTGGCTATGGTAAAAAATTATTTGAAGGCTTCGACAATCTTAAAATACTCACTATTCAAAATAATGTCAATCTCACAACAATGAATTATGATTCACTGATTTTTTTACCGCAGCTAAAAACTTTAAATCTCCACAACAATTCTTTAACAACAATACCATTCAATTTATTCCAATCTCTATCAAATCTCACTGGTTTAAAATTATCAAAAAATAATATTCAATCATTGCAATGGAATTTATTTCAAAATTTAAATAAATTGCAAAATTTAGATTTATCCCACAATAAAATAAATGATTTAGAACCAGCCATATTCGACGAATTGATTAATTTGGAAATTTTGTATTTAAATAATAATCAATTTGTCTGGCTACCGGAATATTCATTCTTAAAATTGACGAATTTAAAATATCTCGATTTAATGTCAAACAATTTACAATCACTATTGGAAACTGTCTTTCGTAATAATCGAAAACTGATTTCACTTAATTTAGAGAATAATTCTTTGAAAACATTACCAGAACGAATATTTGCGAGATCAGTGAATTTAGAGGCATTAAATATTGGTAATAATCAATTGCAATCGATACCAGAGAATTTATTTTCATCGCTTGAAAATCTCGTTACTCTCAATCTTGAGGGTAATCAATTGAAATCATTTTATGATTTGACATTTATGAATTTAAAAAAACTGAAACATTTGTATCTTAGTCGAAATCAACTCGATAATCTTGCTGAGTAAGTTTTTATTTTTAATTATATTAATTAAGGTGAGGAGGAACCAGTAAATGAAAAAAAAAAAATATTCAGTCCTCGAATAATCGACTTTATGGCCCCAAAAGAAAATGGTTTTCTTTAAAATCGAAAAAATCGTTTAATTCAGAGTTGCCACAAAAAATTGGTTTTTTCTTTCTAGAATTTTTAACTATTATTTGGAAGTCCAATCATTTTTTTAGTATTTATAAATAATATATTTAATAATAAAGAAAGTTCACATAAAATTAGTCTAAAATTCAATTATTAATTTTCAATTCAATAATACAATATTTAGATTTTTTTTTCTAAATTTATTTATGAGAATTAAATTATTTTCATCAAATCCTTCGTAGAAATTTAATTATTTTAAAGAATTTTAATGAAATTCTTCTCAAAAATTTTATTCTTTCGAATAATTTCAATAATATATTCTTTAAAAGAAACAAATTTAATAAAATACAATTATATTATTGTAAATTATTATAAATACAAACAATTATTTTTTTAAATAATTGAATTCTTTCGAGAAATGTTATTAATTATAAAAATAATTGGAATCTTGGTAAGAATTTAATTAAAATTTATTATTATAATAAATAATTAAATTATTAATTTTATATTTATATAATATATTTATATTTTATTTTATTTATTATTTATTTATTTATTTATTTATTTATTTTATTTATTTTTTTATTTTTATTTTATTTTTTTTTTTTTTTATTTTTATTTTTTTTTATTTATATTTTATATTTATATTTATTTTATATTTTTTTAATTATTAATTTATTTATTATTTATTTATTTATTTTTTTTTATTTTATTTATTTATTTTTTTTTTTTAATTTTTTTTTTTTTTAAATAAGTGAATTCTTATAAAGAATTTTACCAAAATTTTTCAAAATAATTTAATTTCTGTGAAGAATTTTATAAAAATTCTTTAAAATAACTAAATTCCTGCAAAAAAATTAATAAATTATGGAAATAATTGAAATCTTTCAAAGAATTTAATTAAAATTTTCGAAAATATTTGAAATTTTTCGAGGAATGTAATTTAAATTGAATTGAAAATAATCCAATTCTTATAAAGAATCTAATTAAAATTTTTCAAAATAAATTGAATTTTCCTGAAGTTTAATTATAATTATTTTGAAAATATTTCAATTTTCATGAAGAATTTAATCGAAATTTTTCAAAATAAATGAATTTTATTATTTAAGGAGAGAATTCCATTTTTTTCAATGTATTTAAATAAATTCATTTCTTTTAAAGAATTTTATTGAAAATTATGCAAAAGAATGAAATTTTTGGAAAAGAATTTTGTTAAAATTCTTTAAAATAATTAAATTTCTACTAAGGATTTGATTAAACATGAAAATACTTCAACTTTCATAAATAATTTTATTCAAATAATTAAATGCCAGCGAAAAATTTTATAGATTATGGAAATAATTGAAATCTTCCAAATTTAATTAAAATTTTAAAAAGTAATTGGATCTTTTCGAGGAATTTAATTAAAATTGTATTGAAAATAATTGAATTGTTATAGAATAATTTTATTAAACATTTTAAAAATAATTGAATTCTTTCGTAGAATTGCTTATTATGAAAATTATTACAATTCTTTACAGAAATTTTTATTGAAATTGTATAGAAATAATTGAATTGAATGATAGAATTTTATTAAAATTATTTAAAATCATTGAATTGTTTAGTGGAATTTATTAAAAATTGTACTGAAAATAATTGAATTTTTTCAAAGAATTGTAAAAATAAAAGGATACAAATAACCAGAATTTTTGCAGCATTTCTAGAAAAATTTGGACATTTTTTTCTATTTGTTCCTCTTTTTTCTTCGGTTTCTGAAACAATCAAAAGAATAAATTAAATTTTTAAAATTTTTTCTACGACAAAAAAATTTTTAATTGTAAAAATACTTTTTTTTCCTGGTTCCTCTTTCTTAAGAAATAAATATTTAAAAATTGCTTATTATTTTTCATTAAAAAAATAATAATAATTCTCTCTCGTTATTTATAGTTCGAGATATGAAAGAAGACAAATGGATTTTGTTTTTAATACATCAGAATTATTTAAAGACATTTTGAAGAAAAGTCATCTTCTCGTTTCAGTAATTTCTAATTGTTTAAATTTAACAATACTCGATTTGTCACACAATAAAATCGACAAATTATATGATGATTGGTTTTTATTTTTGAAAATGAAATTGGAAGTTTTAAATATTTCTCATAATATTGTAACTGAATTAAATGTAAGTCAATGAATTAATTTACTAGTTTTTTTTGTCAACACTTTCAATAATAAAATTAAATAAATTTCTCTTTACAGTTCCTTCAAAGTTTAAAACACAAAAATAATTTCTACATTGATTTATCGGACAATAGAATAACAGGCATTGTTCCCAATAATTTTTCAACTATTGAGTTCGATTCTTTTCTTACATTAACAGTGATATTAAATAACAATCCAATTAATTGTGATTGTAAAATTGCAGGACTTTTACAATACATAAATCATCAAATGAAAGATATAATAATGAATATTTTGAATATAATAGCAAATAATTTAAAATGTCAAAAACCAGATTATCTTCAAGGACGTTTAATTTCTTCATTAAAAAACAAAGAATTATCTTGTGGAAATTTCCATCCTGAAGTTTACAATAATTTTTGTAATCAAAAGTGTAGTGTTAAAATTGACTACATAAAAGATACATTAGGAAATTGTAATAATATGGAAAATTCAGATATTAATTCACAAATATTGTGTAATAATAATGATGAGGGAGATTTAGAAATAAGAGTTTATAAATTCAATTGCTCCAATAAATTTTTTCAAATGTATCCAGATGATATTTGTGTCGTAACTGGAGCATATAATGAAATTGATTTAACAAACAATCTAATATATAAATTTCCAATATTTGACAATGAAATCTATAATACAGCAGTGACAAAATTAATTCTCTCAGATAATCGAATTTCAAATTTTCATGGTATTTCGTTCTATAATAATCTGCAGGTAATAATTTTAATATTATTTATTAAACAAAATTAATTTCTTATTTAAAGAAAATCTTAAAACTTAAATTTTAAATTATTTTCTTATTTTTATTTTTTTCTCATAATCGATGAAGAATTTAAAAAAAAATTGTATCACTTTTATTCTAATCAGTTTAAATTTTTAATAAATCAAATTTAGAAAATAAATTAATGTGATAATATTTTTGACAGAACAATTAAGAAATTTCTGTTTTTTGCAACTTTTATACTTTTCAATTTAAAGTAATTTACTTCTGTCATTGAATTTTATAAAAATTTAAAAAAAAAATTCATTTTTTTGAGAAGAATTTTTTATTCAAATTTTGAAAAATAGTTGAATTTTTTTTGCGAATTCAATTAAAAAAGTATTTTAAATAATTGCATTCTTTACAAGAACTTTATTGAAATAAATTAAATTCATACTAAAAAAAAACGTGTCAAAATTTTAGAAAATAATTAAATTTTTGCGATTTTCTTTTAATTTTTTTTGAAAATAATTGAATCCTTTCCGTGAATTCAATTAAAATTGTATTGAAAATAATTGCAATCCTCACAAGCATTTTAATATAATTTCTGAAAACAATTCAATTCTTTACAGAAATTTTTTAAAAATTTTAATGAAAATAATTGAATTTTATGAAAAGTTTTTAAAATAATTGAATCCTTTCGGGGAATTTAATTAAAATTTTATAAAATAATGGAATTTTTTAAAAGGATTTTATTGCAATTTAAAAAAAAATGCAATTAATTCGAGAAATTTAAAAATTTTACTGCAAATAATTGAATTGTTTTAAACAATTTTATTAAAATTTTTAGAAATAATCATTTTCATGAAAATAATTAAATTCTTGCAAAGAATTTTATTAAAATGAAAATTTCTCCGAAAAATTAGTTTTTTAATTAAAATAATGAAATTCTTTTGCAAAGAATGTTATTAAAATTTTTTAAAATAATTGAATTCTTTTGATAAACTCTATATTGAAATTCTATGGAAAATGATTTATTTCTTATAAATAAAGAATATTATTAAAATTTTTGAAAAAAAATCAAAATCTGTAGATAACTTTCTCTAAAATTGTATTGAAAGTAATTGAATTCGGCCTGGAAATTTCATTAAATTTCAAGTAAATATAATTGAATTTTTCAATTCAATTCAATTAAATATAATTGAATTTTTCTGAAGAATTATTTAAAAATTTTTGAAAATAAAAAAATTCTTCCGATTAATTTAATTAAAATTGTCTCGAAAAAAATGTAAATTTTACATAGAATTTTATTCAAATTTTTGAAAATAATAAACAATAATAATTACTTAGTTAAAAACTTATTTTTTTTTGTAAATTTTGAATCTTAAATTATTTCAAAAACTAAAGTTGATATTTAAAAATTAAAAATTTTACAATATGCATAATAATAATAAAAAATTCATTACCGCATTTAACTCGTAACATTTTATAGTAAATAAGGGAAATAATTTTCTATTCTAATTTTAAATTTTTTGAATGAAATGAAAAATTTATTTTTTCAGACATTAGAATTGAATCGCAATAGAGTTTTATTAAACTTGACTGACGAGGACCTGATAGAATTGCAAAGTCTGAAGAAACTGACAAAAATTTATTTGCACAAAAGTCATTTTATGTGTAATGATAATTTCAATCAGTTATTAAATCATAAAATTTCTGCAAGTATTCAACAATTTCGAGAGTTATCTTGTGTCGATCCTTCAACTAGAGAACTGAATTTTCCCTTTTCTACATTATAAATAATATTTATACAATTTTTAATATAAACATTGTCTTTCTAATGATAATAAATTTGTTTTCAATTTTTCCTTTCAATTTCCTAGTAATTACTTTTTTCATTTTATTTTAATTCATTCTTTTTTTGTTAATTTTATTAATTTTTATTATTTTATCAATTTTTTAACTTCACATTATTTTTTAAGCCCGTTGATACTTGAAATAAATTATTTTATCAATTGTTTAATTTCATCAATTTTTATTGTTTTATTAATTATTTAATTTTATTATATTTTATCAACTAGAATTAATTTTATAATTAATTATAGATTTTCTAAATTATTAATTTTCCTAATGAATAATTTTATTAATTTCATTAATTTATTTTACTTTAATTATTAATTTTCTTCAGTTATTTTACTTTATTATTGGCGATTTTTTTTTCACTCACCATTTAAGTTTTACATTATTAGAAGAAAAAATTCACTTTCACCTGTACTTGATCCGCATCATAAACATTAATCCAGAAAGAATTTCCCATCCACAATCGACTTGGTGATGGATAAATGTGAAGAATTCTCATGTACGTTTTGAGGACATCTAGAAAAATTTTAATTCAATATTAATTTCAATATTTATAATAGAATAAAATTAAAATTACACATATTAATAAATAAATTAATATAATAAAAAATAAATGTAATAAAAAATAATGATTTCGTTAGCATAATTAATTAATAATAGCACACAATCAATTCTGAAGAGAACACATATTCAAATTTAAAAAAAAGAAATACATTTTACAATATATTAGCGATTTTTTTTTACTCACTAGTCAAGTTTGTGGTACTAAATAAATAAGCATTTCCAATTAAAGGCAAACATCTTGGACCAGGAAATCGAGATGCATATTTATAAAATTCCTTATTTTTTAAAAAATCGAGAAGAACTATAAAAATTAATATAACAGCAGACAATATTAAAGTCAACATTATTTTAAAATATAGAAAAAAAACATGTAGCTCAAATTAAAATTTCGAGTTTTTTTTCTTCAATCAAATTATTCAAACCTATAAAAATTATTTTTTTGTTTTTATAATTTTAATTTTAATACTAATAGTAATTTTAATTATTATTGTATAATTTTAATTATTTTTATTCCTTAGCTACAAAGAAACGAAAAAAAATTTATTTTACAAATAAAAGAAAAACTTTGCTTATTATAGAGAAGTTGAAAAATCATAAACAAACTGATTATTTCTGCTACAATTTTTTCTTTTTAATAAATCAAGTCGAAGAGAAAATGTAAATTTCTATTAATCATATACAATTTATATTTTATATGTTAATAATAATAGTAAATTTCATTTACGAGTGGAAATATAGTGCGTCAATAAATAACTTTTTATTTCACTCTTGTTTTTCATTTCACTAGAAAAAAATCGAAAAAAAACGATATTTTAAATAACAAAATTAAAACAATCTACATTGCAATAGAAAAATTAACATAATTTTCCATTTCAAATTAAAAGAAAAATAAATTTTTCTTCTCTAACGAACAGAGAAACATTTCTTCATAATCAATGTTTCATTTTTTTTTCAAATTACCAAATTTTCTTTTAATTCTTTCAAAAATTAATAATTCGACAAATTTTATACGAGAATAAAATTTTTTAATCATTGAAAATTTTTCTAAAAAATTCTTATTAATAATCGTTTTATTATTTCTAAATATAATTAAATACTTCTAGGAAATTATATTATAATTTTTTAAAAATAAATTTCTGAAGAAATTTAATTAAAATTTTTAAGGTTTAACAAAAGTTTAATTGAAAATAATTCAATTCTCAAAAAAAATCTAATCAAAATTTTTTAAAATAATTGAATTCTTTCAAGGAATTTTATTACAATTTTAAAAAATAAATTTAATTCTATCAAGAAGAATTTTATTGAAATTGTATTGAAAATTATTAAATTTCTCCATAGAAATTTATTACTTATAAAAATAATTGAATTCTTGACAACAAGAATTTTTATTAAAATATTTGAGAATAATTTAATATCTGTTTTGAAGAAAATTCTCACAAAGAATTGAAAAAATAACAATAATTAATTATGTACTTATTAAATGAATTTTTTTAATTGTTGAGAAGATTGAATATAAAATTATTCAAAAAATTGAAGTTTATGTTTGAAAATAAAAAAAATTCTGTAAATTACATTATAATAAGAAATTGAATAAAATGTTTTGCGCGTGTAAAATTTGCTAGTTGATTTATAAAACGAAATATGTAAACGAGTGGAATTTTGTTGAAAATTGTCTCAAAATAAAAACAAAACTAATATTTGAATACGTGAAAAAATATAAAACAAAAATAAGATTCTCTTTCAAGCTGACTCTTTAATAGTTACAATTTACATACAATTATTACGTAGTCAAACATGATGTGAGTTGCTTTTAAACGATACTCTTGTGTTTTGATAAGCAAACCAAAGCAACTTTTACATTTTTTATTTAATAGTTAAAGTGTGAATGTTTTTTTTCAATCCTCACAGTGTATACAATACTGGTTCTGGAATAATGAATATCCCAGGAAAATTAATTTAAATTATAAATCAAGGTGCTTAAATTTAATATGGTAAATAAATAAATAAATATGTTTATTTATTTATTCATTTGTGTATATATAATATATAATATATATATTACTATCTGTTACTAATTCTACAGAATATTTATATATATACATGCACAAATATATTTGCTATATTATTCAATAATTACTACATTATTGACATATACATATATTTTAATAATAATAATAATAATAATTATACGATTAACACTAATAAATTTCGCAATGATAAATTATTCTCATCAGCCATTGATCAAAAAGCAGTGATACACATATTTTCGACATTTCGAGTCTTAATTCTTTTCCTTTCTCCAAAAAAAAACTTTTACACCATTTTTATTTTCATGTTTAGTAAGAAACATTCCCCTCAATAATTATTATTTATTTATTTACGTAAATTGACTACAATTGGAAAAATTTTATATCATATACAGAAATTCTTTCTTTTCTCAATTTTCTCCTAATTTTACTTTTACAAAATATTATGCATTTTAACAAACAATTTAAAAAACACTCTGAACTTTCACTTGTTTTCTAATTAAAAAAAAAAATAATTCAAATTTAATATTCAGAAAAAAAATTGAGATTAAAACTCCACTAAATCGATTCCAAAATGGAACGAAATTAAAATTTCCAACTTTCGGCTAAAACTAATTTTAGAAAAAAATTTCACCTTTAATTATTTCGTTATCGAGTGCAATATTTTTTTTGTTTTTAAAAAATATCTATATCGTGGTTTACGGCCTGGTAATAATAAATTGCACACATGGTGAGACAAGAGGCACACGTATCGAAGAATAAGAGAAGAGGACAATAAAATGTAATCCAATTCTCTTAAAATTTACATTGAAATATATTTCGTTAATATATTAAATGTTGATTTTTAATCAATATAATTAATAATTGATTAATATTTTTCTGTTAATTAATACTTTGTCTTCAGTAATTAATTTTTTGTTAATTCAGTTTTTTTTAAATGTCTTTTCTTAATTTTCGCATTAACTAACATTTTTTACTAATTAATTTATACTAATTAGGTAATTAAATTAGTTATTTATAAATAGTATGATTACTCAGTAATATAATTACTCAATTATATTAATTATTATATTAACCAACAAAATGGTTTTTTTTATTAATTAATAATTTCATCGAGTGTTCAAATATTTTTTTCCTCTCTTCTCAATTAATTTATTAATTTAATAATATAAATTCGTTAAATTGTCCGAAAATGTACCGTACAAAATAATCGTTTTTTTTTCTAAATTCGATGTCAGACAATATTGTTTGTTTATTTAATTTATTAATTATCAGTTGGTTTTCTTTTTGTAAATTAATTTGCGACTATTTTTCATGTTATTATTATTAATTTATAATAATTACATATTGTCTATTAAAGCAGTGAATCACGATCAAGTACTGATGAGACTGATTTTCTAATTATTTCGTCTCGACTTTTCTCTTTGAAAAAAAAAAATTTCAAATAATTCATGAAAATATTTTTGACGTTTTATCATTTTTCTTTTGTCAAAAGAAATTCTGAATTCTTTGAATTTTTTATTTGACAGAGTTGGCTGTAAAAGTTGTTGACGAAATAATTTTTTCTTTTCTTTTCAACTCGGCATCACATGTACATTAGTAGCATTTTGTTATAATTTTTTTTTTATATCTATATTTATATATATATTTTTTTAACAATAGTTTGATAACAATTTTATTTATATTAATTCAGTTTACAATATGAATTCAATTCACTTCGAATTTTCACATTTTCGAAATTAGTTTCTTTTCATGCAGAATATTTGCGAAATAGAAACTATTATTTTAATAATAATATTAATCAATAATTTTAATTAAAATTATTAAACAATTTTAATTATTTTTATTAAATAATATTAATTATTATTATTAAATTGAAAATAATTTTAAAATAGAAATTTTCAGTTATTTCTCAAGGAAACTTGAAATTCTTATCAAAAATTTAGTTGGAAATTTCACATTTTTTGGAACTTACACTTTTATTTTTTATAAAAATTAAAATTTTGAGTCGACTTAACTTTTTTTTAATTAAATAATTTTTGTTTTCCTTTTTCAATTTATTTTTAATCGAAAAATTATTATTGCATGTAAAAAAATATCAATTTAAAGGATTTAAATTGCTTTATACAAAAGAAAGTTTTGAAATAGAAAAAAGTTTTTCGAAAAGTAGTCAAAATGAATGAATTCAAATTAATATAATTTAAATAACTTAGACTTTCACATGAATATTAATACTAATTACTTCAAATTTCCAGTGGATTGAATTTTATAATGTTTTATTTATTATTTATTATTATTTCCTTATTGTTAATTATTTAATTCCATTTTTATTTATTTCATTTTTTATTCATTTTATTTCATTTATTATTCACTTTATTTCATTTCACTTATTATTTACGTTATTTGTGTCAATTATTACATTTACTTTATTTTGATTCCTATTCAATTAAAATTTTAACATAAAATTTTTCAATTCAATTTTTCTATTTAACTGAATTATAATCTGTGTGAAAAATTCAACTGTAATTTCAATTTTAAACAAAATTATTTCAATTTTACTTTCCACATTGACAAATTCTGCTGAGAATGAAAAACTACTTTGAATAAAAATTATTGAAAATGTTTAAATATGTTTAAAAATGTTTAAAAATGTTTAAAATTTTTAAAAAATGTTTGAAAAGTGTTTAAAAAATAGAAGATAAAATAAACAAAATTTCCTTTCTACACAAACTTTAGTTTAATATTTAAAGTAAAAATTTTCGAAAATTCTATCTACTGAAAATTCAGATTAACATAATACATTTTTTGTTAAAAATATTCATGTGTCCTTAAAGAGATCACAAACGATCAAATTTTTCCCTACACTTACAAATCAAAATTTAATTTTGATTATAAGAATGACATTTTTTTTTTTGTCTATGACGACATTAAGAAAAACTTATGTATCAAATTAATTAAAAATAAAAAACAGTCGTTTTTTTCGACAATAAATATTTTTTTCTTTTCATATATAAAATCAGAAAATGTCAACGAGTTATAAATTGATAACAAGTTATTCGCTTTGACTTAAAAACAACGAGAGGTATCTCTGTTGATATAATTTGCTATTTCGGTTCGGTCTTTTTTTTTCTTCTTTTACAATTAATATAATAAGTATTTACAAAACACAAGTAGACTACGTGACAATATTTTTTTTTTCATATATAACAAACATTATGAATATAACCAATCTCGAAAAATGGAATAAATTTAATAAATTCGTAATAAGACGTGTAAAGATATCTCCAAAGATGTTTTTTTTTTGAGAATTAGATAGAGTAGCATCGTTAGAGATTCGACGTCGAGTTTTCTTTTTTGCTTTTTCATCTTCCTTTTCAGGATTAGATTATTAGGACAATCATCTTGACGTTTATTTTTATGTTATTATTATTAATATTATTATTCTCATTATCTTTATTATTCTCATTATTCTCATTTTTATTATTCTTATTTTTATTCTTATTATTTTTATTCTCATTATTTTTATTCTTATTATTTTTATTATTATTATATTACTATTATTATATTATATTATTTTTTTTATAGTACAATTACGAAATAGGCTTCAGAGGAGATATAGAATACGATAGCGATTAAAGATATTGTCATTTAAGAAAGCTACTTTTCGGAAAAGCTTCGGTAACACGGAGTAAGTTCGAAAAAATTAATTTTTTTTTAACAATCATTTTTTTTCTCATTTTTTCCTTTTTCTTTGTCAATGAAAATTTTAAAATTTACAACAGGAAAAAGTTTAAGTATTTGACAAATAGATTTTGCTTTTTTAAAGTTTTCAAAAAATTTCCACACAATTTTATTATTATAAATTCTTAATAAGAGAAAAATGTTCACACAATTTTAGCTTTGGGAGAAAAATTCTAGAGTAATTTTTTTTTTTTAGGGAAAAAGTTTGGTGTCTTTGAAAGATTTTCGAGAGATCGGTGCAATAGATAGAAAGATATTTTTGTTTTTATTTTCCGTTTCGAAATTTCGATTATTATTGGAGGAAAAAATGTTGGTGTCAAATTTAAAAATTAACGTCTATTATCCAAGTGCGACAATTAAATAATTAATTAATAATCAACTGGTAATTTTGTAACTTTAAAGGTAATTATCGATTGATTATTATAATTAATGTGCACGTAGATTTTTTTTAAAAGAAAAGGAGAAGAACGATTTTGCCAATTGGGTTTTTTTTTAATCCGGTTACGCGATAGTTTTTAAAGACGTTGGCAGTGCTTTTGTTTTTCTTTTTTTGAAAAATAGATGAATAATTCTCGGTTTTTTCTTTTCATTGTCATCGTCAAAGGCGTGAATATTTCGTGGGAATTAGTAATCGTGTTTTGCCCTAACGAGTCATTTGTTTTTAAATATTTTTTTTTCTAAATTTGCAAGTATACTTTCAAGATTATATCGACTTTTTTTTTGTTCCTTCGTTCTCATTTACGATTATAACCTCACGTATCAAAGGCCATTTGCATTTTTTTTTTTAAGATATCGTAGCAGTTGCTCTGGCTTACTTACATTATTTCCGTGTCTCATTATCAATATCCTTTTAATTTCTAATAATAGTTCTGAACTATACAGTCTCGTTCTGGCAATTGGCGTACTTTCATTGAACCATCCGCCCCACAGGAAAATAGACGTCCAGCAGAATCCACATGTAATTGAGTGACGCCCTGTAAAATTTGTCCTTTATTAAAAACTAGAAACGCGGTATTTCGTTTATTATTATACAAATTAGAAAAAAATTTTTTTTTTAAATATTAATTTCAAATTTGGAATAATTTCAAGACTCAAAAAATTATAGACAATTATGAAAGAAATAATAAATATTTTGTATTGAAAACTATTTGGTTTAATTAATTTTTATTATTTTTTAATCTTCAAAGCATTGAATTTTATTAATTTTAAACTTGAAAACATTAAAAAGAATAGTATTATCAAAAAAATTAGAAAACAGAAAGCAAACAAAAATATTATAGATTTAATTTAATTTTAATTCAATTTTTTACTGCAACAAATTGAAATATTTTTCAATTTTCAAAAAGAGAAAGTAAAAAATCAAGAATTAAAAATAGGATAATTTAAAGATACCTACATCTACCTGGAACTAAAAATACTTTTTTTTAAATTTAAAAAAAAACTTCGTTTACTTTTAGAAATTCTCAAAAGAAATTTTTATTTTAATTTACAAGTACCTAGTGAACTTCTAATTTTTTTTCTAGAAAGAATTCATTAACGAAAAGAAATTTGAAATTCGCTTACTTGGCCTATATTCTTGAAAAAGCTAGATCTAGGATGTTCTCCAGGAAATGAGTAGAGAAGAGAATGGACGGTTAGACCCCAAACCTAAATAAAATGATATAAAGAAAATGCATCAATAAGAATTGGAAAATAAATTAAAATTAGAAATTAAGAAAAAGAATTTACTTTTATGTCACCATCTCCGGCACCGCTGACGAAAAATTCTTCATGTGGATCAAGTGCCAAGCACTTAATTGCAGACTCGTGAGCTTGAAATCTATGACGTTGTTGCCTTTGTCGTACGTCAAAAATATTAATGTCGCCCTTTTTCCCACCGCTGATCAACAGCTGATGCTGTGGGGCTAATATCACTGAACTCGCTCCCTGATCATGACACACAAATCCTGGCAAAATATGATTATTATTATTAATTTTAAAAGAATTAATATTTCTATTAATATTTTTTTTGACCGTAGACAAAAAAATACTCACCTCTGAAAAATTAATAAAACTAAAGAAATATTTAATAATAATTCTACAAAAAAAAAAAAAAAAAAAGAAATTGTACCTTGAACTTGGGACTTATTTTGTGGAAGCAAAGTATCCCAGAGAGCGACGTTTCGTCCTTCAGAGCCATGACCAGCAGTGGCAACGAGACTACACGCTCCAAGGAAGACAAAATCGGCTGTGACTTTGCTATGACACTGATAATTCTAAAAAGAAACGTAAAATGAATTTTAAACTAATTTCAAGAGTAATTATAATTTAGAGTAAAATTAATTTTTGAATAATTTATTTTCTTTTTTCTTTAATAGAAGAAATATTTTTGAAAATCAACTCACAAAGAAAGGTCGTGTCGATCCGTCTCTACAGGCCACTTGAAATAAACTGAGATGACCATCTGAATCAGCGACTCCAAATTTATTTCCATGTTGAGAGAAACGCACTCGGGTGACTTTTGCAAAAGTTCCCGATGGCCGAGGAGTTGCGACTGCGGTTTGATGACCCCACTCCCACAACGACACTGATCCATCTTGAGATCCTGTTAAGTCTACAAAAACGAAAATAATTTTATTAATTTTACAAGATATTTTTTTTTTAATTCAGACAATTTTCTTATTTTATTATAATTATTCTTCGGAAGAATTCAATTATTTTTATAAATAATAAAATCTCTGCGAAAATTCAATTATTTTTATAAATTTTTCAAAAAACTCCAATTATTTTCTAAAATTTAAATAAATCCTTCGAAATAATTCAATTACTTTTATAAATAGTAAAATACTTTGCAGGAATTCAATTATTTCCAAAACAATTTTAATTGAATTCTTCGGAAGAATTTAAATATTTTCAAATATTTCCATAAAATTCAATTATTTCCTAAAATTTTAATAAATTCTTCGAAACAATTTTCTTCGAAACAATTATTTTTAGAAATACTAAAATTTTTTGCAGGAATTAAATTATTTTTTATCCAATTAAAATAAAATTACACGAAAGAATTTAATTCTCTTCAAAAATGTCCATTAAACTTAATTTCAGCAAGAATTTGAAATTGTCTAAAACTAATTCAATTATTCTCAAAATATTTTTAAAAAATTCTACATGAAAATTAAATTACTTTCAATGAAATTTTTAAATATAATCGTCAAAATAATGGAAAGAATTTAATTATTTTCAAAAAACAATAAAATTCATCTGATGAATTCAATTATTTTGAATTCATTGAATTTCTCGAAAGAATTTAATTCTTTTCAAATATTTCTATAAAATTCTTCAAAACAATTCAATTATTTTAAAATTTCAATAAATTCTTCGAAAAAATTCAATTATTTTTATAAATAGCAAAATTCTTCGCAAGTATTAAAGTATTTTTATAAATAATAAAATTCTTCTTAGAAATTCAATTATTATATTAATTTTATTAATTAATTAAAAAACAAATAGACTGTTTTATTCAAAGCAAAAATTAAATATGAAATAAGTTCTTTTAGAAAAAAAATTTCGTTAGAGTAAAGAAAAAATTATTTCAAAAAAAAAAAATACTTACACAGCGGTAACAGCGGATGTGAAGAGACTCTTCTAATACCATCAATTTTATGTTTCAAGATCTGTAGCGGCAAATGAAAAAAAGAAAAACATGAATAAGTAAATTAGTAAAAAGAAAGAAAATATTCAAAAAACTAACACTTAAATTTTAGAAGAAGAAAAAATCAAAGGGCAAAACTAAATTCTGCAAAAGAAACAGCTGTCAATAAAATTAATTAGTTTCTTATATCGCAATCAAGATCTAATCGAACAAATCGGCATTCTGCAAATTACATAATGTGCTTTAATTTCATTAAACGCTTCAAAATTATTATCAAGCGAATATTTCCCGAACCATTAAATTTCTCACTTTCCTCTGAAAATTAACAGAAAATATTAATAAAAAGAAAAAGTTAAAAGAAATTCTTCAAAAGAATTTTTATAATCTACAAAAACTTATTTACTCTAATAAAATTGTAATTTTTAAAAAATTCAAAGTTGAATTATTAATTACAATTAAAGAGAAGAAAATGAAAATAAAATACGAATGATCGAAATTTAATGGTTCAACAAGAAACTACTTCTAAATTTTTATACATACATTATATAAATGGATAAAAGTGCACAATATTCCTACTACTGCCTATATACTAAAAAAAAATTCATCATGCAATAAAAAAAATAATTAGAAATGTAAAAATTTTTCAAAAAGTAAAATTTTGTCGAGGAGAAAAAAGAAAATAGAAAAACGACACTTTAGACGAGAAATATTTGCAGGCTAAATTCGCAATGAAAAGTCGATCAATCAAATCCAGTCACTTGTTTTTCTTAAATTACTGCTAAAAAAGAAGAAGCGAAAGGGAATATTAATATTAATAATAATAATAATAATAATAATAATATGAGCGAGAGAAGAAAAAGTAAGGTGTATTTTTGTCCTTGATTTATTCACTATCATGCCTAAATGTGGGACTAATTTTTGAAGACTTCCAATATCCTTTTTTCACCTTCTAATTATTAAGCTTTATCATTTTTTTCGCGACATTTATTTTTATTTTAATTCAATTTTAATTTTATCTTTTTGTCAATTTTTTCCCTTTTTTCTATATTTTAATTTTGATTCTTTTTATTTTCTTTCTTTATTTTATTTCGATTTTTTTTTATTTTTCTTTCTTTCTTGATTTTCTCCATGTTTTTTATTTTTGTTACTGAATTTTTATGTCTTCTTTATTTTTCCCCTTATTTAATATTTTTCTTTCTGTATTTTTATTTTTTCTTTATCTTTTTCGTTTTTTTTTATTTTTCTTTATTTCTTGCTTCTCTTCATATTTTTTATTTTTGTTCCTTAATTTTTACGTTTTCCTGTATTTTTCTTTATTTTTTTCTTCGTTTTTTTTTATTTTCTTACTATATTTTTAATTCTTCTCCCTTTATTTTTATTTTTTCTTCACTTCTTTCGATTTTTTTATTTTTCTTCCTACATTTTTATTTTCTCCTTATTTTTCCCCAAATTTGGGGAATTATTATTATTTATTGTCCCTTCTCTATTTTTTAATTTTTGTTTGTAAAAAAAATTTATTTTAGTTATGAAATTAAAATTTAATTTTGAATTAAAAGAAACGACGAGTGAAATTGAAGACAATGAAGGATATTGTAAGTCATTAAAGTGTCATAGAATATATTATAAATATATATTATATTAAAAGAAATAAATTGAGAAATAATGAAAATTGCACTAGGAATGTCATAGGGTCTGTTTAGTTGTTAGTCTCACCGGCTTCAATAAGTGTTTACTCCTATCAGCGACAAACTGACAGAAACGAAGATCGTGGGAGCCAGGAAAAGCGGGCATCCCCTTCATCTGAGAGCGAGCGAGTGAGCCACCAGATCAGTGACGCAGACCAAATTAGATGTTAGGAAAGCATTGAAAAAGCAACATTGTCTCCGTCACCACTTGTGCTACTCTACCCCCCCGTCAATGCATTATTTTTCCCTGTGATTTTCAAAATTTTCCACTCATTTTCAAAAAACTATTTTCACTTTTTAATTTTTATTTTTCCATCTTTTTTTCAAATATCTTCAAAAAGAAGGTAAAACTTTTGGTTTTCTCTCTCTAAAAAAAAAACGCACCAGGGTTGCCACAAAAATTTAATTTTGTTTTTTAATATTCAATTATTATTTGAATTTTTAACTGAAATTTATTTCTAAATCTATTGTTATTAAAAAATACTACGAGAATTAAATTATTTAATTATACAAAAATTAAAAATTTATTGAATAATTGAATGTTTCTTGAAATTAAATTCTCATAAAGAATTTTATCAACAAATATTTAAATAAATGAATTCTTTCGAAGAATTTTATTAAAATTTTTAAGAATAATTAAATTTTTCGAGAAATTCGATTCAAATTGTATTAAAAATAATTGAATTTTTGTGAAAATAACATTTTTTACGAAAATAATAGACAAAATCTTGCTAAGATTTTAAATAAAATTTTCGAGGAATTTAATTAAAATTGTGTTGAAAATATTTCAATGCTCATAAAGAATTTAATTAAAATTTTTAAAAATAATTCAATTTTTGTGACAAATTTTATTAAATTTTAATAAATAATTAAATTTTATGAAAAAATTTTATTCAAATTGTAATGAAAATAACTGAATTTTTCGGAAGAATTTTATAACATGAAAATAATTGAATTTCTTTTTTGAAAAATTCTTTTAAATAATCGAATTCTTTCGAGAAATGTAATTAATTATAAAAATAATTGTAATCTTAGTTAGATTTTTATCAAAATTGTATTAAAAATAAATGAATTCTTATACAGAATTTTACCAAAATTTTCCAAACTAATTGAATTTTTGAGAAGAATTTTATTATTTAGGAAAATAATTAAATTATTAATTATTAAAATGAACTAATTTTGAAAATCACAAATCTTAGGAATTGAGGCTCTCATTCTCATGCAACATGATCAACAGAGTTTTAGAGTAACATTTGCCCCGCGACAAACTATTCAAATTTATTATGAGTTTGAAAATTTACGACAATTCAAAATTATAATTAATTTCGTAAACTTTTCTCCCTTATTCAAATGTAAATTAATTAAGTAATTCACATAATTATAGATTTTTGCGATTTTTATTAATTATTTTTCAAAATGTACTTTCAAGTATTAAGCGTAGTCGTAAGAAATAAATTTTACTTTCTAGAAAATTTTAAATTTAACTCTTAATTAGTTAATTAATTTAAGGGTTTTTTCCATTTTAATTAAATTGAAAGTTGATTAAATAAAATTTTCAATTTCACTTAATTAAAATACGGTTTGTCTCGTTTAGTAAAAGTAAGTAAAAAAATAAATAAATAAAAACAAATTGAATATTTAATTTAGTTATACAATTTGATTTATTTATTTAGTCAAAAATGAAGAAAAATATAATCTTTTCCTATATTTCTAGAATTGTCCCAATTTATGCTAAAGACTGACAGTATTTTAATACTAAAAACGATAGAAAATGTAAATTATCTTTTTTCTAAATACTTTCACGGATTGTTGTTTTTATTTTTAATTATTTTCACCAATTAAGAAAAGTAAAACTTGAAAAAAAATAGATTTTTGTTTTAAATATATATATGCAAAATTATTGAGAAGTGATTATATTATTTTGGGAATAAGAAAAAAAAATCACATGAAAATAGTCAAAGTAAGCGAAAGCTAATAGAAAGGCAAATCGATATGTGCGAAGAGGTGTAATAATACTTTACATGTGTTTCAAATGTAGGATTCATACTCAATGTTCCTCACGAGATTTTTTTTTAAATGTGAAAAATTAGGGCAAAAAGTATAAGTTACATTTTTTCTCCTTTTCAAATTAATCAAAATAAAAAAAATTTAATTCTATTTTTGCGATTAAGAATTTGTCAATAGTAAGAGTTTTTTGCAATACGAACAAAAGTCCTAATTTTTTTTCTTAACATAAAAAATTTCATAAAATATTAAAGAGTTAATAACATATTAAAGAATTAGAAAAGTTTGATAATATCAAAAATATGTAAATAGTTTCAGTAGCCAAATTTGTTGACTCTGAAAAATGTTTCTTTTTATGTGAATGCAAAATCACGATTACGATACTGAAGTTAATAGTATAAGTAATCTATTATATAAGTGAAGGATTTTAATTTACACCAAAAAAAATGTGACATTATTTACGATTTCTACAATATAAAGGAGAAGAAAATTCATGAAATTCTTACCACACTTGCGCCTCGCCCGCTTTGACTAGCTATGCCTGACTGTGGTTGTGGACTATTTTGCTGCGGACTTTGAGCAAGTAGAGGTCTATCGGCTGCCGTCTAAAAAAAATCGAAAATGTCTTTATAAATAGTAAAAATAAATTTTTTCATTCATTTTCTGACCATTGATATCCCCTCAAAAAATTACTATAAAAATAATTTTATGGAAGATTTAAATCATTTTCTTGATATATAGTTGAAATTTTTTATTAAATATTTGAACTTTCGAGTATCACTGGAACAATTCTGACAGTAAGATTAATTTAAAATTTTTTTAAAATTCAATTATTTTCCAAATTTTCAATTAGAATTTTTCAAAAAAAATACGATTATATTCCAAACTAATTTTTAAAAGTAAACAAATAAAATTCATTAAAATATAAAATTTATTTCAATGAAATTTGACAAAATTTTCAATTGTTTCAATTTTTTAAAATTAATTTCGAAGATACAATTATTTTTAAAAAAATTCTAATTATATTTTTTCAAGAAACAAATTTTTTCGGAATTTCTAAACTAAATTATTCAAAACTTCAATACTTTTTGTTAAACAAAAACTTAAAAACATGTTCTTATTTATTTTTCCACGTAGGAATTAAAATTTCAAATAATTTCAATGAAAAACCTTATGAAATTTAATTATTTCTAAAAATTGCAACTGTAATTTTTCTAAAATTCAATCTGTTATTATTTTAGAATTTTCGAATAAAATTATTCAAAACTTCAAGAATTTTTAGAGGAAAATAATGTAATTGATCATTTTTTGAAATTAAAAGTTAAGTTTTTTTTATACTTTTGCTTCCCTTAAATTAACAAAGAATTTCATTTAAAAATCTTTTAAAATTTAATTAATTCCTAACATTTCTGTAGTAATGCTTTAAATATTCAATTATTTTCTAAAATTTTTACTGAGATTTTTTTAAAATCAATTCCTATCAGAATTCAACAACGAGAATTGAATTATTTAAATAGAATAATTTCAAAATATAAAATTTATTTTAATAAAATTTTACAAAATTTCCAATTGTTTCAATTTTTTTAAAATTATTATCGGGAATTCAAGAAAAATTTTAATTACTATTTTTTAAAAACCTAACTTTTTCAGAATTTCCAAATTAAATCTTTTAAATTTCAATTATTTTTCTAAATAAATATTCAAAAAAACCTATTGTTCTTTATGTGCTTAAAATTTCGAAATACTTTCAATGTAAAATCCTTTGACAAAATTTCTTATGAAAATTTGAACTGCAAGTTCTTTCAAAATTCAATTATTTTTTAGAATTTTTGAAAAATATTATCCAAAACTTTTAATTTTTAAGGAAGCTAACAAATTAATAATTTTTTATATTTAAATATTATTATACCTCTTGCAGCAATTAGAATTTCAAAGATTTAAATTTAAAAACTTTTTGAAATTTAATTATTTCTAAAGAATCATACTTTTAATAATAAAACTTTTAATTATTTTGAAAAATTTTAATTAAAATTATTTTTTTAATAAATTTTTATCAGAATTCAACTAAGAGAATTCGATTATTGAAATACAAAAATAAATAATTCATAAAATAATGAATTATTTTTAAAAATTGTAACTGTACCTCTTTATTGAGTTTTTGAAATTTGTAAATCTTGTTGAAAATAATTGAATTCCTCTGAAGAATTTTATTATTTATGAAAATAATTGAATTCATCTGAAGAATTTTATTATTTATAAAAATAATTGAATTCCTGAGATGAGTTTTATTAAAATTATATTCAAAATTATTGAATGCCTGCGAAGAATTTTATTATTTATGAAAATAATTAAATTTATGAGAAGAATTTTATTATATATGAAAATAATTGAATTTATTTGAAGAATTTTATAATTTATAAAATAATTGAATTCTTTCCAGAGATTTTATTAAAATTATATTCAAAATAATTGAATACCTACGAAGAATTTTATTATTTATGAAAATAATTGAATTTCTCTGAAGAATTTTATTAAAATTCTTAAAAATAATTTACTGACAGATAATTGTATATTTATTGAATATTTTGATTTAAACAGCACCATTTAACGATTCCAACTGTTAATTATTACGGAAATGAATTAAAAAAATATTCATTACCTGTATGACTAGAAAACTAGTGGGCTGAAGCGGTTCCGGATCAGGCTGCTTATTAAGATTTATTAAATCAAATTCGCATTCATCCTCCAACCAGGAAGGCAGTTCGAGTAGCAGCGATATGTCCATTTCTTGCACCTCTCGCGGCGTTGCCATCGCCATTAGACCGGCGTTTACCTATTTCAGTAATTTATTAAGTAAATATTTAAAAAATAAATTTATTAATTAATTATTTATTAGTTAATTTATTTGAAAATAAAATTTTTCTTTTGGTTAAAATCTTTTAAATAATAAATTTAATTTTAACTGTTGATGTTTTGTAAATAAATGACGCACCTGATTTAAACAAAAGGCACTAATGCTGTCTTGCTCCTTATGTATAATTCGAACAGGCTCTGGCAAACTTGTCGTGCCACTGTCGCTTCCTTTATCTTCTCCAGTTCCCGATCCTCGATTAAGATTATCTACTCCACTCTGATTAGAATCTAATAACGCTGATAATGATCTCCTTTTACCGAATACTGATCTAATAAAGATATCCTGCACAGCCTCTTGTCTCACCAAATAACACCATAAACGATTCACCGAAGCGGCAGCTGACAATCGAGTACTAAACAAGTCAACAAATTTATTAGAAAAAGAAAAATTAAAAATCGTATTTTCAATATTTTATTTTTAATTTATAAAGAAAAAATTTAATTCATCATTAATTTCATAATTTAATTCTTAATTGTTCATTTTCTTGAATAAGTGAAGAAATAAATAAATTACTTGAATGGCGTATTTCCTTTTTCTAAAAGCGATCGATATTTATGAATCGCAGGTTTTCCAGGCGTAGGCGCGGGATCGGGAGCACAACCAGGAATAAAATTCACTGATGGCGGTCCTTTCGAGTCGAGTTCTTCACGTAACGACTCTTGCCATTGGGCTACAATCCCTAATGTTCCATGAATCAATGGACTACACACTGGCAATTCTAAAAGAACGAAAAAACAATAACTAATTTCAAACTGTAAACATAAATTCGAAATATAACGATTATTTTAACATAGAAGAAATTTACTCGTAAAACAAAATAAATAGGAAAAAATATTTAAAAAAAAAAAAACATAATTTTTTCAATACCTTGCATTTCGATTCCGGCGATATTCAAGAAGTCCTGCATCTGCTGTTGTAGAATTCGAACGATTGCTAATCTTAAAATACTCCAACTGTACGAATTTGGATTCGAGTGCTCGGTATTATCCTTTGGTTTACTCTTTGGCTTTGCGTTCGTATCAAAAACGTCTTCCTCATCTTCCGATGAATCAAGATCCGAAACGGCCGAATCCGAAGAATCGTAATCAATTTCATCAGCATATTCGCTCTCGATCCTCGGCTAAAACAATAATTTCCAACAAATCTATTAAAATCAAAAATCGAAAAAAAAATTTTAATTCAATTAAACATTCTTTCTTTGAATAATTGTCAAATTAAATTGTTAAATTAAATATTCAATACCCACCTTTATAAGAAAATATGAAATCATGCTCATCAATGGCGAGACAAATTGTTCGCGATAAGTTGGCTTATCCTCCTTCATATTTGGCTGTTGTCCAGTGAATTGTCCAAGTAATTTCATATTTAATTTCATTCGCTGCTTGGTCAGCGATGTCATTGTATTCCAAACGCCACTTGCCGTTTGAATTTCACTGATACTCTCAGCTCTCTCGACAACTGGCGTTCCTGTCGATTGACCTCCAGTACTTGCAACTCGTAAAAGTTTCTTAACACCGCCACCGAATAATGTCGACCATGTATTATTGTCGAATTTCTGACCTACAAGTCGATAGAGAATGTGACTGTCACAGCTCGATAGGGCGTAAACAAAGAGACTCATGTAAGTCGCGACAAATGACTCCGATAAAAGAATATTCAATTTAGGTGTGTCCTCGTCTTTTTCACGGGCTAAAAGGGCACGTAAACTTGTCACACCGGGCCATTTTGTTGGCGATGTCGTTATCACAATTCCATCTTCCGTTGAATAACGACGATGATATTTATTCGACGCCACTAAATGTCCTCCTGAGAATGGTTCCACTTCCGATGACGCCGGGAAGCTGAAATAAATGGATTATATATTCATATCAGAACTCGAACCAGTGAAAGTATTTAAAACTACGGACTTTACGAACGAAATTTCGATTTATTTCATTTATTTGGAAATTCTTTAATTAAATATATATTAGAGAATAAAAAAATCAACTAATTTAACAAAAAATTCAATTAAACTTTTTCAAAAAAATTGATTCTACACAATTGTTAGTTAAAAGTATGAAAAATTCAGATTTTCAAAGATTTTAATTTGAAACCTTTTCAAAATTCAATTATTTCTAAAAATTCACACTATAATGCTTTTAATATTCAATTCTAATCTCAAATTTTAACTAAAATGAATTTTTAAATCATTTTTTATTAGATAATTCTATAATACATTTTCAAGGACTTTAATTAAAATTTTATTAAAAATAATTTAAATTCTCCGATAATTGAATTGTTTTCAAGATATTCGTGGAAAATTTGGAAAATGATTAAATTATTTCGACAAATTCAATTAAAATTGTATTGGAAATTTCGAAAATAATTAAATTCTTTAGAGGAATTCAATTAAAATTGCATTCTAAATAATTGAATTCTCATAAGGAATTTTGTAATACTTGTTGATAATAATTGAATTCCTCTGAATAATTTTATTATTTATGAAAATAATTGAATTCCTGAGATGAGTTTTATTAAAATTATATTCAAAATTATTGAATGCCTATGCGAAGAATTTTATTATTTATGAAAACAATTTAATTTCTCTGAAGAATTTTATTTAAATTTTCGAAAATTATTGATTTCTTTAAAGAAATTTTATTCAAATTGTACCTATTGAAAATAATTGAATACCTGCGGAGAATTTGATTAATTATGAAAATATTCTGTGAAGAATTTAATTTAAATTTTTAAAAATAATTGAATTCTTTCGAGAGATTTTATTAAAATTATATTGAAAATTATTGAATTTCTGCGAAGAATTTTATTATTTTTAGTGTAAATACTCGAATTCTTCAGAAGAATTTTATTAAAGTGTTTGAAAATAATAATATAATAATAATTAATTAGTTAATAAATAATTTTCTTTTACAATTTTGAATCAGATACTATTCAAAAATAGAAAAAATAATTCGTATTTTTGTACGTTCGACAATTTTGGAAAGTTAATATTTAATATTTCAATAATTCGTTTATTGTTATTAAATATTTGAATATTTCTTTTTGAAATTTAATAGTTTTAGTATTAAATAAAAATTCCACTAATTACCTATTATCGAACTGATGATGTTTCATGACAAACGTATCGGAATCGCAGAGAGACTGATAGATACAAGCACTGAGAGCAACGGCAAGATCTCTCATGATGAAAACTTCACAATAATGAGTGTTTTTATGCGGCATTGGAGTATTCCTCCATTCCACCAAAGTTTGCAACATGTCGTGAGTCAATGACTGAAAAAAAATTCCTTCAATTACTCCAAAAGGTTTGTCAAAAAAAAAAAAAAAAAAAAAAATTAAAAATTAAGATCTTATAATTAGTAATCAGTTTGAAAAAAAATCAATTTTTCTAATTCACTCTGTTGTAAGTTAAAATAAAATTTACATTCTCTTGGAAATTTGAATTCAATTTACATTCTCTTGAAAATTTTAATTCAATTTACATTTCACTGGGAATTTCAATTTAATTTACATTTCACTTGAAAGTTCAATTTAATTTACATTCCACTAAAATTTTAGTTTAATTAAACTTTACTGAAACATAAATTAAATTTAGATTCAACTGCAAATGAATTAAAAATAAAAAATTCTACCTGTAAATGACGAACTGGATCAGCAATGACGGTTTTATTACAAGCGACACTTGCACTCAACAATGGCAATGTTGTCGGGAATGGAAGAGGACTCAACAACTGTTGTTGCGTTTTCTCCTGCTGCAATTCCTGAAGCAACAAAAGTAATTCCATTCTCACCGACGCCAATCCACCGCCAGACGCTCCGTGCAATGAACAATAAGACAATAAAGTTCTCAGCAAAGTCTCATTGGCCTTCAACCATTTTTTCCTCCTCGCAGCTCGTTGAACTTTCGCCTCAAAATCAAGTTTCTCAGACAGTAAAATTTCATGCAAAGTCGGCTGTTCACCTGGTCGATAAGGCGGAACATCATCCACCATTCCTCCCTCATATTCCGACGAATTAATCGCATCGCCATCAGTGTTCGCACTATAATTACAAAGTTGCTTCAAAGCGTCAACTTCCCTCTCCAACCAAACATAAAGCTGATACCGCAATTGTCCCCCATCGACTTCAAAACCCGTCGCCAATGTCGACAATTCCTCCATCAAAATCTTGAGACACGCCACAAATTTCAATTGTTGCGCCATTATATCCAACGAACCATTTGTCTTCTCCTCCTCCTTCTCCTCCTTCTCCACCTCGACCTTCTTCTTATCCAAATTCATACTCATAGGCGGACTCTCTTCATTATCATCCTCATCATCTTCCCAATCCAGTACCAATTCATCACTCTTCTTCACTACCGGCTCTGACCAATCCATCCCCGCCGATGACTCCCCCTTCACCTCCTCTGTCCTTCCACTCCAACTGATAATTCCCGTATCAATCTGCAAATCCTGCGCTCTCGATTTAATCGGACTATTCAAAATACTCGGCGAATCCTCACAGTTCGAATCCATCACTTTACTGGGCAATTTCGAGAGAACCTCGAGAGCGAGCGCAGGACAACCAGCCTTGAAATGTGCATGAGCTGTCGTAAAATACAACTGTCTCTCCAACGGCGTGATACTGTCCTCCAACATCAATTGCTTATCCGGCTGTCCCTTCGTTTCCGTACCGTAACTAAAACCAGAAATCACCACCGTGTGTCCCTTCTTCCGATCCTGAGCCGTCGACGCAATGTACTGTCGAATCAACAATGGATGCGTTCGTAAATAAACATAAAAATTAAACACATTCGGATTTGCGGTCGTACCCTCGGGTTTCTCCGATTCGTCATTATACTGCGGATGCATCGTTCCAACATTCGTCAAGAGCAAAGTATTCAAAGAACCGGAATAATCCTTAAGAATCCAAAGTGCCATGCTTCGTAAAAACGGATCGGGATGAAATTTACACATGTCTTGATTGTTACCCTCCTTGTCACAACCCAAGATTTCCTCAAAGAGCAGACGCTTCAGATTCGGTGATGTCATATCGTCCTCGTAGAGTCGGGCGATTATCATCGCTAACTGAATGTCGTTCAATTTATCCAGACACACGTCGATAGCGTCCTTCAGAGCACCGGCGAGGAGGAAGAAGGCGGCCGCGTGCTCAAATCTCTGCTTACCCAGCAGGGCGAAGGCATTCTTCAGTGCCGCCTTGCGCCATCTGTCCTCTGTGAAACTATTCGCGAAGAAATTCGTCATCCTCTGGTCTCTTTGATTTCTAAATAGACCCCAGACAAGATTCTTTTTCTTCATTGCCAAATAGTAGATTGCAGCGTCAAGGGGGTCTTGCTTCAGTTGAAAGGCAGCTTTCGCCACTTTCTCGATGCAGGTCTTCAGGACTGCGTTACTCCTAATCCACCAGCCGACTCCCAGTTCTTTTAGAATCATCCATTTTGGTTGTCCCTTCGCGTACGATGGTATTAGACCTATAATAAAATTATACAATTTAGTAATATTCTCCCATTCATTTCATTTTAATTAAATTAACCATTATTTCGTATACTGGCAAATTTTACGCGCACGGAACGTGGTGTTAATTTAGTATTATTATTATGCAATTTACAAAAATTTTTATTTTTGAATAATTTCATAATAAAAATTTTTAAAATTCACCTATTAAGTATATAATTATTATTGCTTATATTTTCAAAAAAATTTTAATATAAATCTTCGCAAAAATTCAATTATTTTCATAAATAATAACAGTCTTCTGAAGAATACATTTATTTCTATAAATAGTACCCTAATATCTTTTGGAAAAATTCAATTGTTTTCAACATTTTGTTAAAAATTTCAAGAAAGAATTAAATTGTTTAAATTTAAAGAATTGAACTTTTTCAAAGGATTTATTGAAATTTTAGAAAATAATTGAATTCTTTCGTAAAATTTTTGAAAAAATTTCACGAAAGAATTGAATTAATTTCTAAAATTTTAATAAATCCTTCGAAAAAATATTCAATTATTTTCAATAAAATTTCACGGAAAAATTCAATTTTTTTCTTATTTCAAAATTTATAAAATATTTCAAAAGAATTGAATTATTGTCTAAAATTTTTAGTGAAATTCAATAATTAAATGTTTAATTTCAATTATTAAGAAACAAGATTATTTTACATAATTTAGAGAGAATTGAATTTTTTTGAAAAATTTATTAAAATTCAATTATTTTCTAAAAAATTTCACGACAGATTTCTATTGTTTTTTAAATTCTTTATAAAATTTATAAGAAGAATTCAATTATTTTCTAAAAATTTTAATAAAATTCAATTATTAAATGTTTAATTTTAATTATTAAGAAACAATATTATTTTTCAAAATTTAAAGAAATTTTTCATAAAATTCAATTACTTTCCAAATTTTCAATTAAAATTATTAAAAAAACTCTATTATTAAAAAAAAATTCAAATATATTCTTCAAATGAATTTAATTAGGGTTTTCAAAAATTTTTAGTAAAATTCTTTGCAAAAAATCAATTATTTTCATAAATCATACAATTCTTCGTAGGAATTGAATTATTTTTAAAAATACTAAAATTCTTCTCAAGAATTCAATTATTTTTATAAATAATAAAATTTTTCGGAAGAATTCAATTATTTCTATAAATTTAATTCTTTGTATGAATTTAATTAAATATTTAATACTATTTAAATTAAATTCCTCTTAAAAATTCTATTATTTATAAAATTCTTCGCAAGAATACTATTTAATTTAAAAAATTTGAATGAATTTCATAATAAATTTAAAAAAAAATTTATATTATTTAACATTTCATGGTAATTGAGATTTTAAAAAAATTTAATTTTCTGAAATTTAATTATTTTTAAAAATTTCTACTTTTTTCTACTCTATTATTAAAAAATATCAAAATTAAGAATGAAATTATTATCATTATTAATTGAAAAATAAATTTGTTATATCTTTATATAAAATAAAATTCTTTGATGATAATATTTTCTCTTTTTAGCTCTTTTAAATTTTAAAATCAAATTCTAGTCAAAAAAAATCTAATAAAATTTAATTCTTGCATAGAATTTAATTAAAAATTTTTTTAAATAATTGAATTGATTTTAATTCAAAAATATTTACGGAAATTTTAGAAATAATTAAAATCTTTAGAGGAATTCAATTAAAGTTGTGAAGAAAATAATTAAATTCCTTCAAAGAATTTTGTAAACCTTGTTGAAAATAATTGAATTCCTCTGAAGATTTTTTATTATTTATGAAAATAATTGAATTCCTTCGAAGACTTTTTTTTAAAATTATATTAAAAATAATTCAATTCATCTGAAGAATTTTTTATTTATAAAAATAATTGAATTCCTGCGAAGAGTTTTATTAAAATTATATTCAAAATAATTGAAATCCTATGAGGAGTTTTATTAAAATTATATTCAAAATAATTGAATTCATCTGAAGAGTTTTATTAAATTTATAAAAATAATTGAAAATTTCTGCGAGGAGTTTTATTAAAATTATATTCAATATAATTGAATTCGATAGGTTTTATTAAAATTGTTTCAAAAATAATTAAATACCTGCGAAGAATTTTATTATTCATGAAAATAATTGAATTCCTGTAAAGAATTTTCTTATTTTTTAAAAATAATTCACTTCTTGCGAAGAATTTTATAAAAGTTTTAGAAAAAAATTGAATTTTATTTTTTTTTTAAAATAATTAAATTCCTGCCCGAAGAATTCTAGGTATTATTTTTTACTTTTCTTTTAATTTAATTAAAAATTTGGATTTAGTCTTTTATTCATTCGTCCAATTATCGGACCGGCGCCCAAAAATGACCAAAGGTAATTTACTATTTAAAAATAAGTTTACAAACCCAATAATTCCTCTTCCGATTCAGAATGAAAAGCCCAGACGAGATTATTCGTCGCGACACCTTGTTTTTGAAATTGTGCCCTCTGCGACATTGGGAGACAGCGTATGAGATAATTATAGTGTTTCATCGCAAGGAGAAACCGTAGTCCACAGTCATCCAAAGAGTCTGTCGATACAGCCTCGCCATCCGGAATTCCAGTCAGGTTCTCCTTAGCGATCGCATTCTTAGCCGCGTCAATCGCAAAGCGTTCCGCAAAATCGACATTACACGTGGAGACAGTGTCAGCGAGGGCCAACAAGTGCATTTGGTCCAGACTCGAGAGACCTGGCAAATGAGTATGAGTAAGTAGCCGAGAGAGTAGTCGTCCTTGCCTGGGACCAAAGTGAGAAATTCCCTGTCGTTCAGGAACGGACGATCGTCTGTCCTTCTGTCGAGAAGAATCATAGTCATCGTCGAGCATATCATCCAGGGAGTCGCCCTCATCGACATTCCCGTCGAACAGTTCGTTATAGTCCTCCTTGTCCTCCTTCTGTTGAATGGCGGTGTTTGTTTCCTTGTCCGCGATAAGCAGCGTCCATAGAGGAAGGGGCGAAATTGACGTTATTTCCGCGTAGTCAAGTGTTAATTCCTCGGGAATTTGCGTAGTGGATCCGCGAGGTTCGAGTGGCGAAGTAGTGCCGACGTAACTCACGGACATTGTTCTCGATCTCGACCAACCGCTTCTTTGTTTCATTAGGTTTTCGTCGTCGGCTCTGATGGTGCACGAACTGGCGATACAGCGAACCAGATGGGCTAGAATTGCCTTCACCCAGCGGATTTTTCCAGAGTTCAGCAGCTCCATCAATTGCTTCGGATGATACTGAGGGAGGACCGGACAGGCTATTCGCGAAGCTTCGAATAGACCGTAATCGGGCATGTAGTCGTAATTAGCGCCTTCGGTCTGTAGACCACGTTTTTTCTTCGCGTCCAGCATGGTGAGATTGATGCTACTCACTCTCGACAAATGTGTCATGGAGGAGACGTTCGCCAACCTTCTTTGCGACGTCTCATTCGCCAGGGTGCGCAGATCCTCGTCCCGCAGATTCCGACTCGCTTGGAACTCATCCGACTCCTGGTGCTGTAATCCAGAGTGGAAAAAATCATTCTTTGGATTCGGTTTCCATTGCGAGTAGACATGCATTTCGGAGTCCATTCCAACCACCAGAATTCCGTCCCTAACCCATGAGATCTGCATCGGCAGGGGCGGTAGACCATCGGCTGTTAACAATTCAATTTTCCTCAGCTTCATCCAACGAATCTCGTCCACAAACTGCGGTTGTGCGAGAGAAGAAGTTTTGCGTAAAATCGGTCGATTCGTGCCCTGCGACTCCTTCATTGCCTTCATATTCGCTTGGGCGAGATCCGAGCAAACCGGAGTGAACAACATGACCTTTGATCCAACCCCCACTGTCAATATATGCGATCCATCCTCCTTCGAAACCCAATCGAGCTGCACCAAATGCTTCTGCGTCAGTGGACAAGTATTTCCATTCTCGATAATCGATTTTCTCAACGACTGCAGAGTACTAAAGGAAGGCACCGCCAAGAGACCAGCCTTCGCATCCCCACCATTCTCACCATTCCTCGGCGATCTCACATCCTCATGACTCAACGTCTGCAAAACCTGCGTCAATCTCTGCTTCTTCTGCAAAAATCGACTATCATACAAATAACTCAAATCCAAATGCTGATCGACCTGAATTCTCGGCAAATGAATATTCTTCAAGTGTATCGTATCCTCCAAAATCCACTCACTCCCCCCTGTACTCTCACATTCATAAATCGCCACACAAAGATTCACGTATCTCGAATCTGGATCACTTTTCGTCGGTCTTGTAAACGATTTTCCGTATTTATAGGCGCAGGCAATTCTTCCACTATAAGCTGCACTGATATTCAACGGTTGACCAGTAATATCGATCGTTGATTCCTTATCCTTGCGGATCATTTCCCACTCGCACCATTCGTAACTCAATTGATTTTCCTCGCCAATTTTCGTTACTTTACACTTCCAAAATCTCACTGTACTATCGCTGCAGGCCGTCACGACAATGTAGGGTGCAAAACAAGCGGGATATATTGATGAACTACTTAAATGTCCGGCTGCGGGGGCGGCGTGAACAACTTCAACTCCTTCGGGTAATGGTAATTCTTGGGTACAAACTTTTGTTGTTGTTATCAGTACATGACTATTGTGATGTCGTCGATGAAAAAATGTTGAATCATAATCGGCTTGACTCTCACGACGACTTCGATTACCACTTTGACTTTGTCGTCGTGATCTTCGACCGTCGCCGTGACCATATCTTCCTGGTGTACCGTCGTCATCTTCATCCTGGACCAACTGGGAATCTGGCACGTACATCATCGATTCTGATAGACCTGGAAAAATTACAAAATATTTATTATTCACTTATATATCGGTTATACAATACTTTCTACTTCAAATAAATTTATTATTTAAATAATAATAGGTAATAATTTTATTTATTTTTAAATTTATTATTTATTTAGAATGTTGGAAACGATCTCCAAAAGAACATGTCAATTAAATAATTTTTTTATTTGTTTTAACAATATTTATTGCCGAAACAATGCTTCTTCCTTTTTTCTTTGAATATTTTGAATTTTAATCCTCAAAAATAAATAAATAAAATAAAAATACAATTTATTTTGTACTATATAAAAAGAAATACAGTAGATCTTTTTACACGAGAAAAATTTTAATTTGATTTGAATTTAAATATAATTAAAAAATTATTTATTATAAAAAAGTCATTTCTTATATGATTTACAAGTTTTTAACATATTCAATAAACGAATTATTTACCATTAAAAATATTTTCATTATATTTGATTGCAATAATCGTGAAAAAACTAACTTTTACATTAAAAAACTTTAAAAATTAATTTTTTTATAGTGCCGAAAAGTTATTCTAATAAAGATTTAATTTGAAGCAGAAATACAGAAAAAAATTTCGTTCACTTGAACGTTCAGAATTCTTCTAAAGAATTTTCATAAAATTTTTGATAAAATAAATTCTTTTAAATAATTTTATTACAATTTTTAAAAATAATTGAATTCCTCAAAAAAAAAAAGAAAAATGGTAATTTCTGAAAATAATTCAATTCTTGTGACGAATTTCATTAAAGTTTTTGAAAATAATTTCTTGCGAAAAATTTTATAAATACATAATGGAATTTTTTGGAGAAATATCATTTAAACATTAAATATTTTATTGAATTCCTACAAAGAATTATCTAAATTTAAGAAAATAATTGAATTTTTGAGAAGAATTTTATTAAAATTTTTTAAAATAATCTAATTCTTTCAAGAAATTTAATTAAAAATGTATTGAAAATAATTATATTCCAAAACATAAATTTTATAAAAATTTTTGGAAATTTAAAATTGAATTCTTGACAAGAATTTTATTATTTACAACAAATAATTGAATTCTTGGCAAAGAATTTTATTAACATTTTTGGAAATAATTGAATTCTTGGAAAGAATTTTATTATTTATGAAGACAATTGAATTCTTGACAAGAATTTTAGTATTTTTGAGGAGAATTTTATTAAAATTTTTAAAAATAATCCAATTCTACCAAGAAATTTAATTTATAAAAATAATTGAATTCTTGAAAATAATTTATTTTTTGGAAAGAATTTCATTATTTCTAAACTTAAACTAGTTGAATTTTTTGAAAGAATTTTATTATTTATGAAGATAATTGAATTCTTGTGAAGAATTTTTGTTAATATTTTAGATTTTAGAAAATAATAAATTATAATATTTAATTAGTTAATATGCGAATTTTTAAAAAATTTTAAATAAAAAATCGTTAAAAAATTGAAGTTGTTTAAAATAAAAAAATTTCGCATATTTATTTAGAAAAATTGTAAACGAACTCTTATGAAATTCAAATATTTTTGTAATTTTTAAGTACCAAACTTTGAATTAGTTTTATTATAGTTCTGAAATACAATTCAATTTCATATTCTGTAAACACTTAAATGATTGTGAAAAATATTAAGTGGAGACTTCGACTACATTTTTAACTTTCATAACAAAAAAATGATATAAATCTTCTATAAAATTATTTTTGTAGTAATTTTTTTAGAGGAAATCAATGATCAGAAGATATTCTGACCCTTTTTGGATTCTTATTGTTCTTAAAAATTGATAGATTTTAAAATCTATCCGTAATTTTGTAGAAAAAATGTTTTTGTATCTAAAAAAATGTTTTCGAATGAAAAAATCGATTTTCACAATTTGTGAAGCATTTTTTTTTTAAAAAAACATTGTTTTTTAGGTTGATAAACCGAAAATAATATAATTTTTATTCAACGTTTTATGTGGAAATTCATTTTTTCTATCTAATTTCAAAATTTAAATTTTATCGTAATTTTTCTGTATTTATTTTTAATTTAAAAAAATTAATATTTGAAATTAGTTAGAAAATCAAACAAGTAAATTTTCATATAAAAAAAATTAAATAACAAAAAATTGAATAAATAACAATGGTATTTTTTTTAGAAATAAGAAAAATAGAAATCCAAAAATTATTCTAAAAATCATTTTTTCATTCGTCAATTTTTTTTGTAAATATAAAAACACATTTTCTACAAAATTACGGATGGATTTTAAAATTAATTTTAAAATAAATTTTTAAGAAAAATAAAAATCCAGAAAAGGGTCAAAATATTTAAATAAAATCTAATAAAATTTAATTCTTGCATAGAATTCGATTAAAACTTTTTTTAAATAATTTAATTGTTTTCAATTCAAAAATATTTACGGAAATTTTGGAAAATAATTAAATTCTTTCGAGAAATCCAATTAAAATTGTATTGTAAATTTTGAAAGTAATTAAAATCTTTAGAGGAATTCAATTAAAGTTGCAAAGAAAATAATTAAATTCCTTCGAAGAATTTTGTAAACCTTGTTGAAAATAATTGAATTCCTCTGAAGAATTTTATTATTTATGAAAATAATTGAACTGAAAAATAAAAATACAAAAATTATTGTAAAAATCATTTTTCCATTCGTCAATTTTTTTGTAAATATAAAAACACCCAAAAAAGGGTCAAAATATTTTTCGACCATCGATTTCCTTTTAAAAAATTACTATAGAATTAATTTTATGGAAGATTTAAATCATTTTCTTGATAAATAGTTAAAGTCTGCCCTTAAAAAAAATTTATTGTATTAAAGTTTCTGATAATTTCAAAGTCTAGTCGCTAAGAATAACGAATAAAAAAAATTACGAAAAGTTAAAATAAAGAATAATGAATAGAAATGAGAATAAAAAAATAAAGAGATTACAAACCATTTGATTCTGGTTGCGAAGCAATCACCAATCGCCACATATGAACAGTCGTTCCTTTCTGCGTTCTCTCAAGAACAACAATATAAAACGGCTCCTCAAATACTGCCGATTGTTGTAGATCCACCATAGCATCGAGTGTCGATTCCATTAAACCCAAATCATTAATCGTCGTATCGAGACCAGGTAATTTCTCATCGTTTCTCTCGCCCGTTATCAATTGCTCTTGAAAAACATGAAGAAATTGTGTATTCTGCCAATCGTGCGTCGCATCCGAAATAGCATCCAGCTGAATAACACAACCAGGTCTCGCTGTCGATTGTTGTGAGACAATTTTAATTCGATCATGAATTGAGTGTCGAATACCGTCATCCGATGAGATGTCAGTCGACAAACTGGCCATTGAATCCATCATTCTACTGCGTCTCTCACTGATGGAAACCTCAGCCAGTAATGTCCTCGCGTCAATAACCGCCTGATAGACACGCAACGATTCACCATCGCTCGCAACAAAACAGGCACTCGGCGAATTCGACAAATTTCCCAATGTTGTGCTAGGAAGAAGTGTCGGTATCCAGGCGACATTACTAAATGCCGATATTTCCGGTGAATTAATTCTCGCCAATTCCGAGACACCACCACTTTTTGATAATGGTCCAACTGCATCGACTCGCCACAATATTAATTCACTGCAAAATCCAGTTGGTGACATAACATCTTTACCATTTATATCCTCCTTATTGATAATAGTCTCAATTGATTCTTGATCCTTATCGCCATTTGGAAAATCAGGTAATGCAACATTATGATGTGAGGTTGTCACCAAAAGTGGTAGAACCGGATGACAAGTGATGTCGTTAACACGAAAACGATGACCGGAGGCACGACACGCGTGACCAATGCTCAATACTTGGGAGAATTTTGTCTTATCGGCAAATGTCAATTGCCAAAGATTTAATGTTCCATTCTCGTGTTTTGAGACCATTGAAACTATTGGACTTGGCTGTGTTAATAAATCATTGACACTTTCTTGTGTTGGTTTACCATTTTCCATTGTTGTACCGCCATTTTCTTGTATTGTTTCTTGATTTAGAGAGAAATTTTGTACGTTCTTGATTAATTCTTGTCCGGCTTTTGATGTTAATGTCGATTGCTCCTCGTCTTGTTCAATTAAACTTGGCAATGGTGTTGTTACTTCGTTTGTGTCCATTTGTTTTGTTGACGATTTTGCAACTTCACGAATACTGAGTAATGGACCGCCGGTATTGTGCGAATACATTGAGACATTGTGACTCATTGTTGATGCATCGCCTAATGGAAAGGCATTTGGAATTCGTGTTGAAAATGATATTTGTGCCTGACGAAATGAACCTGGATGATATTCATCTAACCATTCAATGTGCCAAATTAAAAATGAACCATCAATTGGATGAATTGAAAATAAAAGATCGGGATTGTGATGCCAATCGCGGAGTAGTGTCTCGATTTTTGTATCCAATGAATCCGGTGCATGATTCATTGAGGACGTCGCATCTGTCGCTATCGAATTTATCGATGTTGTATTGCTGTAAATAAATTAATATTTTATTTATTATTTTTTGAAAAAATCATTCTTTTTTCAGGGTGACAGCAAAATTAAATTTTCAAAATTCTCCCACTTATTTTTCATTTTCCCTGATTAAGAAATTTTTAAATAAATTGAAAATTCTGCATAACTGATTAAAAATATATTTAGGGTTGCCACACGAAAAATTAATTTTGTTTTTTCCTGATTTCCAGACAAAATTTTCACTCTTTCCCTGACCTTAAAGAATATTCTGATTCACTTTAAAAATAATTAGAACCTTAAAAAAAATTTTCTGTTACATTTATTTACGAATTTCTTTATAATAATTTAATCTTCTATAAAATTTTCGAAAAAAATTAAATTCTTTACAAAAATTTCAATAAAATCCTTCGCAAGAATTCAATTATTTTTATAAGAAAAACCATTTTTTTTACATCAATTCAATTTTTAAAAAAATGTAATAAAATTCGTTGTAAGAATTCAATTATTATCATAAATAATAACATTTCTCTTAGGATTTAAATTATTTTTAATACAATTTTAAATAAATTCCTAGAAAAATGTAATTATTTTCAAAAATTTTTTGCAAGAATTCAATAACATTTCACAAACAATGAAATTCTTCGCTGAAATTCAAATATTTTCAAAATCTACTATTTTAATAAAAGTTCTCAAAAGAATTCAATTATTTCCATAAATAATAAAATTCTTCACAGGATTTCAATTATTTAAAAGAAATGTAATAAAATTCGTTGCAAGAATTCAATTATTTTTCATAAATAATAGAAATCCTTCACAAGATTTGAATTATTTTGAAAGCATTTTTAAGTAAATTCTTTGAAAAATGTAATTAATTTCAAAAATTTTATTAAAATTCTTCGAAATAAATAAATGAAGAATTATCAATTATTTTTAATAATTTTTGCAAAAATTTCTAGAGAATTTTCAAATCCATTTATTTATAATTCAATTTTACGAAAATTTGATTAAATCAGAAATTATTAAACTAAATATTTAGAAAATAAAAACTTGAAATAATTAAAAAAAAAATTCAATTCAACTTTTTGAAAAAAATTAATTCTTATGAAGAATTTTATCAACAAATCTTTAAATAATTAAATTAATATAAAGAATTTAATAAAATTTTTTAGAATAATATTGAAAATAATAATGTTAAAAATCATTCAATTCAGAAAATTCTTTTAAAAATAATTGAAATTTTGCTAAAAATTTGATTAAAATTTTTAACAATAATTGAATTTCGACGAAGAATTTGATTACTTTTGAAAATAATGGAATTCTTGTGATGAATATTGTTATTTATGGAAATAATTGAATTATTACAAGCAATTTTATAAAAAAAAGTCAAATAAATGAATTTTTTAAAAACTGTTTTGCAAATTCTATTTTCAGTAATTGAATTCCTGTGAAATTTTTATCAAAATTTTTATTAAATAATTGAATTTTGTTGGGAAATTTTATTAAAATAGTAGATATTGAAAATCATTGAATTGAGAAAATTTTTTTAAAATAAATAATAAACAATTAAAATTATTATGTAAAATTTTAACTGAAATTCATTTTTAAATCAATTTTTATTAGAAAATTTTACGACAATTTAATTACTTAAATACAAAAATAAATAATTTATTGAATAAATGTTTCTCAAAATCAAAATTCCATAAAGAATTTTATCAACAAATTTTTAAATAATTGAATTTTTTCAATGAATTTTAATAAAATTTTCAAGAATAATTACATTTTTCGAGGAATTCGATTTGAATATTGTATTAAAAATAATTGAAATTCTATGATGAGTTTTATTATTCATGAAAATAACTGAATTATTGCGAAAAAATTTATAAAAAATTTATAGTTGAATTCCTGTGAAATTTTTATTATAATATGAAAATAAATAAATATTTGTGTAGAATTTTATTAAAGTTTTTGAAAATAGTTGAATTTCTGCGAAGAATTTTATTTCTTTTGAAAATAATTTAATTCTTGTAATGAATATTGTTATTTATGAAAATAACTGAATTTTACAAAGAATTTTATTATTAATATTAATACAAAAATAAATAATTTATTGAATAGCTGAATGTTTCTTAAAATTGAATTCTCGTTAAGAATTTTATCCACAAATTTTTAAATATTTGAATTTTATTGACGAATTTTATTAAAATTTTCAAGAATAATTACATTTTTTGAGGAATTTGGTTAAAATTGTATAAAAAATAATTGAAATTCTAAGATGAGTTCTATTATTTATGAAAATAATTAAATCTCTTTAAACAAAATGTTATTATTCATAAAAATAATTGAATTATTGCGAAGAATTTTATAAAAAAAATATATAAATAGTTGAATTACTGTGAAATTTTTATTATTTATGAAAATCATTGAATTTTGAAGAAGAATTTTATTATTTTTAAAGATAATTGAAATTTTGACGAGATTTTTTTAAAATTTTAAGCATAATTGAATTTTTGCTAACATTTTTAACTTCTCTAAAATTAAAATTTTTTTTAGTGTTTTTAACTAAAATTCTTCATGATTTTTAATAATTAATTAAATATATTTACAAAATTAAATAAAACTAATTATGAATCCTGCAAAATTAATTTTTTCCAGTACTTTAATAAAAATCCCTGACTTTTTCCTAACCAATTCTACTTCCCCTGACTTGTGGCAACCCTGATATTATTGTTTTTAAGTAAAAATTTTATTTATAAAGGAAAACATGAGATAAAGTCTAAATACAGTAATTAAACATTAATTTTTTGGTCAGTTCACAATAAAATAAAAAAAAGAAAATTCTTAATGGGGGGAAAACCAAGACAATAAAGATACATATTTTTGTGATTAAAAGAGATGTTTACCTAAGACTTTGGTGAGAATGGGCACTGTGAGGAAGACTAGGATGGGACGATGTTGTATGTGCCGTATGATGTTCATCGCTACTGTGATCCTCTTGACTCATTGCTCGTCCACCAACATTTGCTTTCTGACTGGATTGGTGCTTAGTGCCTTTCTCTGTTGGTCGCACGATACCATAACACGATAAGATGCTGCCTAATAAACCATATTTCTACCCAACAACCATGCAAAAACATGCACCAATATCACCTATATTTTTTTATTTATTTATATTCAAAACCCTAAGTGAATCTCTCGGGAGACACTTATTAAAGAGGCATTAAAAAAATAAAAAAAAAATATTTAATTTCTTTCTCACTTTAGAGAAAATTTGAACTTTATTTCTAATTTTGCATAAAAAATCAAGTTTAATTTAATTGATAATTAATTTTAATTATAAATTATTTCTGAAAGATTCTTTGCTTTTTTTAGATTTATAAAAAAAAGAATTCTATTTTAGAATATTAAAATTGTTCCACTTAAAAAAGAAAATGCAAAGAAGAAAATAGAAATATAGTTTAAAAAATAGAGCGATAAACAAAAAATGTAATTAAATAAATAAAGCGATAAATAATGTAAATATTTAAAAATGAACAGAAGCGTAAAAATATCATTACAGTGAATGCAAATCATCTTAACTAAGTCCATAAAAACAAGACAAAAAATATTAATCAAATTAGTTACATAATTTTTCCCCAATTATCGCGATTTTATAGCATTTTTGAAAAACAAAATTTTTGCCACGACATTAGTCGCTTATTTTTACCATCAACATCATGAATAAAAGTGGTTAATAAAAAAATTAAAATCTTTCAAAACAACAATTTGTTTAAATAAATGCAAAATTGGAAGCAAAATGTTAATTCAATTCATGTTAGAAAATAGCGAATTTAAAAAAAGAATCAGAAAACTTGCAAAATTTTCAAAAACAAATTTGAAAAATTCAAATTACGTACTTGGTGTATGCTCGTCTTCCGAATCATGTTCCGTTTGCTCCACTTCTTGATTTTGCATACCTTCCTCTTTTTCCACGACTTTCCGCGTCAATTCCTGATATGTAAAATAAAACCAATTCAATTTAATTAATCAAAGGAAAATTAATTTAATTGAATAATAATTTCTATTCCGTTTTTCCTAATAGTAAAACTAAAATTTACATTTTTAAGAAAAAAAAACAAACCTGTAAAATGTTTTCCGCCTGCATCGTAAAATGCATTTCTTTATTATTCAGCCAATGTAAAATGAAATTTGGTTCTCGATCCGGATCGCCGGTAATTAAACTTGGTACAAGTGGAATATCTGTAACATTTATTAATTCTTTCTTTCAACTATTAAATTTCAATTAGTAAATTATTTTCTAAATTTTGAATACAAAAATTTAATATCCAAAAGTTGAAGTGAAAATAGAGAGAAATTTATTGCACCTGTTTCGGCATTAATGCTCGCCGCTAAATGAAAATGCATTCCAGGATAGTGAGCCGATGTTTGATAATTATTATGAAAATCGTGAACTGAATACGTTGACGGTAATGTCGGAAGAGTTGGGGCAGTGTGACCTGCCTGGTGTTGTTGTTGCTTCGCATGACGACGAATGTGGAAACACGTTCTGTAAATATCAAGTATTATTAATTCCAAGAAAGAAAATAAATTAATAAGGAATATAATTAATTCCTGCAATAAATTAAAGGAAAATGTAATTTATTGTATTAATAATAAAAATTCTCCTCATTATTAAAAATAATTCCCATATATGTATTAAAAAGGGGCAATTTTTTAATAAAGAAAGAAAAATAGAAAGCGAATTTAAAATTCGAAATGTATGGAAAATTAATTAAATTAAATGAGAAAATTATAATAAATAAAAGGTAACGAAATTAAATCCAATTTTGATAGAAGAAAAAAAACATACTTCATGTGTTTAAGGCGTTGCATAAACCTGTGTTTATGCATATTATGATGACGATGTTTTCCATGATGTCCATGTCTATCACTGCCTTCAAACTGACTCATATTTGCTAAACCTTCAATTTCCGGTGGTATCGTCTCAGTCCAAACTCGACAAATATTATCACGACAGGAAGTTACTAACATATTCGAAACTGATCCCCTATTAAAGACAAAAAAAAATTATCCCTTATATTTCAAATTTCACTAAAGAAATATTAAAATTCCTTTTTGCTTGATCATTATTACCGCAAACAATTAATACCGAAAAGTAAATTAAAAAATGATATCAGTTATCAATTCAAATATTAAACATAAAATTACAATTCTAATATTAAAATTAAATATCAATCAAATATTAAAATTAAATATCAATCAAATATTAAAATTAAATATCAATCAAATATTGTCAATTTTCAAAACATTTTAAAACAACTTTTCTTAAAGTTTACAGTGAACGAACTTCCTTAAATAATTTCTTCGATAATAACGTGTCTTCTTACTTTGGCATGTATTTACTAGTTTTTCTCCATGAAATGTGAGTGACAGCCCGAGGATGAGCGACGTAAACGAAACTATAACTATCATTAATTGGCAAATTAAACGACGATTGATCAATACTCTTCGACGGAAACACTGAAATTAAAAAAAAAGAAGACAAATTTAGAAATATCAGCTACTTAAAAACAAATCGTATAAAACAAGACGTAAATTTTATTTCCAATTTAAATGTAAATGCATTTTCTTGACGAAATGAATACTAAAATTATTTATATTACCAGAAAATGTTAAGCCAACAGCAGCAGTATTTCATTTATTATGAAAATTAACAAAAAATTTGTTGTTTTCGAATATTAATATCAATTTTGGAATACTTTCTTATTTAAAATTTAAAAAAATTTAATTATTAACTAATTTACTAATAAAATTACAATTATTGTTTTCAAAAACTTTAATAAAATTCTTCGTAGAAATTCAATTACTTTCAATACAATTTCAATAAAAGTTCTGAAAAGAAATCAATTATTTATAAAAAATTAATTAAATTCTTCACAAGAAAACAATTATTATGAACAATTTTGAAAAAATTCTTTGTGTCAATTGAAATTGTATTCTAAATTTAATTTTAATTACATTCCTCGAAAAAGTTTAATTATTTTCAAAAAGTTTAATTTATTCAATTTTTAGCAAGATTTCAAATATTTTCATAATTTATCAAACTTTTCGTGAAAATTTAATTATTTTAAAGAATTTTAATGAAATTTTTAGCAAAAAAATGATTATTTTGAAAAATTTCAACAAATTTTTTTAAAAGAATTTAATTTTTTTTCTAATTATAATAAAATTGTTTACAGGAATTCAATTATTTTAAAAAAGTTTGATTCAATTCTTTATGAGAATTAAAATATATTTGCAATACAATTTTAATTAAATCCCGCGAAAAAATTCAATTATTTTACGAAAATTCAAATAAAATTCTTAGCAAGATTTCAATTATTGTCAATACAATTTCAATAAAATTTTTCAAAAGAATTCAATTATTTTTACAAATTTCAATAATATTTTTCAAGGAATTCAATTATTTTGAAAACTTTTTATTAAATTCTTTATGAGAATTAAAATATTTTTGATACAATTATAATTAAATTGCTCGAAATAATTATATTATTTTCGAAAAAAATATTAATTAAATTCTTAGCAAGGTCACAATTATTTTAATATAATTAATAAAACTTTTCGCTGAAATTTAATTATTTTACAAAATTTTTATAATATTTTTTCCAAAAATGTTATTGTTTTAAAAAATTTCTTTAAAATTATTTATGAGAATTAAATTCTTTTCCTAAATAATAAAATTTTTGTCAGAAATTCAATTATTTTAAAAAATTTTGATTAAACTCTTTATGAGAGCTGAAATATTTTCAATACAATTTTAATTAAATCCCACGAAAAAATTCAATTATTTTCGAAAATTTTAATTAAATTCTTGGCAAAATTGTAATTATTTTCATAATTTATCAAATTTCTCGCAGGAATTTATTTGCTTTAAAGAAATTTTAATAAAATTCTTCGCAAAAATTTTATTATTTTAAAAAATTTCAATAAAATTCTTTATAAAAAATTCAATTAAATTCATTAATTTTTAATTCATTAAATTAAAGTGTAATTATTTTCCTAAGTAATAACATTTTTCGCTGAAAATCAATTATTTAAAAATTTTTTGGTAAAATTCTTTACAAGAATTCACTTACTTTTGATAGAATTTTAATAAAATTCTTACCAAGATTACGATTATTTTCATAATAATTAATAACATTTCGCGAAAGAATTCAATTATTTAAAAAAAATTGTAATAAAATTTTCGGAAGAATTGAATTATAAATTTCTTCTCAGGAATTCAATTCTTTTTAAAAAATGTAATAAACTTCGTTTTATTATTCTGAAAAATTTGAATAAATTTCTTTATAAGAATTCAATTATTTTAGATTGAAAATTATCAAATTTAAAAGAAATATTTTGAATTGAAAACAATTTGGTTTAATTAATTTTTCGTATTTTTTATAAATTTTAATAATAAATTTTATAAATATTAATAAAAAAGTATTAAAATTAACAAATTTTAAGAATAAAATAAAATTCCTATAAATTAAAAAAAAAATATCGAAACTCACGTTGTTTATTCTCGAACCAAATTTTCACGAGTCTATCATTCATTCCTGTTGTCGCAAAAAGTGTACCATCGGGACTGAATGTCATTAAATGAACCGGAGTCGCTGTACGACATTTCCAAACACAATTCCATGTTCCAACGTCGTGTGTTGATCCCGAATCACCAGGTCCCGGACTCTCTGCCTCACCACCAATGGAAAAAGTCACGGCGCTGGCTGTATTAACAAAATTCAACCATTAGACACAAATTTTTTTATTTTCCTTTTACAAAATTTTAATTAAAAATCACACCTGAGGCGACATTTTTAGATAAAGCCTAGAAATTAAGTTTTTAATTTTAAAAAAACAAGAATAAATTTTTAGAATTTTACATTAAAAATGCACAATATTTGCATTTTGCAGTAGAAAAAAATTAATTTAATGAATATTTATTAATCTTTTAGTACAATTTGCAAATTGATTTTAAATTAGTGATTGAATATTTTAATCACAAAACAACTAAAATATCTAATCTAATAGTTAAAAAATAAAATACTAGTTATTAAAATGTTAACTGTTTAATGTTCTAATACAGTTAAAAATAAAAATACTAGTTATTAAAATTTTCTACTGTTCAATATAAGGAGGGTAAATATTTTTCTTTTCACAAAATCCTAAAATTTTCTCCTCTATTACAAAATATTTTGCAGTACTTTTCAAATGATTTACAAACAAGATTTTTTGCAACATATAAAATTAACCATTAAAATTCTCTTGTAATAAACAAAATTTAGATTTTATTGTAATGAACAAAATTAGAATGTTTTTTCAATTTAAATAAAAATTTTAGTTGTAAAATTTTATTTCAAAATAAATTCTTTCCAATATTATTCTCAAGCTGAAGAAAATAATGGAAAATATATTTAAAGAATAAATGAGAAATAAAATGAATAATTAAAATTGAATGAAGATAAAAATAAACAAATTGCAGGGCATGACTTTCTAAGCATTCATGCTATAAAACTTGCTTATCAAAAGAACATGCTTTAGAGTAGAGGAGAACTTTCTTGATGTTGGCCTAGTTGCAAAAGTTTCATTTGTGTAATAGACTGTCAAGTGAAATATTCGAAAAATCAATAACGACAATTTAAAATCGATCTCAATAAATAATATGATGTGCTATAAATGAGTGAATAAAAATCTAGTGAAATTGTACATCGTTCACATTTTTTTTCTTTTTTTCTTTTCAAAATCATGCAAAAGAGCCGACAATACGTTCATTCATTAAGCGAATGAACTCACGATCTTGCGAAGAATTATTCCCCGTTACGTTTTGTTCAACTCCTGTTGTTGTAACTTCTTCTACTTGTGTTGGTTTCGCCTTTGCCGCTGTATATATATACATTACAATATTATATTTACACAATTTTAATCTAAACACTTCATTTTAAATTAATAAATCTTTTTTTTACATTTTCATAAAAATGACAAGAGAATTTTGATAAGAAAAAGACAAGACTTTTAAGAAAATACACTTCTTTTGTGGAAATTTAAAATTATTTATAAAAAATTAATTTTCTAATTTAAGATTATTAATAATTTATAATTTAAAATTAATTAAGTATTGAAGTCAACGATTTAAAATTAACTTTATAATTTAAGACTATAAATAATTAAACATTAATTTTTTTATAAAAAAGAAAACTTACGTTGTTCCTCCTGGAATGGAAGAATATTTTGATGCCAAAGTTGTAAAAGTTCTCCGCCTGTTAAAAGACGTGTGCCTTCTAAATTCCATGACAGAGAAGTAATATTTGATTCCGTTTGAAGAGAACCCGTTTGAACCCATCGATATTCCAATTGCTGTGAATTATCGAAAATAAAAAATTATATTCAAGTTTTCGAAAAAGAAATTAAATCTATATTTCTAAGGAAAACTATTTTTTTGTTTTTAAATTTAATTAAAATGTAATACAAAAGAAATGTATAAATTTAAAATAAAATGCAAAATAACAGGCTTCACTCTCAATAATTAATTTTGAAAAACAGGGTGGCCACAAAAATTTTATTTTATTTTTCCTGATTTCCAGGCAAAATCTTCAATTTTTTTTATTTACAAATTTCTTTCAGTGTAAAATTATTCGAAAACATCAATAACTTCTTTTTTAAATAAATATTTAATAATTAGTATTTTTTCACAAAAATTAAGATTTTGAAAAATTTTAAATTCAAACCTTTTGAAATTCAATAACTTATAAAAATATTTTATTATAAAACATGAAGATATTAATCACTCCGAGTCTTCGACTCGGAGCAATCGATTTCTTCGTGTTTTATAATAATTCTGTTTTCAATAACTCCAAATTCAAAATTCTAAAAATTCACTTATTAAGTACATAATTAAATATTCTTGTTTAATAGATATTTTCAAAAATTTTAATAAAATTTTTCGTATGAATTCAATTATTCTCATAAATAATAACATTCTTTGGAAGAATTCAATTATTTTCAATACAATTTTAATTAAATTTCTCTAAAGAATACAATTATTTTTAAAAATATTAATTAAATACGATTATTTTTAAACGTTTTAATAATTTTTTAAATTATACATTCTTTAGAAAAATTCATTTATTTAATTATAAATAGTAAAATATCTAAGAGGAATTCATAGATATGCTGTTTTTAAACAATCTAATATTTTTCGTAAATAAATAAAATTTTTTAAAGTATTTTTTTAAATTTCTTGAAAATAAAGTAGATTTTTAAAATAATTTGAATTAAAAATTTTGAAAATAATTGATATTTACAGAGAATTTTATAAAAAATTCTGAGAATTGAATTTTTTAGACAAATTTTATTACAATTTTTAAAAATAATTGACCACGATCGAGAAAATTTATAAAAATTGTGTTGCAAATAATTGAATTCCTAAGAACAACTTTATTATTTTTGAAAAGAATTGAATAATTATTTGAATGAATATTATTTACTGAATTATATTGAAAATAATTGAATTTTTGCAAAGAATTTCTTATTCCAAAAATTAATATAATTCTTTACAGAAATATTTAATGAAATAGTATAGAAATAATTGAATTCTTTCATAGAATTTCATGACAATTATTTAAAACAATTGAATTCTTTTGAGAAATTTTTATAAATTGTACTGAAAATAATTGAATTCTTTTAAGTAAATTTATTATAACATTTTATAAAAAAATTGAATTTTATCAAGAAATATAGAAATTGTATTAAAAAATAATTGAATTCTTGCGAAGAATTTTATTAAAATTTTTAGAAATAATTCAATTTTTTTAAATAATTTTATTAAAATAATAAATATTGAGAATAATTTAATTTCAACGAAGAATTTTATTATTTGTAAAGTTAATCAAAATTCTTGCAAAGAATTTTCTTAAAATTTTTGAAAATAAGTGAATTTAAAAAAATTTTATTGAAATATCTCAATAAAAAGGAAAAAGGAGCTTTTAGTGGCAAAAATCTAAAAAAGTATTTAAATAGTATCAAATCGTAAAAAATAATACAATAATAAAAATAGTATAGCAATAAAAAAATATCAAGAAAAATAATAACAAAAAATTAAAACATTATCAAACAAAAAATTATACTTGAGAAATTAATGATAAAAATTTTCCATTTAAATACTTTATTCATTAAATAATTTTTAAAAATAATTAATATGATTACTAAATTTTAATGATGTTTATGAATGAGAAAAAAAATTTGTTTACTAACGTGAGAACAATTGCTGTGAATTAATGGAGTTGGCTCGAAAATGCAGACTTGATTTTCGTAAGCGGCTGCAATTTTTCCTGTATCGGTGCTACAATCCAAACAACTGATTCGTATGTAATTATGCACAGCACCAGGAATTATTTGAACACGCTCAAAATTACTAGCGAGGATCACAATATTACATCCAGCAGCGTAAGCCTAAAATCATTAAAAAAAAAAAGAGAAACAATTTATTACAGTATTTTCATTATCGAATTTTTTCAAAAACTTCAAATTAAACACATTATTAAACAGTCATTTTAACTTCTCTTATCATTTTATCACCTTCATTCTCACTTATCAATATTTATTCAAAAATTTCTGCATAAACTATTCATTTATCTCTTATTTTTCATATAATTTCTCTAAATTAATTTTTATCAAAAAAAAAAATTATTTTATCCCAAGAAAATTAAAAATTAACGAAAAAATTTTATCATTTCCATTAGTTATTAGTTTATTCCTTTAAATGGTCGAAATAAACTTGAAGACAATCGAAAGGAAAAAAACAAAATAACAAAAATTTATTAAATTTTGAAAAAATAAACAACAAAGAAAAGAACTACTTGTCTCAAACAATAACAAAAATTAACACAACTTATCATTATATCAAAATATAACCTAAAAATAAAAAGTAATCGATAATTTAGCAATTAAGATTCAAGATATCAGCGGCAATGAATAATCTTATTAGCCTCCAAGAATAATAAACGAGAAAAAAAACAGAAAATTAGGTTAACATTTTATTTGAATTCAAATTAGAAACTATTTTTCAATAAAAAAAAAGTTATCCAAAAAGAACCTTCAAACAAAAAAGTATATATAATTATAGTGTAAAACAATGGAATGTAACAATTTGTCGCATAATGTTACGTTCACTGTTCTTTTTTTTAAAAAAGAAAACATATTTTCTGAATACAAGAGACAAGTGTCATTAAATCAGCTGACTTTCAACAGTAAGAATTCTGTTAAATACGTATTGACTTTTCCTTTTAATCATTATGCACTTTATAAAATGGTACAAAACTATTTTACACACGAGTCGAGTCAATCGGGTAATTGTTAAAATTAAAATTAACGAATTGATGATAAATATGTTAATTAATTTCTTTATTATTAGGGGATAATAATTATTGAATGGGAAAATAAAAAAACTCACGGTAAATGATATTCCTTCAACAGAGCCGACAGCAAAGCAACGATCGCCTGCATTGCAAGCTCCGCTTAATATTTGATGACAATTCATTATTGTTCGATTGACTTAGATCATTTTCACAAATAATTTATATAATACTAGATATGAATTTATCTGTCGTATTGACAAACACACGTTTTTATTTAAACTAAATTCCCGAAAAGGAACTTAATAGTTGACGTGACACAGTGATCTAGCAGTAGAGTGTCGGCCATCTTTAAATGGAACTTGATTGCGCTGTTGCCACATTTCTTCGTTTTCCCATTTTTCGATAAGCAGTTCATCTTCCCGATGTAAGATGGCACTCAATTTCAAATTTGAAAATTTGAATTTTCAAATTTGAAAATATAATTCGAAATTTTTAAATTTGTTGAGAATATAATTCAATTATTTTCTAAAATCTTAATAAATCCTTGGAAACAATTCAATTATTTTTATAACTACAGTAAAATTCTTTGCGGGAATTCAATTATTTTCAAAATAATTTTAATTGAATTCCTCGAAAGAATTCCATTTTTAATATACCTCATTCGAATAAATTCAATTATTTTCTAAATTCTTTAAAAATCCTTAGAAGCAATTCAATTATTTTTATAGAAAGTAAAATCTTTTTAAAAATTCAATTATTTTCAATAAAATTTTAATTGAATTTCTCAGAAGAATACAATTTAAAAAAAAATTAATACATTTCCAAAAGAATTCAATTATTTTCTAAAATCTTAATAAAACATTCGAAACAATTCAATTATTTTAATAAATAGTAAAATTCTGCCCAAGAATTCAATTATTTTTATAAATAGTAAAATTCTTTTCATAAATTCAAATATTATTTTCAAAACATTTTTAATTGAGTTCCTCGAAAGAATTCAAATATTTAAAAATATTTCCATAAAATTCAATTATTTCCTAAAATTTTTATAAATTCTTTGAAACAATTCAACTATTTTTATAAATACTAAAATTCTTTGCAGGAATTAAATTATTTTTAATTCAAATTAAATAAAATTACACGGATGAATTTAATTATTTTCAAAAATTTTCATAAAATCAACAAGAATTTAAAATTCTCTAAAAATAATTCAATTATTCTTAAAATATTTAAAAAATTCTTTACAAAAATTAAATTACTTTCAATACAATTTTAAAATATATTCGTTCAAAAAATTGAAAGAATTCAATTATTTTGAATATAATTAACTTTAATAAAATTCTTTACAGAAATTCAATTGTTTTCGAAGCAACTTTAATTGAATTTCTCGAAAGAATTTCATTATTTTCAAATATTTTTATAAATCTCTTCAAAACAATTCAATTATTTTCTAAAATTTTAATAAATTCTTCAAAACATTTCAATTATTTTTATAAATATAGTAAAATTCTTCTCAAGAATTCAATTATTTTTATAAATAATTCGCGAGAATTGAATTATTTTTATGAATAAAAAAATTCAAATTACCGGAGTACAACGATTATTAATATAGATTATAATAAATAATTATTAAAATAATTGTTCAAAACAATTAAATTGAAAATTGAATTGAATTGAAATTGAAAGAGAAAATTTAATAGAATTGTAAAGAATAAAGCAAATCTTATGATTAATTTAAATAATTGTATAGAATAAAGAAAATTTAATAATTGTATAAAATAAATAAATGGCTTTCTTCTATTTTTTTAATTAATAGAATTTGAAATTACGTTATTGTATAAAGTAAACAAAATTTAATAATTATTTAAAATAATTTTATAGAATAAAGGGATGTAAAACAAAATTTGCAACATCAAGAAATAAATTCTATTCTATTTGTAGAATAAAGAAATAATTAATAATTGTATAAAACAAAAAATTAAATAATGGGCTTATTGTTATTTTTTAAAAAATATTAATAAAACATGAAAATACTTTGTTTTATAAAATAAAGTAAATTTAATAATTGTTTAAAATAAAAATAAATAATTTCAACTAAAAATGAATAAATTTCTCTCTTCTATTTTTTTCAAATATCAATAGAACGTGAAAAGACGTTCTTGATTATAAAAAAATTTTTTTATTAAAAGGTTTACTTACATATAATTGTGCAAATAAAATCAAAAATGATTTTGTAAAAGTGCATTTTTTTACTGTGTCAATTGACAAAGCATTGCAACGCCTCTTATAATCCAATGTTCGGCTGATTTATCCGTCGGAAGTCTCATTGCAATAACAAAATTGGTAGAATGACCGGTTGTTGAGAGGACACCTTTTCTTTCGCCAGTTTTGTAAACAGGACAATTGTAAGTTTTTCGCTCCTTAATTTCTTCTTTTTTCATTGGAATAAGCCAAAGCTGTAATAAAACAAAAAATTAAATTTTTTTACTCAAAAAGAAAAATTCATTTTTAAATAATAAATATTAAATATTAAATATTAAATATTAAATATTCAAAATAAGGAAATACAATATTTATTTTAATAAAAAATACATTTTTGATAATTCTGAAATTATTAGAAAACTTACGTGAGGTACGGTATTGTACAAAACTTTCGGAAGACTTTCATCCAAAATCATTTTCTCCATATTAAATCTCGCACCATCCAAGAATAAACCATAAACATAAACTCCATCCTCAGGTGAAATTTCAAATTTCCTCTCTTTCATTATTTCGAAATCGTATACCAATAAATCAATAGGAATTTTATATTTTCGTGCAAAATTTTGCCGTGCACCAGTCAAAAAAGCTTGAGTGAAAAAAAACCCCGACAGCCAAAATGTAACAGGCGGTCCATTCTCAAACCATAACTAAAAAAAATTATTTCAAAAAATTATTGTTTTTATTTCTGAATTTTCAATTAATTCATTAAATAAATGATAATTTTATTATTAATTTAATATGAAATTATTACTATTATTACTAAATTATTACTGTAATATTATTAGTAGGCAGTGAAGTAAATAATAATTATTGAAATTTAAATTAAATTCTCTTGAAGAATTTCTTTATGTTTTTTTAAATAATGGAGTTTCTTTAATAATTTTAATTGAGGATTTTTAAAGTAATTGAATTTTATGAAGAATTTCTTACAACATTTTCATATAATCGTGTTTCAAAATAATTGAAATTAAACATTTGATTATTGAATTTTATTTAAATTCTATTGAAAATAATTGAATTCCTCAAAAGAATTTTATTATTTACAAAAATAATAGAATTTTTGCAAAGAATTTTACTATTTATAAAAATAATTAAATTTTTTCAATAAATTTTACTTTGAAAGAATTTCTTGAAAAGAATTTGTTTCAAATTTTTGAAAATAATTAAAATTCTGTAAGGAATTCAATTATTTATGAAAATAATTGAATACTTGAAAATAATTGAGATCCACAGAAGAATTTTATTATTAATGAAAATAATTGAAATCTTCTAAAGAATTTTATTTTTTATGATGATAATTGAATTCTAGAGAAGCGAATTTCATTAAAATTATTGAAAGAATGAAGAATGTATAAAAATTTTATTAAAAGAAACAATTGAATTCTTCGGTAGAATTTTAAATTTAATAATAAAAAATATAAATCATAAAATAATCGTTTCACTGTTTTAATTTGTAAAATGATAAATGAAAAAAGGAATCAAGAATATAAAAACCTGGAGAAATTTGAGACGCTCAAGAAAGTCGATTATATAACTTCCCAGTGGTTTTAAGGATGGATAAGAATTTTGTTTCCAAAGATTTGGAATTTTTCCAGTCAATATAGAAGCAAATACCTCTTCCAGTTCAAATGACATAACAATGAGGCCTATATAACAAAAATTAGCAAATAATTAAAATTTTTAATAAAAGTAAATTTATATAAGCGTCTAAATAAAAAAAAAAATAAGCAAATAATTTAAATTTCCAATAAAAGTGAATTTACATCAAAAAAAGTGGAGATAATCATAAATTTTTCTTTACATTGAATTGATAATAATTAATAAAAATTATAATTGTAATTAACTTATTTGTATCGATCGAAAATTTTCAAAAAATAAAATAAAGAAAGTATAAGTAAAAAAAAATTATTTTCAAACCTCGAATTGCTCTCTTTAAATTTACAAGACTGCTTCTGATGCATTGCAAGAGTTTGTTGAATCTTCCCATTTCTTGAACCAATACAGTGTTCATACTCTGATTGTAAGATGTTGGATACTTGTCAAGTGCATCGATTAAATTATAGTCACTCGGAAGTTTACTGAGAATATCCGTCGCAACTCCAGAAACAATATCATCACTTGACAATTCTCCCGTTCCAGTTGATGTTTCCTGTGAAAATTACAATTCAAGGTGATTAAAAATTAGAAAAAACAAATAAAAACTATCTACATATAGAATTAAAAAAACTTTTGTCTCGAGACAAGAAAAAAAAATTTCTGTTCTTACCCTAAAGTCCCAAATATCCTGTCGCGTGTAAATAGAAACAGAATTTAAACATGAACAAATGAATATTAAATTTGAATAAATAAATATTAAATTTAAATAAACAAATAATTTAAATAAATTTAAAATTTAAAATATAAATAATATTCAATTTTTGAATATTAAAAAATACATTATTTTAATAGAGAAGAAAAAATTACCTTTCGATCCTTAACGCAAGATATTAAAATCAAGTAATTAGAATTTCAATTAGAATTTTCTATCAGTTCAAAATTTAAATAAAAAACGACATACTTGAGTGAGTAAGAGAGAAGAGAATAAAAGTTCCGTCTCCTGTTGGTCCTTGATAATGTCAGCATTTTCATTCATTCCAAATACACTCGGCGCTGTGATGAGCGGAAGCTTTCTACTGTACTCTAAATAAATCTCGTATTCATTTGCTTTTGGACAATAGTAAATATCGGACGTTTCATCGAAATAAAACGTTTTTTCCTCCAATAAACTCCTGAAAAATTCATCAACAATTTTTTTTTTAAATAAAAGTTTCGTTTTATTAACAAAAAAAAAAGAATTATTTTCGATTAAAATAAATAATCAAGTCACAATAATGAAATTTTCATTTAAAGAATTTTTTTATATTCGTAAATAGTTAAGAACAAAAATTTATATTTAATTTGAATAATTCTGTAAATAAAATTATTTTCGAGAATTTTTTTCAATAATAATGAATATTAATTCACAATTCACTTAAAATTATTAATTATTACAAAATAATTAGTAAATTTTTTATTTTCAAATATGAATATTTGAATAATTTCAGATTCAAACTTTAAAACATTCAATTATTAACTAATTTACTAATTAATTATTCTTGTATATTAATTTCCAAAATTTTAATAAAATTCTTCGCAAGAATTCAATTATTTTCATAAATAATAACATTCTTCATAAGAATTCAATTATTTTTAATAATAATAAAATTTTTTGCAGTAATTCAATTATTTTTAAACAAAATTATTTTTTTTTATTTTAATAAATCCTTCGAAACAATTCAATTATTTTTTTAAATAGTAAAATCTTTGCAAAAAATCAAACTATTTTCAAAAAATTTCACGTAGGGATTCAATTTTTTTTTAATTCGTTATAAAATATTTCAAAAGAATTCAATTATTTTCCAAATTTTAAATAAATCCTTCGAAAAAATTCAATTATTTTTTTAAATAGTAAAATCTTTGTAAAAATTCAATCATTTTTAAACAAAATTATTTTCTAAAATTTTAATAAATCCTTCGAAAAAATTCAATTGTTTTCTTAATCATTGCAATAATTCAATTATTTTTAATACAATTTTAATAATATTTCATGAAACAAATTCAATTTCTTTTTATTTTAATAAAACTTAACAAAAAATTCAATTATTTTCTAAAATTTTTTCGAAAAATCTAATTTTTTTTAGAAATATTGTAAAATTTTTTGTAAAAATTCAATTATTTTTAATACAATTTTAATAACATTTCATGAAAGAATTTAATTAAAAAAATTTTTTAATAATAGTTTTCGAAAAAATTCAATTATTTTCAAAAAAATTTTAGGAAAGGATTCAATTCTTTTCTTAATTCGATATAAAATATTTCAATAGAATTCAATTATTTTCTAAAATTTTAATAAGTTCTTTGGAACAATTCAATTATATTTACAAATAGTAAAATTTTTTGCAAAAATTTAATTATTTTCTAAAATTTTTATAAATTTTTCAAAAAAATTCAATTACTTTTATAAGTAATAAATTTCTTTGCAAATATTTAATTATTTTCTAAAATTTTAAAAAAATTCAATTATTTTCAAAATTTAAAAAAACTCCATTATTTTAAAAAAAATTTAAAGAAATTTTTCAAAAAGAATTTAATCAGAATTTTCAAAACTTTTAACAAAATTCTTGACGAGAATTCAATTATTTTCCTAAATTATAAAATTCTTCGAAGGAATTTTATTATTATTATTGTATAGAATTCTTTGGAACAATTAACTTAATGATTTAGCGAAATAAAAAATTAACTAAATAAATATTTAACGACAAAAATTTAACTGTAAAAACTAAATTAAAATTTATAAAAATAATAAATAATAAAAATTTTACCTTATAAAAATTAAAATAAACAGAAAGTTAGATAATTAAAAAGTTTTCTTAATTAATAATTGCAATTGAATCAAATAGAAATTCGACGAAATGAAAATTTTGGAGTAAAATTAAAATAAATAAGAAATAATAGAAAATAATTAAAAAGTTACATTAATTGATAATTGAAATTCCACTAAATGAAGATTTCGGAGGAAAATTAAAATAAAATGTAGAAAATAATTCTTTAGAAGAAAATTAACAAGAAAAGAAAAAACTTCTAAAGCAAACACAATAATAATACAAACTATAAAAATAAAACAAATAATAATAAAAATAAATAGTAATACAAAAATAAATATTAAAATAAATAATACAAACTCATTGTAAAATTTCTCCAAAATAGTGATAAGAGTCCTTCGATCCCATTCGTCAGTGACACGACCACCATAATTACATTCTCCGGTTAAATATTTAAGAGCCTCAAATTGAACATCGTCATATTGATCAAGAAACATGTGTAACTGAAGAACACTAACACGCAAATCTGTTTCATTAAATTCATAGGGCTTATTCCATCCAATTGGACCAAATTTTCTTCGCTCTTGAATAATTGCATGAAAAAAGCACAGCGAATACAAGAGTTTCTTGAAATTTTCACTTTGATTGCAAGACTCAAAAAATTCTGCATCACTTATTGGATCATTTAAATATGATCGAATAATATTTGCACGCAATCCTTTTGGCGGTTCATTTGTCATTTTTATTCCATTTTGTAATATTGAAACGGGAAAATGTTCAGCTGGATAGCTCGTTAGCCATAGACGAAAATCAGGATGAATTGTGTCCGGTAAAAGACCCTCGCAAATTTTTTCCAATGTTCCCATCCAACTTTTAGCGAGATGACAATTTTGAAGTACCACCCAATGTCCATATTTCACACCGTCGTTTATTAATTGAACTGCAATTGGACCTTGTCCTAAAAATTTATTTTTAATTAAGGTAAATTAATTTACAATTTATTTGATTCACTAATTTTTTTCACTCTCGATTTTTATCTAAAATTCTAAAATTTGCAGAATTAAAATTAAATATTTGATTCAATTTTTAATATTAATAGTATTTAATATTCAATATTCAATTTTGATTCAATTACAAATTTTTTCTTTAAATTAATTAAAAACATTTTATAAAAAATTGAAATTAAAAATTAAAATTTGCTATAAATATTTGAAAGTAATGAGTGAAAATAGTGTCACCTTGTCCCAAGGAGAGTGAGAACAATCTACTTCCTCCAAAACCTTGATCGTCAGCGAATTTAAGAAGCACTTGCGCTGGATCCGCTCCAGGAGTCAAGACAAATATCAATGGAATGCAACAGTTGGAATCTGCATAAGAAGCTGTCAAATCAAACGGAGGTGGATCGACAAATTGTGTTCCCATTTGAGCTGAAAAATTTATAAATTAACATTTTTAGAAATACTATTTCACAATTTAATTTTTTTTTCCTACTATTTCTTTCTATTTATTATTTTATTGAATACTATTATTCTCTATTTTCTATATTCAAAATTCAAAAAATTCACTAACTAAGTACATAGCTAATAATTATTAAATATTGCTCATTATTTTCCAAAATTTTAATAAAATTCTTCGCAAGAATTCAATTATTTAAAAAAAATTTTAATAACATTTTTCGAAGGACTTTAATTATTTTTCAAACTTTTAATGCAATTCTTGGAAACAAATCAATTATTTTTATAAATTGTAAAATTCTTCGCAAGAATTAAATTATTTTTATAAATAATAAAATTTTTCTCAGGAATTCAATTATTTGCAAATACAATTTTAATAAATTTTCTCGAACGTAGTCAAAAGTTCGAGTTTATAAAAAATGATGATAAAATTGTTTAAAAGGAGTTAATTATTATAAAAATGTCTTCATAAAATTCAATTACTTCCAAAATTTTCAATTAAAATTATTAAAAACACTCCATTGTTTTCAAAAAATTGAAATAAATTTTTCAAACCAATTTAATTCTTTTCATAAGTAATAAAATTCTTCCGAGAAATTCAATTATTTTCAATACAATTTCAATAAAACTTTTTGATAAAATTCAATTTTTTTTTAAAATAATAAAATTCTTCTTAGGAATTCAATTATTTGTAACATAATTTTAATAAATTTCCTCGAAAGTGGTGAATTATTTTTAACAATTGTAATAAAATTTTTCTAAAAAATTCAATTATTCTTAAAAGTTTTGCTACAATTTCAATACAATTTCAATAAAATTTCTTGATAAAATTCAATTATTTTTAAAAAATTTAATAAAATTCCTTGAAAGAATTCAATTATTTTCAGTACAATTTATAAAAATTTCTCGAAGCAATTAAATTATTTTAGATTATTTTAATATAATTCTATGAAAGAATTCAATTATTTCTATACATTTTCATTCAATATTTCTGTAAAGAATTATATTCATTTTCAGAATAAGAAATTCTTCGCAAAAATTCAATTATTTTCAATATAATTCGGTACAATAAAATTTATCCAAACAATTATTCCATTACTTTCAAAAATAATAAAATTCTTCTTAGAAATTCAATTGTTTGTAAAACAATTTTAATAAATTTTCTCGAACTTGGTCAATTATTTTTAAAAATTGTAATAAAAATTTTTCTAAAAAATTCAATTATTCTCAGAATTTTTGATAAAATTCTCTGTAAATTTCAATTATTTTCAAAATTTTCAACAATTAAAATGTAGTAAAATTAAATAAAACAATAATGTAGTAAAAACTACATTATTTTCAAGAAATTTAAAGAAATACTTCAAAAAATTCAATTACTTTCAAATTTTTTGTTAATTATACTTCGCAAAATTATTTAAAAAGTTAAATGACAAAAATTTACCAAATGGAAATAAAAAATTTTGCAAATAGTCAAATTTCTTAAAATTTTTATCGTCTTTAAAGTAAAGTTGTAAAGTAGTAAAGTTATAAATTAAATTTTCATGTGATAAAAAAAAATTCTTTCAATCTAATGAAAAGTGAAAATAAAAAATTGAGAGAAATTTGAACAAACCTTCTACGAAGTCTTGAACTGCGGGGATAACTTTATCAGGTCGAATGCATCTCAGAATTAAGAGCTTTTGAAATTTCGTTACATTATTGAATGGCTCTGGAATTATCGACACTTGAGGTTCTTTTGCGTCAAAAAATGCCTTCCATTCGTCTCTATTTTTTATGAATTTCTCCCTGATATTCTGTACACAAAATAAAATATAAACATTTTTACTAGTTTTTTTTATTTTAATTTATACTTTTTTGGTTAAATAAAAAATTTGTTTTTTAAAGTAATTTTTTAAGTAATTTTTTAGTTGTTTCTGAGTAGTTTTTTTAGTAGTTTTCTAGTAATTTTTTAGTAGTTTTTGAGCTGTTTTTCAGTATTTTTTAAAAATTCGTCGGCTTAAAAGAAAAATTGCTGTTTAGAAAAAATATTAAATTTAACTATTCAATTTAAAAAAAAGTGTATTAATTTGTTTTAAATTTATTAAGAATTTAAAAATACAAACTTGAAATCCTTCGACTTGATCGAGTCTACAGAGTTCATTCCACAATTTAACTGGAAGCCAGTCGGTTGGATTTTCATGAGGATTTTCAAGACCAACGCCTCCGGTTAATAGGAACATCCACTGAGATTTTAAAATTGCCCCTTGATTGTTTAACAAATTGACGGCGAGCAAAAGTGAAAAGAGTAGTTTGTCTTTCTCAAATAGAGACCTGCAGATATTTACGTAGAGGGAATAAGTGAAATACTTGGTTAAATCATTTAATCGCAATTCCACGTTCTCCTGGGGCTCCGTATTGTCAATTGACATTTTAAAGAGATTCACGAACCACGTCAACGAATATTGATACATAGGATCAATATTTGCCAAAATTTCTGTAAACAAAATTTGAATTTATTAGAATATTTTTACTTTTCAACAATTTTATATTCTTTTTTTTTTTAATAAACATTTTTTTCAATTTAAAAATTTTAAATATTTGATTTTATAGTATAAAAATAAAATAAAAAAAAATTCTTTTATTTAGTAAAAGAAAGTCAAAATTTTTGAAAAAGAGAAAATACGTTCTTTATATTAATTTGAACATTATTGACAATTTTTTCTTGTTTTTCTCTTTTTTTTATTGTTAAATTATTTTACGGTTGAATTATTTTTAGATAAAACTGAAATTAATAAAAATAAAAATATTGGATGCATCTCGCATTACCGGTGGTAAAAAAGAGAACAGTTGAATGCACTGCTATCGGTTTATACTGCAATCTAGTGGCATCGATCGACTTCTCAGTAACTTCGGCAGTAGCTTGTTTGACTTGGATTTCGTTGCTCAATACTTTCGAGGAAGTCAAAACATTAATCGCTTCCTCATCTTCCAGAATATTTCCCTCAGCCACTGACAGAACTTCCAATATTTTGTCCTCCGTTTCCTTCAAAAGTCTACAACAAAATTTTTTTCCATTCACTAATAATTTTGAAAAAACGTAAAATATATTTTTCTACTTGAAATTTTTTGCAAAAATTACTATAAATTAATTATTTTATTCAATAATTAACTATTAATCGAATTTATCACTCAGCGGTACTTTAATTAATTTAATTAATAATTTGAAAAAAATAAAAATTTAAAATGGTTAAATTCTCCATTGTTATAAATTGAGAAAAGAAAAATTAGCATATTTTTGCAATATTTAAATTTGAGAAATAAAATTGTATCATAGGTATTTATAAAAATAAAGGAAATACTTTTTATTCGCAGCGCCTTGAATGATAAGGGTATTTTTTTCAGATTCTAGGTCAGGTCTTTCTTTCGCCACAACAATTCCAAGTAGTTGATCCTCTAATCCATCTGGAGTTATAACAAAATTTAGGAGTGTTACTTTCACCGCAATTTCCGGCAGGTAATGCGGATTACCCATTTTCGTCGTGATATATAGTCTAAAAAAAAGATGGAAAAATTAATTTTCAAACAAAAATTTCACAAATTATTTTCAATACATTGATAATCAATTAGAAATTAGAAATTAGAAATTTGAAATTATAAATCAAGGTAAATTTAATTTAAATGTAAAAATAAAAAGTAATAAAAATGTTACAAAAAATAAAATTTCTGTTTAATTAATATATTGTGTTTAGTTTTTTGGTAAAGAATTTTTGGGCAAAGAAAATTTTTTAGTTACCTAAAATCAATATTATACTCGACGACAGATTCTCCAAGTTTAATACAAACGGCTCCTCCTTGTTTGAAAGTCAATTTTAACAATACTGGCTCTAACATTGCATCCAATTCGTCTCCAATATTTTCCAATAAAATTGGTTGACCAAATTGAATGGCATTCTCGAGAATTCGCGGATAATCGGCCTGTGACAATCGAATGATACTCATATTATTTTGCTTCTCCATATTTTTAATCCATTTATTTGCCTGGCCCTGGGGATCAATCATTAGTGGCCATCGTCTTGAATTTCTGTAAATTGTTCAATATTAAAATTAAAATAAAATTCAATTATTTCTATAAATAGTAAAATTCTTTGCTAAAATTCAATTATTTTTAATAAAATTTTACAAAAGAATTCAATTATTTTCTAAAATTTTAATAAATTCTTCTAAATTCAATTATTTTCTAAAATTTTAATAAATCCTTCTAAACAATTCAATAATTTTTTTAAATAGTAAAATCTTTGCAAAAATTTAATTATTTTCAATAAAATTTCAAAAAAGAATTCAATTTTTTTTTAATTCGTTATAAAAATTTTCAAAAGAATTTAATTATTTTCTAAAATTTTAATAAATCTTTCGAAACAATTCAATTATTTTCTAAAATCTTAATAAATCCTTCGAAACAATTCAATTATTTTTTGTAAATAGTAAAATTCTTCTCAAGAATTCAATTATTTTTAGAAATAGTACAATTCTTTGCAGGAATTAAATTATTTTTAATCGAATTTAAATAAAATTACACTAAAGAATAATTTAATTATTTTCAAAAATTTCCATAAAATTCAACTTCAACAAAAATTTAAAATTCTTTAAAAATAATTCAATTATTCTTAAAATATTTTTTAAAAATTCTATATAAAAATTAAATTACTTTCAATGCAATTTTTAAATATATTCGTCCGAAAAATTGAAAGAATTCAATTATTTTAATAAATAAAAAAATTCTTCGAAGGAATTAAATTATTCTCCTCAAATTTTTTTACAAGTTTCTTTGCAAGAATTCAATGATTTTCAATACATTGATTTTAAAATTGAAAATTTTCAAAAAGAAAATTTCTTTAAATTTAGGAAACTAAGAAGCAAACAAAAATTAACTTTAAATTGCTATTAGATTACCAGAATACAACGATTATTAATGTGGAATTTTTCTTTCGAAAAAAAGAATAGAAAAACATTTAAACTTGATATTTTGATTTAATTACTTGACAATAATGCCGTTGTCGATGGAAAATGTATCCGACGGTAGACCGGCAATATTCCAGGATCTAATCAATACTTGATCGCCTAATATGTCACGTAACTGAAAATCTCGTGAGCAAATAACGTTCAAACTGCTACAAAGGTGAACCCAATTTTCAATTTGTTGAATTCTGAAGGGCATTGTGAATGGTCCTAAATAGGCGACAATTCCCGAGGCAATGATCACGTCTCCCGTTAATCGATGATACCTATAAACAAAAATTTTTTCTTTTTTTATTCTCTTCTTTCTTTTTTGTTCATTTACAAAATTAAATTTTATCTATTTTTTTGGTAATTATTTTAATTTCTTAAAACTTATTTTAATAAATACTTTCAATTTTAAAGTAAGAAGATCGGAATTGAAAAGAATTATATAAAATCTTTAATTAAAATACCTCTCTCCTAATATTTTAGCAGAATCAGACCATCTGATGTATTCTCCTCCTAAACCACCGATTAGTTCCTCAGCTCGTTTTAGTTTTAGCTCACAATCGCTAACTTTATCCATCATTCCTTGATAATCCGCTTTCTTTGCTGACAACTTTTCTTCCAAGGCTCCAAGTTTCTCCTATTTGGTAAAAAAAATTTACATTTTTCATAATTTACTCAAAAAATTTCAATTTGAGCATATTTTTAATTTTACCAGAAGTTTTCTTCAAGTACTATTATTACTATTATTATTATATTTTTTATATCTATTATATTGTTTATATTTATTATATTTATTAATATTGTAAATAAATAAATAATAATAATGAAAAAGAAAAACTATTGTTATTTAATTTGATTCGATTCTGCAATTAAAGTTTGGAGTATTTGTCAATGATACCTGAATTAATCGTAACTGTGTTCTTTTAATATTTAATTTTTCAATGGCATCGTTATAAACAGCTTCAGCTTCGGCCAGTGCTTTTTTCTTTGGTGCAACGACTTTGGCAACTTTGTCGTATTCCGAAATTGCATAAACCCACTTGCACAAACCTTCGCAAGCAGTTGAGGCTGTTTTTATTTTATCCGAATCAAAATTAATATTCGTTAAATAGTGCTTGCGAATTTTATCCATTACACTCTCGGGAATATTGTCCTTGTCATAGTTTATCAACGAGTCCAAAAATTTCACATCACTGAGAACTTTTAATGACACCTTCCAATAATCATCGCCCATTCTTCCGTCTGGCTGCTGTATCCTTTCCGGTTTCATTTCCTAAAACAATAAAAAGTGTTGTCTACATATTTTATTTGTTGCTGGGATGCTGATTATTTTTTTTTAATTTATTGCCAGCAGAGCCAGCAGAATTTGGCCAAACAAAAGAATTAAAAATTATTATAAAGAACAATTTGTGAAAATAAATTTAGATTTAATTTTTTTTCTGTTATTACCTTAAGGATACAGACACTTTCCATGACTAATTTCACTCCGGCTGGTGGACTTTTCATAGCTTTTACAACAGCAATGTCGGTTACAGTTAGAGTGTTGAGGGCGGCTTGTGCTTTTTGTAAAATAGGCAGAGCTTCCGATAAATTTGCGTCACATTCCGCTTTTATTTCTGCTGCTCTTCCAGCAACTTCCTGTTTTTAAATTAATAATATTAGAATTATTAATTAAACGTTTTTCCTTTCATTTTCATTTTTCTTAATTATTTCGTTTTTATTTAAAACCTGAAAAAAAATACCCGGAGAGTAAATTTACTTACCATAGCTGCTTCTTCGTCGACTTTAACAATTTTTTCAATTTCTGCCACTTCAGAACTTTCCTTCTCAACGGTTGCTAAAATTTTTTGAACATCCTGCGCAGCTGTTACTAAAAGTGGTTGAAGTTGTTTCAACGTTTCCTGCATTTCATGAACCTCTTGTTGAGTCGTATCTAATCTTCCAAGACCTCCTTCGTATCTTGCTTTCGCCAAAAGAATTTCACTTGAAAAGATAAAAAGAGAGAAAGAAAATTATTTTCATAATAAAATAAAGTAAACAAATTTATTTAGCAAATTAATTCAATAAATTAATTTGATAAATTAATTTAACAAATAAATTTGTTTTATTATATTCAGGTAATAATGACAATTTTATAATTAATTATAATTAATAATTATAATTTCAGAATTAAGTAAATAAATATTTAAATAATAATTAATAAAATTTATTTCAAGTTACCTTCTCTTCTTATTTAGTAAGTCTTTAAAGGTATTAATCATTTCTAAATATGAAGTTGGTGTGACGTAAGTTTGCCGTCCAAGGCGTACGAAAAATTCCCGACTCAAATTTTGCGTGGAAATGTGGAAAAATTGACACATATCGATTCCAGCTTTTCTCTCGTGTTCCGTTAGTTCCACTTCGCCGAGGAATCGTGTTGCCACCGCCAATAGAGCATCTTCAGGCCATGGCTAATATGAAAAAGAATTTTCGGTATAAACAAAAAATTTTAAAAAGTCAGCAATGAAATAAAAGAGAAAAATAAATGAAAATTATAAAAAAAATTTGTAAAAAAAATAGAAAATAGATAAAAAGAAAGTCAATTTCAGGAAAAAAGAAGTGAATAGTAAAATAGTAAATAGAGAATTATTGAAATTTTTCGATATTTCATTTGAAAATCTCACTTGTAGCCAATCGATGGTGCAACAATTGACGAGTGCAGGGAATTTTCTGATTCTATTTCGAAAACCATCTCCAATTGCTGACATCGCTACCACAATGTGTAACTGTTCGCGAGCCAATTGAACAAACAAATTAAAAAGTGCCACTGGACTTCCATCGGTTTGCATTGTTCTTTCCCTTTGACGATCCACTTGACGCATTTTTTCACAAATCTCAGCCTTCTCCTCAGGATTAAACAAATTTGGAACCTGAAATTACATTTTCAGTTTGAAACTAATTTTACAATTTTAAAAAATTAGTGGAAAAAATAATATATAAATTAATATTTTTCATCAATTGTAAAATTTGTTTTAAAAATCTATATTAATAATCTGTTCGCAGTTTTAAGTTAGTTGTTTGCATCTTTAATTCCCTAACTTCTTTAATAATTTTTCTATTTAAATATTTTCAATTTTAAAATTAATGTATTGAAAATCATTGAATTCTTGCAAAGAATATTATCAAAAAATTTGAAAATAATTGAATTCCTTTCAAAGAATTAATTGATGAAAATAATAATTGAATTTTCGCGAAGAATTTTATTAATATTTCTAGAAAGTAATTAAATTCTTCTCAGAATTTTATTACAATTCTTGAAAATAATTTAATTCATTCAAGGACTTTTATTAAAATATAGAAAATAATTAATTTCTTTGAATTTGTTTAAATTAATGAAATTCTTTTGATGAATTTCTTTAAGTTTTTAGAAAATAATGTAGTTTTTTTAAATAATTTCAATTGAAAATTTTGAAAATAATTGGTTTAAATTTAATTCTAGCTAAGAATGTTACTATTTATAAAATTAATTGCATTGTTTCAAAAAATTTATTAAACTTTCGAAAAATTTTTCGATAAATTTTATTACAAATTTAAATAATAATTGAATCCTTTCATGAAATTTTATTAAAATTGTATTGAAAATACTTGACCTTCTGCAAAAAATTTTACTATTTATAAAAATAATTGAATTGTTTCCAAGGATCTATTAACATTTTAGAAAATAATTGAATTCTTTCGTGAAATTTTATTGACAATAATTAAATTTTTGCAAATATTTTACTATTTAAAAAACTAATTGAATTGTTTCGAAGCATGTATCGAAAAAAATTTAGAAAAAAAATTAAAATTTTAGAAAATAATTGAATTCTTTCGTGAAATTTGATTAAAATTTTGTTGAAAATAATTGAATTCTTGAAAAATAATTTACTGATTTATAAAAATAATTGAATTCTTCCAAAAAATGTGATTATTTGTGAAAATAATTGAATTTTCGCGAAGAATTATATTTGTTTTTGTTTAAATACCTCGCCAGAATTGAGCATATTATTAATATCCTCCAAAAAGCTTTCCTCCTTAATTTGCGAATCAGTGAAGAGAAAAGTTGAATGGATATCGGAATTTGTTGTTTTTCGATAAATTAATTTAATATCCTCGTGCCACTCGTGCATTCCATAATGTTTACTGATTTCAACTTGAAAAACATCGTAGTCGCAAATATGTGACGCCAGTCTCGTTAATGATTGCCTTCCTGAACCACCGACACCAACTAAAAGAGCATGACTCCTCGGTTGCTTTATAATTCGTGAAATTCTCGACAAATGTTCGATGGCAAATCTACAACAAAATTTATTATCAATAAAAATAATTCCATTAAAATTCTCATTCGTATTAATTTTTGCTAATTTTCTTTATTCCAAATTTATTATATTTTAAATTTTTCTTTATGTTTAGCAAAATTTATTCTATTTATTTTTTACTCAAATTTATTATTTATTGATTTGTCATTCTATTATTAAAATTTATTTTTATTTTTTAGATTTATTATATTGATTTTTCATTCTATTATTGTATTTTTATTTTTCATTTCACTTCACCTAAACAGTACCAAGTTCATTGGCTTTTTTGTCATCGAGTTGTATTCGATTAGATATGTTTCCACAATACCACGTAGGGCTTCCAAATCCACGACTTCTTGATATAATCGAACATCCGCTTTTGGATCAGTGAAATCACAAAATACAAGTCTTCTTAATTCGTCGTCACCGACCTGGTAAACATTTAAATAAAATAAATTTAAAACATGGAAATAAAATTTTAATTTAATAATAAAATAAATCTAAAAATGAAATTCAAAATTTAAAATACAATTCAAATTGTTTTAATATAAAATTCATCGCCCGTTTGTAAAGTTAAATAAATTAAGAAATAATTTCATTTCATTGAAAATTTAAACAATTGAAAGAAAAAGAAATTGAAAGAACAATTTAGAAAAAATTCTAAAAAAAATGAAATTTTACAAATTAAAAGAAAATTTGAGTCTGAAATAAAATAGAAAATTAAAATAAAATTTAAATTTAAAAGTTAAAATTAAATTCAAATTTATTCTAAATGTAAAAAATTTAAAGAAGAATTTTAATTTTCAACTTTTTAAATAGATTGATAAATTTTTCAATTACCATTTTCTTATTTTCTAGTAAGAGATCTTCGAACATAATATTCATATCCGTTTCCATTTGTTCTTTAACAGTAATGTGTAATTGTTTCACGAGCCAATTTAAATCAGATTGATCGACAAGACGATCGCCAAAAACTCGAAGAACCTCGTGGACCCAAAGTCTCTTCATGTTCACCAATGAAGGCATTGTTTCAGGAACTGACAATAGTACACCCTTGAAAAAGTAATTAAATTAAAAAAAAAATAAATAGAAAGAAAATTTATATAATACAAAATTTTGTTCAATTTCATTTGTGTATTGTTTTCTTTTAAAAAAAGTTTTAAAAAATGCTTTAAAACCAATTTTTTTATTACCTGTATCACTCTTGAAAAATCTCGGAGATTAAAAATATAGTGTGATTTTCCTGGTGTTGGTAATAGATTTTTTAAACTCTGCTTATAAATGTCCAGTGTTGCAAGAACAATTTGATCAATGCACGGATCGAATTCTTTACTAAATCCTCTGTAAATTAAATGAGAAAATAAAATTAATGTTTAATAAAAACTTTAAAAATTTCTAAAATTTATGCTTTTCTCAATAAATATAAATATAAATATAATATAAATTTTAAAAAAGCAGCAATTATTATTTAAATTTAATTTAGTGTTTTTCCAAATTTCCAAATTCTACATTTGTCTTTTTAGTTTTTCAATTTCAAAAATTAATTTCAATTTTGGAATAATTTCAGATTCAAGATTTAAAAAATTCACTTGTTAACAAATTAATTACTTATTTATAATTTTCAAAAAAGTTAATTCAATTTTTGGCATGAATTCAATTATTTTCAAAACAATTTAAATAATATTTCTGAAAAAAATTAATTTATCCATTTTTTAAAATTTTAATAAAATTCTTTGCAAAAATTCAATTATTTTGAAAACATTTGATTATATTCTTCACCAGAGTTGAAATATTTCAGTACAATTTTAAATAAATTCCTCGAAAATATTCAATTATTTTCAAAATTTATTAAATTTTTCCCAAGAATTTAATGATTTTAAAGAATTTTAATAACATTCTTTGAAGAAATTCGATTAGTTTGCAAAATTTTGAAAAAAAAATGTTTATGAGAATTGAATTCTTTTTCTAAATAATAAAATTTTTCGCAAAAATTCAATTATTTTCGTAATTTAAAAAATTTCTCAAAGAAATTTAATTGTTTTAAAGATTTTTAATAAAATTCTTCCCAAAAATTTTATTATTTTGAAAGAATTCAATAATATTCTTTATAAAAAAAAATTTAATGACATTCACTAAAAAAATTTTAATTATTTCCTAAATAATAAAAATCTTCACAGAAATTCAATTATTTTGTAAAATTTATCGGTTAAACTCTTTATGAGAATTAAAGTCTTTTTATAAAAAATAATAAAATTCTTCGAAGAAATTCAATTATTTTCATAATTTATAAAATTTCTCGCTGAAATTCAATTATTTTAAAGAATTTTAATACAATTCTTCGCAGCAATTTTATTATTTTGAAAAATTTCTAGAAAATTCGTTATAAAAAAATTTAATTTAATGCGTTGAAAAAATTAAATTCTATGTAATAAAATTTTTCGCAAAAATTCAATTATTTTGCAAAATTTTGGTAAAATTCTTTATAAGAATTCATTTATTTTTAATAGAATTTTAATAAAATTCTTACCAAGATTTCAATTATTTTCCTAATCAATAACATTTCTCGAAAGAATTCAATTATTCAATAAAATTGTAATAAAATTTCTCGAAAGAATTCAATTATTTAGAAAATTGTTAATTATCACATTCTTCACAGAAATTCAATTAGTTTCAAAAATTTTTATAATTTTTTATAAGAATTAAAATTTTTTTTAATATTATTTTAATTAACAGTCCCGTAAGAATTGACTTTTTTTTAATTAAAGATTTTAGTTGAATTTTTCTCAAGAAATTTAAAATTATTTTAAAAAATTTGAATAAATTTCTTTATAAGAATTCAATTTTATTTCAGATTAAAAATTATAAAATGTAAAAGAGAAAAATATATTTTGAACTGAAAATAGATTATTTATGATAAAATTAAATAATACCTAGTGTCCAAGTGCCACAGAACAATTTTACTAAAAATTGTGATCATGACGTCATCCTCGAATTCGGAAATTGTCAAAACAAAAAAATGTCTTTTAAATCTTGGTGTTACGTCCTTTCCTCCTCCAACTGGTGGACCCATGGCGCACATTAATTGAATTTCTATCAAATTCAAAGGAGTTATCTCCTTTCGATCGTACCTGTTTTTAAAAAAAAGTTCAAATTTCTTTACTCTATTATTATAAAAAATTTTCAATTTATTTATTTATTTCAATCGGATTTAATTTATTTTCAATTTATTAATTATTCATTCAATTTATGTAATTTTTGCCTAATTATTCATTTATTTTAATTCTCAATTCATTTCTAATTTATTTAATTTTCTACACGGAAAAAAAATATTTCCCTGGAACAGTGATAAGTTTCTCTAGACTAGCGAAAGTATTAATTGAAACAACTAAAAATTTCGCTAATATAAAGAAATTTATAGCTATTCCAGATGACAAATTTTTTCCGTGTGTTATTTTTTATCAAAGATTCAAATAATTTTGTTTAATATTAAAGAACATAAATTGTTGATACCATAGCCAATGATCGAGCCACTGTCGTAGAAGTTCAATTGGCGGTTGTGCGCCATAAATTTCTTTCATTGGCATTGATACATCGTCGACAAAAACAATCCAACGTTTACCAATTGGTGGACCGTAAACACCTTTTCTTCTTCTATCGAGTTTTGTCATAATAATATCCTGTGTTTGATTTGCCGTTGTTTGCGCTGAGAAATTAATAATCAATGGCTTATAAATTTTCGTATCATTTTTCTTCAATAGAAAATCAATAATATAGACAGATTTCCCAGTTCCAGTTGAGCCAACAAATAATACGGGCTTTTCATGTTGAACCAATAATTGAAAAAGTGCCGTATATCTAACAGTTTCAACTGTAGGCACAATTATTTGATTCACTGGAATATCTCTTGCTATCGGCGGTGTATTTATCAATTCATCGGACCATAATTTCCATTTCCCTTTACCCTGTAAAGATCAATTAGAAATACGGAATTTTAAGAACAATTTGAACGATTTCCAAAATTTAGAAAAAATTAATTTCAAGTCTTTCAAAAAATTTGTATTTATTCCAAAAATTGTAAATAATTTCATCGATTTCCAAACATTTGAAAAAGTAAATTCGAAGTCTTTGAAAAAATTTGTATTCATTCCAAAAATTGTAAATAATTTTTTCTCTCTAAATACATACTTCTCGGATGAATTTATAGTCGAAGACAAGACCATCTTTTGGCATAATAAAAATATAGGGTTTATTAGGCGGAGGTACTGATTCAGTCAATTGAAATTGTCGCATTAGAGAATCTGGAAATTGCTTCTCTAGAAGTCCTCGAAACAAAATACTGAATGTCTCTCTGTGTTGTGCTTTCAATGTTCCGCCCATTGCCCAAATACACGAGAAAAAGAAAGATCCCTGTGAAAAAGAATAATTTTGTTTTCAAAATTAATAATATAATCGTATTTTTATTTTTTCAAATAGAAAAATAATTTCAACCAACTTCGACTTGAGCACGTAAATCTAGTTCACTGATGCTCTTTGCGAATTTTTCATCATCATAGTCGTCAAAGAAACAGTCCATCAAATACGTTATTGATCGGAGTAAATTTGAATCTGGCATTGGACACATTTCCTAAAAAGAGAAATATTTTGAAAAATATTTGAAAAATATATTGAAAAAGTATTTTAAAAACTTATTTAAAAATATATTTAAAAATATATTTAAAAATATTTTTTTGATAAAATATTTAAAAACTATTTTTAAAAATTATTTTTTCGATAAAATATTTAAAAACTATTTTTTTTAAATTATTTCATCGATAAACTATTTTCTATATGGAATTTAGAAAATTTTTGATTTTCAAAGAAATTATTTTACCTCGACTGCACCATGACGAAGTAAAAAGAACAATGGTTTACAAAATCTGATAAATAGCGATTCAAAGAGGAAATTTTTCAAAAAAGAACTGAAAATTTTTGGTGTGGTTTCAATCCACGATTTTAATAGTGGCTCCCATCCTAAAGCCGATGGTTCCATATAAATCATGCCTTTAAAAAAGAAATTATTTTTCAAATATTAAATTTTAATGAGAATAAAAATAATATACAATTTAATAAAATTCTTCCTTAGAATTCAATTATTATCGCATAAATAATAACATTCTTTGAAAGAATTGAATTATTTTTATAAATAGTATAATTTTTTACAAAAATTTAATTATTTTCAAAAGAATTTTAATAAAAATTCAATTATATTTTCTGAAATTTTAATATATCCTTCGAAACAATTTAATTATTTTTATAAATAGTACAATTTTTTGCAAAAATTCAATTATTCTCAATAAAATTTCACGATAGAATTCAATTTTTTCTTAATTCGTTATAAAATTTTTTAAAAGAATTCAATTATTTTCTAAAATTTTAATAAATCCTTTGAAACAATTGAATTATTTTTAATACACTTTTAATAAAATTTAATGAATGAATTCAGTTTCTTTTAATTTTTAATACAAATATTTTTCAAGAAAATTCAAAAATAAATTTGTTTTTATAAATAATAAAATTCTTATCAGGAATTCAATTATTTTCAGTAGAATTTTAATAAAATTTAATATACTCAAATTTTTAATTATAAATATAAATTGAGACGATTATTTTAAAAAGTAGAAAAAAATTGTTTGTTTAATTCAATTATTTTCAAATTTTTCAATTAAAGTTATTTAAAAAAGTACATCATTTTCAAAAAATTTAAAGAAATTTTTCAAAAGAATTTAAATTAGAATTTGGATTATAATAATTTTTTATAGAATTCTTCGCAAAAATTCAATTATTTTTACAAATAATAAAATTCTTGAAATTCAAATATTTTCAATATTTTCACATTTTTAAAGAATTGTATTAAAATTTTTGAGAATAATTGAATGTTTCAAAGAATTTTGATCAAAATTTTAGAAAATAATTGAAATCTTTCGAAAAATTTTATTACAAATTAAAAAAAATAATTGAATTCTTTCGTAGAATTTTATTAAAATTGTTTTGAAAATAATTTAATTCTTGAAAATAATAATCAAGAATAATACGAATTATATACTTAAAAAGTGAATTTTTTAACTTTCGAATATGAAATTATTCAAAAATTCAACGTTTATATAATTGAAAATATAAAATTCTGTTTTATTTATTATTTATTATTAATTTATATTCATGTTAATTTATGTTAATAAATAATAATAAAATAGCATATAAAAAAGTACAAAAAAGGGCCTAAGGATATTTTCGTTGCATATTTTATATACTTACCAACTAGTCTCGAACTTTTACATTTCCTTTTCAAGGATATAATAATTTTGATATAATGATTCTTCTAACCTTGAAAAGGAGCAGAAAAAGTTCTAAACCAGTTGTTATATAAAATATAAAACCAAAATAACCGTATTTTGATCTTTTTATTATAAAATAATCAAACATCTCTTTTCAACGAAAAAGAAATATTTTTAATTATTATTAGGTTATACTATTACTAATTATTGATATTCGAAACTATTTAAAATTATTGTTAAATAAAAAAACCTAGTTTTTATATTTAAAAAACAGTTGGAAAATATTGCTCACCACAACGTGATACAGTGGCCGGTGAAGCGACCTCAAGATCCATTGGTTCGAAAATTAAATTTGTCGTCGGTGCCAATTGAATAATTTCGCCGCTCATTAGGCATAATTTTTTATTATCATCCAAAACAGTGTTCATATTCTCAATCCAAACGGCATCAATTGGTCCATCGAAAATTAACCATTTTCTATTTTCATTTGTGGAAATTGCAAAAGTTCGATAACTAACGGCAAGAACACCATCGCTCCATTCATGAGAAACAGGATCAAATTCTCCGTATAATTGGCCCATTGTTATTGATTTTGGATTGATTATCGTCATCTCGACTTTATGCTCGTTTATTAAATTCTACAGGAAAATAAATTATTTTTTATTATGAAAACATTTTTCATTTAAATTTTGCAAAATTTACTTTTCGTTTGAAATTCATTTTTAATTAAAAAAAAAATTCTTTTCTACATTTTTTTAAATTAAATTCTATATGAAAACAAGTATTTTTTAATTAACTATAACAATATTGTCAATTAAATACTAATTTTTCAAAATTTACTTTAAATTTGAAATTTAATTTTAAAAAATTATTTTTTTTCTCTTTTTTGAATGCACTATTTGGTTGAATGTCATTAAAATGTTTAAAGTGTAAATTAAAAATGTTATTCTAATTGTAAATTAAAAAAATTGAAATTGAATTGCAAATGTAAAAAAATTTTAAATTAATTGTAAGTTAGAAAACTTAAATTTAAATTGCTTAAATATTTAAGTTGAAGTTTCATTTTCTCAAGTTTTGTATTTAGTTACACTCACGCGTTCCTCGCATAGAGCCAAAGCATCTGCCAATATTTTATAAGCCGTTGTTTTTCCCCCGAATGGTAATCCAACAATCATAAATCCGTGACGAACGATCATCATTTCATAAATCTGTTGAATTTTTTCCAAAAAAGCTGGAGTACATTGAATATTTGCAGTGACGCAAGCCTCGTGAATGCAAGCATTTAAATCCGTATAATCAGGATCGGGAAGTTGAACATTTGGAAAAAGATCTGACGCAATACCCTGAGGAAAAATGTGCAAAACAATTTTTAAAAAACGAATTAAAAATTCGAATTAACAAAATTTTATTAATTTTACAAACAAAGAATTTTTTTTCAAACTTTTAAAACAATCGTGTCTGTTAATAATTATAATTAAAAATTTGATTATTTAATTTTATTAAAATTATATTGAAAATAATTGAATTCCTGAGAAGAATTTTTTTTTAAATAAAAATAATTTCATTCTTGAGAAAAACTTTTACTATTTATAAAATTAATTGCATTGTTTCAAAGAATTTGAAGTTTCAAATTTCAATTTTTTTTTTCAATTTTTTTTTTAAATTTTGTTAAGGAATTTAATTTAAATTTTATTAAAAATAATTGTATTCTTTAGAAAAATTTTCAGATAGTTTTTGAAATTAATTCAATTCTTTGGACAAATTTTATTAAAATTTTAGAAAATATTTGAATTTTTTTGCGGCATTTGAATTAAAATTGTATTGAAAATATTTCAATGTTCATGAAAAGTTTAATAAAAATTTTTCAAAATAATTGAATAACTGTGAAGAATTTTATTAAAATTCTTTAAAATAATTAAATTCTTAGTACAAACTTTATAAATTTGAGGAATTCGAGAAATTTAATTGAAATTGTACTAAAATATTTCAACTCTGATAAAGAATTTAATCAAATATTTTCAAAATAATTGAATTTCTTCGAAGAATTTTATTAAAATTCTTTAAAATAATTAAATTCCTGCTAATAATTTTATAAATTTTAAACAGTAATTGAATTTTTCTGCGTGATTTAATTAAAATTGTTTTAAAAATATTTCATTTCTCATAAAGAATTTAATTAAAAAATTTTAAAAATAGATAAATAAATTCTTTTCAGAAATATTTTTTTATTTGTTTTAAAAATAATTGATTTCATGCGAAAACTTTGATTAAAATTTTTGAAAATAAGAAACATAAAAAATAATTAATTTGTTAATTAACTAATTAATGTTTTAAATTTTGAATCTAAAATTATTAAAAAATTGAAATTTATGTTTAAAATTAAAAAATTTGTAATTTTTCATTCATACATTTTTCTAATTCTATTTTAATAATAATAATTATGGAAATTTTCACTTTAGTATCGAATTTTAAATGCCGAATGAATGAAAATTTGAAAATAAAAATAAAATTAAAATTATCGGCTTACGTGAAAAAGTGGAAGATCAGGACTCAAAAATTTCGGTAGATTTACATCCTTAATGCTTCGTAGCATTAAAATAGCTTCATTTTCGTTTGGATATTTTAGTTTCAAATTACCGGCAGCTACAAGAACTGATTTAACAGCTCTCATCCCATAATCGTAGTGATTTTGGGTCGATAACTGCTCTGAGCAAAGCTGATAGGCCATGACAATTTTTACAGATAAGGGTCGTGCATTGTAAAAACCATACGAGTAGAGAGTATTCTCCGCTATCAATCCATAATCAGGCACCTAAAAAAATAATTCATTGTATTTTTTTGCAAAAAATTATAAATATTTTATCAAAACTATTTTTACATAGTTTCAACTTTTTACAAAATATTATAATTCATTTTTTAAATTCTCTGTCAAGAATTTTTAAATTTTTAAGTATTAAATAAAAGAAGAATTAAATTTCCAATGAAAATTTTAATCTATTTTATTCTTAAAATTATTCTTGAAATGAATTGAGAAATATTGTATTTTATAGTGAATTTAAAATGAGTTGAAAAAATATTTACGTGACATATTATCGTAATTAGATATTAAAAATAAAGAAGTTATAATTGTTTAATAATTATTATTTTAGATTACTAAAAATAATGAAAAATAAAATAAATATTTTTTAAACTTTTTCTTAAATATTTAGAATTCTGTAAAAAGTAAATATTTTTAGCATTAAAAATATTACAATTAAATATTTAGAATTTTTCCTTTTAATCGTTAACTAACCATCATCGCCACAGAGCGGAATAAAGCTTTCAAATTGTCAGGAAGTTCCGTTCTGCCAGCGTAACCTGGATTCATTGTTATAAAAACAGCGCACGTTGGATCTAAACCAATTTCAGTTCCTTCGAAAATAAGTGTCGATTTTCCGGCATTAATTGCTCGTTGAATTGTCAAAATTTGTTGAGCAACCACTGACAAAACTTCCAGATCAATTCGATTGAATTCATCGAAACATGACCAAGCTCCAGACGATGCAAGTCCCTGGAAAAAGGTTTATAAACATTTTTATAAAATTTTTAAGAAAAGTGGAAAATAAATTCTTTTTTTAAATTTAATTAAAATGAAATTAAAAATCTAATTTTATTAAATTGAAATTAAAAACCGTTAATAATTAAGAATAAATCAAATAAATAATAAATTTTCTTTTTTTCTTTCTTATTTTTTTTTCGTTTGAAATTTTACTTTAAAGAATTTTCCCAAGGCAATGTAATCCAATCCATCGGAACAATTGAAGACGACACATTGTTTGGCGACGGCTTTAGCTAAATCTTTAGTCGTTTCCGTTTTTCCAGTTCCAGCGGGACCTTCCGGTGCTCCACCGAGATGTAAATTTAAAGCTCCGAATAATGTCCGATAACATCTATCGGTTAGAGGAGTTATCACAAGTCGAGAACTATTTCCAAGATATTCGTAGCCGTATTTTAGAGAAGAATTTATCATCATTGTTAACATATTTTCGTCCTGAAAATAATAAATGTAAAATTTCAAATAAATAACGGACAAAAAATTAAAGAGAAGGAGAAAATTTATTTTTACCATCCAATAGTAACGGAGTTGACAGAGCCATTTAAAATCTGTGCTGATTTTTACGTTTTGCTGGAAAAGACCGACTAACACGTCCCTTGAATGCACGTCAATTGTCACCAAAGCCTCTGTAAAAAATTATAATAAAATAATTAATAAAACAATTGCAGGATTGACAAAAAAAATTTAATTTTGTTTTTTCCTGACTTTTCCCTGATTTCCAGACAAAATATTAACTTTTCCCTGACCCTAAAAAATATTCTGATTCACTCTAAAAATTATTAAATACTCAAAAAAATGTTCTATTACATTTATTTACGAATTTCCTTCATTGTTGACAATTTTTTTTAGATTTTTTTGAAAATAATTGAATTTCTACGAAGAATTTTATTAATTTTTGAAAATAATTAAATTCTTGTGATGATTATTGTTATTTATGGAATTAATTGAATTTTACAATGAATTTTTATAAAATTTCTAAATATAATTGAATATCGGCCAAGAATTTTGCTATTTATAAAGATAATTGAAATGTTGACGAGAAGTTTTCAATCATTTTTGAAAATAATTGAATTTCTGGAAAGAATTCTAATATTTATTAAAATAGTTGAAATATTTTCTAATATTTAAATTAAAAAACAGTTTTTATTGAACATTTTTGATATAACAAAGAATATGTATATCAATAATTTGTCATAGTAATTAATACTCTTTTTGTATTCGTTCTTTAGATATTTCTCGTATTTCTAAAATGTCTAAAATTGCTAAAATTATAAACATAACCTAAAAACTAAATCTTAAATTAAAACCTTCCACTTCTGCAAATCAATTCCCCTCCATCGAAAAAATAGAAAATAATAACTACTACCCTTTTTTGTAATAATAATTAATTGGAAATAGTCAAAAAAGAACAAAAAAATTCTGAAATTTAGTTATAAATACCTAAAGTAGTCCGATTTTGTTTAGACAGTTTTCCCCGAACAAGAAGGATGATTTGATTTAGTTGCTGATTACACACATCTATATAATCTTTTAATCCTTCTGGAGCTTTGGAAAATGCACTCGTTACGTCTGCAGTCCAATAAAGTTGGGAAATACAAAGAATTGTTTGACCAGGCCATTGCAGAACCCATTTGTCTCGTTCTATCTTCAGATAATTTTCTTTTGCCCGTATCACCTAATTTATACGAGTCCAAATGATTTATTATTCAATTATGAATGTTCTTTATTAATTTACTAAATAATGATACTACTAAAACTTGTATTCAATCGGAATTTGTTAACCAACAATATTTATTTACTATAACGGTTTTTTCTTCAATGAAGTTGGTAACAAAAGAAATGGCGGTTAGTAATCGTTTATTTGCAAAAGAATAAAAAAACAGTTTTAATGCAATGTATCTAGTGATTTATTGTTGTTTAATGTGTTTATTTATTTTATTTATCAGTTTTCTTTGTTTTATTTATTATTTAATTAGTTATTTAATGTTTATTTTACTGAATTTTGAATATCGATAGTTGATTATCGATATATTCAGTTTGAATAATCGATACTGAGCGCTGTGTTCGAGTGGGGGGAATGCCGCTCGCTCGCTTATTGGTCGGTGCGTCAGCCAATAGGGGCGCGCTAGTCGGAACGTGCGTAGGTGCTATGCGCGGAGCTCAGTTGGCAGCGGGCAGCCACCGGTGACGGTGGTGCTAGCTAGTTCCCCCGGGTTGAGACCCTCGGGTCTCCTCGGTGGGAGGAGCTGCCAGGGGCCTCTCCCAGAGGAGGAGGGTGACCCCAGGGGGGGCAACCAGGGTGGCCCGTTGGCAAACTGGCCATCACTGGCTGGGGTCCAGGGTGGGGGTCGTTTCAAGAGGTTTCGACCTCTTGAAACGACCCTCACCCTGGACTCCAGCCGATGATGTCTAGGTTGCCAATGTGAAACTGACTCCAAAATGGGGTTTTTCCTCATTTTGGAGTCAGTTCCACATTGGCAACCTAGACAACATCGGCTGGAGTCCAGGGTGAGAACAACTTTAAGGGGTTCGCCCCTTAAAGCTGCTCTCACACTGGACTCCAGACAGTGATGTCTAGATTCCCAATGTGAAGCTAACTCCAAAATGGGGTTTTTCCTCATTGTGGAGTCAGCTCTACATTGGCAACCTAGACAACATCGGCAGGAGTCCAGGGTGAGAGCAACTTTAAGGGGTTCGCCCCTTAAAGCTGCACTCACCCTGGACTCCAGCCAATGTTGTCTAGTTTGCTAATGTAGAGCTGACTTCACAATGGGGTTTCTACTTCATTGGAGAGTCAGCATAAGGGTGATTTCACAGTAGGAAATTGAAGTTTCGGTTAGCGCGTTATAGACAATCGAGTCTCTATTGTTTATAACGTGTTAACTTAACCTCAAAATTTCTATTGTGAATAATTCTTGATAATCGGGAACATTTGGGAACCGGAAGAAAAGATGCATTTGCCACCAATGAAGGGAAGAAATAGAAGGATGAAGAAGACGTCAACAAAAAGAAGGACGTGAAGAAGAGTTGCTCCGCCCCTATCCCCTCCAGGCAACTGCAAGATTCAAAGAATTCTTGAGCTGGTCCAAAGGATGCTGAGAGATGTTAACATTCTAAAGATGTAATTCCTTATTGGTAAATGAATTTTTATTTATTTAAAAAAAAACAATTGTTTATTTGTTATTATTTTAGACAGTTTAGAAAATAAATTTCTAACTTTTAACTATTGTTATTAAAATTATTATATTGTAAAAAAATGTAATTTTTCTTAAAATCTCTTTTTAGATACTAATTTTTAGGAATTTTTTTTCATTATTATTTCAGGGAACTCCAAACAATCAGAGTGATAAGAAGGAGGGCGTGAATGAAAGTGACTCCACCCATTCCCTCTCCAGTCATCTGTAGAATTCAAACATTTCGCTTGAAGGAGTCTTGAAAATAAAAAATTGGATATCAGTGAATAGTGAAGTTTAATTAAATATAAGTGAAACGACATAAGTAAAAAGTGAAAAATATTAAATAAGTGAAACGAAATATAAGTAGAAAGTGAAAAATATTAAATAAGTGAAAGAACATAAAAGTGAAAAGTGAAAAATATTAAATAAGTGAAACGATATATAAGTGAAAATAGTATTTCGATAAAAGTGAAAAGTGAAGTGACAAAAAAAGGATTAAATTTTCCCAGTCTTCAACTCTTGGATCCGGAGGAAACAGTTTCTAAGGATAGGAGAAAGGAACGCAGTTTTTAAAGGATAAAAAGGATTACACAATGGAAAAGTGCGCTGACATCACTTCAAGGAGAATTATCGGTGAGTCCTTTTTATTATTAAATTTATTATTTCAGTCATTCCACGTTTGCGTCACACTTTGTGCCCCCCCTTAAATCCCTCCCATAATAGTTTGAATTTTTTAAAATCGAAATTTAAAAAGACAAAAATTAAGTTTAGGGAAAAATATAGTAAATGATTCATTCATCGTAGAGAATCATTCATTCTGGTGCAAATGAATTTGCATCAATTTTAATTGTTAGTTTTTTGTTTTTTAATAATTGTTTGCTTTCTCGTGGAGGAAACTTCGTCGTCCTTCATACCTATTTAATATAGTTTTCTATGAATTAAAATTGCCTACAGTAATTCAAATTTTTATTTAATAACTTTAAATGACGGTTTGAAATAATTAAAACCACGCGTTATTCAATTAATATTTTCTTAATAAAAGTAAATATAATTTTATGATAATTTTATTTTTTCTTATTAATAATTTTGGCTAGGTAATAATTTTTTATTATTATTAAAATAATTTTAATTTGATTTATAGATACTTTTGTAAATTTTAAATTCTTTCTATACCCCTTTCCCCAGCTAGTTTCATGTTCTTTTGCAGTTTTTTTTCACAATTCATTATAGAGAGCTCCCTCCCCGCCCCTAAAGTGTGACCTGGGATGTGAATGACTCTTTACTTACATGTATTGTTTATTTGTTTACCATATAATTATAATTCAAGTTGAAACTTTGAATTTTTCCCAAATTTATATTTTTACATTCCAATATATTGCTGGAATGTTTACACATTTTTTACGATTCGTATACATTTACTGTTTTGCGAATTAATTTTTTTTTAAAAATGACGTGTTGCATTTTTCAAATTTTTTGACAATTGTTACGTTTATAATTGTCCCCCCCCCCCCCCTCCTCCCCTAAATCTTTCTTATAATTTAAATTCCAGAATAGTTTTTAAAATTTGTATAAAATTCGAAAAACTTAAATGCTAGAAAATACTGAAAACATTTTTATAATTACAAATATTTGAGAATAAAAAAATAAATTTTACCTGGGCTCTGACACTTTTTTTCATGACGGTTTCTAATTCGACTAACCATTTTTCTACTTGGCCTCGAGCTGCTACAGTATCGATTATATCCTCCAGAGTTACGTGCTCATCTTCTGAAGATTTCATCATCGTCACTTCCATCTGTTCCGTGAAACTTAATTTAGCAATTCCTTCAAAGCACTTCTTTAAATGTGGTTGAACTCTAAAATTAAATGATTATTAGCAAAATATTTCCCTGATTGTATAAATATAATTATATTATATTTATTAATTTAATTAAAATAAAATTTAGATTTTATTTAATTATATTTATATTTATTTATATTTTTATTTAATTATATTATAATATTTATTAAATTTAATTAAATTATTATATTTATTAATTTAATTAAAATAAAATTTAGACAGTTCTTTTTTATTCCTACCTCGTTGGATCCTTTGTTTCTGATAAAATTTCTAGTAACTCGTCATTTGATAGAAAGAAAAATCTTGGAAAAAATAATCTCTTCTTCTCGAGATAATCGTTTAAACCTTTTTGAATTAAATCCAAGAGATTTGTCGATTTTTTCAAACGATCGAGCATTTTGTCAATTTCAACTACCGACATGACTTTTGGATCTGTCACCACTGATGACATAATATCTCTCCAAATCTATAATTCATTTTAGTTTCCAATTTGACTAAAGCTTCTCATTATTTTCGAAATTATTAATTATTTATATAAATATTATGTAAATAAAAAGTGGGGAAAATTAACATAATGCAATAATCGTTGATTACTTTATCAACGGCACTGAATCGTCGACCTTCCTCCGGCATTTGCTGTTGGATATCAGGGGAAGAGAAAATTGGCTCTAAATACATCCAAGTAGCTTGAACTTTAAGCCAATAATCCATAATATCCTGCAGGAGATGTAGCTTGGCTTCCCATTCTCTAAAATAAAATAAGAATAATAATAATAATGAAAATAATAATATTTCATAGAAAATTTTCATATGGTTCACAATAGTTGAATATAAAAAATTTTATAACCCACAGTGTCTCTTTTTCGAATGGTTTTATGTAGAGAGAATTTTTCATAGTTTGAGCCTTTGTCAGATGATCATCCAACAAAAGTTGAATGTCATCGATACTGGCGATTACATAAGTTCCTGTGTCCCGATAAGGATTTGTTATAAATTCTATTTCAGTCCAGTCTGTATGCATTTTTAGTAAAGCTTTCTCCAAATTATTCTCCTTTGTTGCTGCCTCTGATATGCCTTCAAATTTTGGCACGTATTCATCCAATCCAAAGTCGATTATCTTTAATTTATTTATTTGATTATAATAAACAATAAATATTTACTCTCTAAATCTGAATTGGTTCATTAATTAATATTCGTTAAATTAATTAATAATAGTGTTTTTTAATTAATTAACAGGTCATAGACTTTTTAATTAATATAACAATAATTAGTTATGGTCTTTTTACTATCAAGTTAAATTATTTTTAAGTAAATCAAATTTAAAAAGTATTAATTCTAATTTAAAACATTATTAATTAAAAAATCCTTTATTTTAGTTAGTCAATTCTGTATTTTTGAATCTAATTTTCGTTTTTTAGTGTAATTTTTTTTGTTTTAATTCTTTTTTTCATTTTTTTTATTTTTTAAATTTATTTTTTAAAATAATAATTATTACCTTGGCCAATGTCATATTTTCATCAACTTTAATTGGAAATCCAACAATTTCCGAAACTTGTTCCCAATGACGACTTTTCATACCGGGATTACCAAGTGTTAACATTAGAGGCATGTGTTCGCGAAATTCTTCAATGTTTGCGCGAACATTTTCTGCCAATTTTCTGACAGCTGGCTCTTGGAAATTTTTTTCTAATTTCAAAATAGTGCGAAACAATGTACCAGAAACTGTTTCAATTTCATCTGGGTCATGTGAGCCAACCATTGAGTTCATCCAGTTATTGTTATTTGATATAAAATCGCAGGCAGCGTCATAAAATTTTTTATAAGGTCCAAGTTTGTCTGCAATCTGTTTGATGTATTAAATTGAAAAATATAGACAAACTGAATTAAATGTAATTTTTTATTTTAAATTTATCTGTGTTTAAATTTTAAATATTAAGTATTTTTATTTTTATTTTTAAGTATTTTAAACTTGGTATTTAAAAATTAAGTATTTGAAAATTAAGTATTTTATACATTGAAAAAAAATTTACTTGATTCGACTAACCGATTACTTGTCTAAAAAAATCTACTTAATTCAAATAACCGACTACAAGTCAAAAAAAAATTATTTGATTCAAAGAAATATTATTTAAGTTAAGTCAAATAAATTGTATTTGATACAAGTAAATATTTATTTGATAAAAGACAAGTAATTGGTTATTTGAATCAAATAAATTTTTTTTCAGTGAAAATTGAAATATTTTAAAATTATAAATATATTAAATTTAAATGTATTGTGTAAATATATTACATGCGCCATTTTCTTTAAATCGATTATGAACTAATTTTTTTTTTAAATGAGAAATTAATTTATTTTCTTTTGAACCTGTTTTCTTAATGGGTATTGTGATAATTCCCATCCGAACATCTGTTCCTCCTCATTGAATTCGTCAATTGTTTCCATGGCAATAAGAAGACGACTTTCTAGTCTTGTTGCTTTTTTCTTGTAACGAAATATTTCATCCACATTGCCCCAGTATTGCATTTCATTTGCATATTTCCAATATAATTGAAGATCCTGTTGGAATTTTTCAATTCGTTCTACCAATGCGTCTTGATATTCGCCAGTTTTACTGTCGATTATATTTCGATGCTCTTCGAAAATCGATGGCATTTTGTGATACCTAATATTTTTAAATTTATAACATAATTTATTAATTTCTTTTGTAATATAAAAAAGTAATTTTGTATAATAACTTGAAGTATTTTTTTATAAAAAAATATCTATATTTATTTGTATTTAGTTATGATTATAAACTTATTTAATTATAAATTTATATTTAATTATTATTATTATAAATTATTTATATTTAATAATAATATAAATATGATATCTTTGGTTCTTTATAATATAATCTCTTACCATTGAAAAGCGAAATTATTGGTTTTGATTTCCACTGGCGTTAATAAGGTATAATCTGATAGAAATAAAATATTTTCCATTACTTCTTTGAGGCGATTTTCCAAATTTTTCACCATTTCTGTTTCGGCTTTTTCAACAAAAGCTCGAAGTTTCATTAGTTCAGCAGTATTTGGCGGTTTACTTAGGGCTCGATTTGCTATACTTTGATATTCTTCTCCTATTCTGTTTTAAAATTTTTTATTAATTATTAGGATTAAAAAATAATTTTTTTTAGATAGAAAATATTTTTTTGGAAAATATATGTATATATAGAAACTCTTACGTTCTGGATTTATATTGATAATCCATAATCATTTTATTGACGAGATCGTCCTTTAATTTTCTAGCTTTGTCGGCTATGAATTCCAAAAATCCACTTCTATTCACTTCAAAAAGTCCCGTGAAGACTGTACGTTCGAATTCGGTGGGAATATTTTTTGCTAATTGATCATATTTACGAATAAGATCGTTATATTCTTGAAAAGAATGAGGTGGTTTTGCTCTGAGAAATTCTTCAACGTGTTTTCCACTTTCGTTGTTTATCAATGAAGAGTAAATATCAAAATCTTGTTGCTGAAGTTCAGGACCAATTCTATGTTCTTGAATTAATTCTGCAATTTTTTCACTGTGTTGCCTTACTATTTCGTTCAAGATCACAGGCTAGTGAAATAATTCAATTTTTAAGTGATGATAAAGTATAAGTTTAATACATTTATTCTTATTTATTTAATATTTGAAGGTCCGGATCAAAGAACTATATTTATAATTTTAATGAAGCTAAAAATCATCCTCAAATAAATTATAAATCTAAAAGTTTTAAATCATTATTTTTGGAGGAACTTTTTCGTAATTTTTATATAGAAATACGAAATGCTTAAATGGAATTTAAATTTTGAATCCTTTTTTAATTTTGGGGAGAATTTTAAGTTTTAAAAAATTATAATCGGTTCTTTGATCGGGACCCTCAATTAAATATATATAAATAATAGAATTATGATAAATTAATAATTACACAGGAAAAAAAAAAGTCTGACTCCGTTTACACCTTAAATTCAGCCCATGTATTTCACATAAGTCTGTCCTTGTTTAACGGGGCTGACTCCGTTTACATCATAAATTCAGCCTCAAAAAGAGGCTGAAAGTAAAACTTTTTTTTTAGTGTGTAGTTTACTCAATTATTTAATTATATTGATTTATTTCTTATTTAATTTTAACAATAATGAAAATAATTTACAATAAATTAAAAAGAATTAAAATACCTATACTTATTTAAACAAAGTATAATATTGATTACCTGGAGAGATTGTCGATTAAAGAAAGTGGGGACATTTTGGTAAATTCTTGTTTCTATTCTCGCATAAACGGAAACGGCATTTACGAGTGAATTTAATAATCCGAGAAGAATGTCCGTGTAACTTGTGAAAGATGGATCGAAACCAATGCTTTTGTTTCTCACCGTCACTTCTAATTTAAATCCACAATTATGGTACTATCAATAAATTAAAAAGAATTAAAATTATTTTTTTGTGTCTCTTTAAATATATTGAAATTTTTATTATTTAATTCACATAAATGATTACTTGTTAAATATCAAAAAAATATTTATCTGCATTAAATAATTTTTATTTAAATCAACTAAATGGTATTTGCTTCAAATACTGAAGTTTTTGGTTCAAATACGATTTATTACACTGAAAAAAAATTTATTTGATTCAAATAACCGTTTAATTGCGACTATTATCAATTAAATATTTACAAATAATATTTATTGGAGTCAATTAAATGGTATTTGAACCAATAATTTTAGTATTTGAAGCAAATAAATTTTATTTGATTGTGAAAATTTCTATTATAACACGAATATTTTAATAACACATTTAATTTTATTATTATTATTATTATTATTATTATTATTATTATTATTATTATTATTATTATTATTACCATTATTTAATAATAACGTCTTTATTTAAATATTAACTAAAAATTAGTAATTTTCAATGACAATTTTAATGTTTACCAGCAATCAATTATTTTCACTGATTGCTATTTAGTAGTAAAAATATTTTTAGTCAGACGCACTAATACGTTTAAATTCTTAGTGTTGCAGTAGTAAACATGAATTTTAGTCAGACAATTCTGTTTTACTATAGAATTTAAAATTAAAACTATTAAAGAATGATTGCTAAATTCTTACAATAAATACTTACTTTCGTTTGCGTTGGAGAGCCTCGAGACTGCATTAAAATTAAAAATAATTGCTACTGATAAATATATAATTATTTAAATAAAATTGTACATATGTACTTTAATTTATTTATTATTTATTAAAAATTCAAAAAATTTTATTTTTAAATTTGTTTGAAATTTTAATAATGTAATTTTCAAATTTGTTTAAAATTAAAAAAATGTTGTTTTATTTGAGAATTGCTAAATGACTTACACCAACATCTAGTAAATAATTTACGTAATCTTCCATAGATCTCAAACATAAATTTTGCAATTGACTTTCCATTATAAAAGCCAGACAGTTATAGAATCTTGATAATAAATTCGAATTACTTGAATCTGGTAAAGTTCCTTTCTTATTCGCCTGTAAAATTTTATGTTTTAAATTTTCTAAAATTTAATATATTTAAATTTTAATGAAATATTTTTTATTCTTGCATTTTATATACGATTTTTTCACAGTAATTTATTAAAGTTAAATAAAATAAATAAATTTATTTAAAGTTCTATTTATAGTTATTTATTAGTTGAATTTTTATTTATTAAAATAATTGCTTACAATTAAACAAGCGTTGTATATTTTTGGAAGCCAATTATTGCAGAGATGGTTTTTTGTATTTTCGACCATTTTTGAAAAATGATTTTCAAAAGTTGACAGATCGTAAGATTGACCAAAAGATTCCAATTCTTTTACGTCAATTTGCCTCATTGCACTTGTGACGATGAAAAATTAATCAATTTCTATATTATGTCATATACATTTTTTTAACTAATTTTCAAATTAAAGAGTTATTTTACTTTTTTTTCTTATATAAAAAATACGATATATTTTATATTATTTTTGTTAGAAAATTTTTCTCACTTACATAAATTCACGGAACCAAACATCCAATGCTTTTCGCATACAAGGATGATTTAATATTAAAATCTTTTCCAATTTTGCTTTAATTCTTTTACACTTTATCGCATGTTCCGGTGGGAATTGTTTTATTTCGTATCGTTCTTTTGACATTTGACTCTAAAGATGTTTAATTAACATAAAATTTTAAAAAAAAATGTTTTTACAGGATAAGGTATTTGAAAATTTTAGAAAATAAATAAAGTACCTGGTCATTGGTGACGGATTCATCATTTAAAGGATCTTGAAGGACAAAGTCCACAACCGATTTTTTAACCCCCAGTGTATAGTTATCGATTGCTTCTTTTATGACTTGTTTCATTGTGTCTTTAAATTTCTTTTGCCATTTGATAGGCACTAATTTTAAAATATTACTCAAAGTCGACTTTTCCATTGGTGGAATGTACATACTATCAACTCCGTGTGTAATGTAATAGTAATATCTCATTATATTCATATCATCCTCGGTGAACCAATTTTTACAAATGGGCGTTTCGTGTTTTCCAAGAATAATGTCAACGACATTTTGACGGAAATCCTCTCGTTTCTTTCGCATTAATAGGTAGCTATTCGTCTTAATATTAGTCTCCTTATTTTTTTGTTTTCGAAGCTCTCCTCTTTTTCGTATTCTGAGTTCATTTTCCATAAAATATCTTTCAACAATTTTTTTATTTTTATATTTTAGTGTAAAATGCTTTTGTAATAAATTTGTTTTCAAGACATTACGTCCATATAATAAAAGAGATAAAACATATTTACAGGGTATTAATTCTATTAAGAACGTTGAATTTTACTTACTTTGATTTATTTTTTGTTGAAGTTTCTGGTAAATTGCATGATTCTACTAAATCGTGCATTTTACGGCATAAATCACTGAAGCCATCTTTCTTAGAAAATTTATTGGTTATTTTTCTTTTCTTACCATCCGTATTTTCTGATTCAGATTCTTTCTTTTTATTTCCTCTCTCATAATTTGTGGATAACTTTCTTTTCTGTGAACGATGACGTTCACAATAACTTTCATGAATTGTCTCATATTTCGCGTACATTGTAATTATTTCCAATTCATCTGTTCTTACAATACTAGATTATTAATAATACTAATTATTAACCAATAAATTATTAATATTAATAATAAATGATAATTTTACTTTTTCAATTATAATGGTCTAATTATAGTTCCATTTGATTTGGCAAGAAAAAATTGTTTACATAATTTAAAAAGTATCTATCGGTTAAAAAATTAGACGAAAAATTTCCATGAGAAAAATATTTAATTTTCGCTTGTTTATATTTTTTAATTAAATATGTTAATTAGTGTACTAATTGTGGAGTTTAATTTTAATTGAAATATTTATTTATTTCTATAAATATTTTTTTAAAATTAAATTAGAACGCTTTTTAATAAATGTAATTATGTTAATTTTATCAAATATTTACTTAATAATTCAGGTTGCTTTGAAATAATATTTATAGAAATATATAATTTATCTATTATAATATTTTATATATTTTTAAATAAAATTAGAATTTTTTCAATTAAATTAGATTGTTTTTACTTAGTAAATATGTTAATTTGCATTTTTCTAAATAAAGGTTACCTTGAAATTAAAATTTTATTGAGATACACATATTACTGAATTCAAATATGAGATAATTTTTTGTCAACTGAAAGTAATATTATTTATTTCGAAACGTATTGTTTAAAAAAATTGTAGATAATCAAAAAAGTTAAAGTAATTAAAAATCTTTGACGTCAAATTGACAGTTAATCAATTTTAACTTTAATCTGAAAATAACTGAAGGTAGTAAATAATGGTTTTACCTTGCAAACAATTTTCCACGATCTTGAGTTTCCATTGCTTTGTTAGAGGGTTGCTAGGGTCACTATTATGTTATATATATAGTATACAATTCAAGAAATTCTTTCAAATTACGTCTACATTTTTAATTATTGACAATTTTTTTAGGTAGTTATAAAAAATCAATTTTTTTATTAAATTG